TGTCCCCTCTCCCTCTCTCTCCCTCTGTCTCCTCTCTCTCCATCTCTCTCCCTCTCTCGCCTCTCTCTCCCTCTGTCTCCTCTCTCTCCCTCTCTCTCCCTCTGTCTCCTCTCTCTCCCTCTGTCTCCTCTCTCTCCCTATCTCTCCCTATCTCTCCCTCTCTCTCTCCCTCTCTCTCTCCCTCTCTCTCCTCTCTCTCCCTCTTTCTCCCTCTCTCTCCCTCTGTCTCCTCTCTCTCTCCCTCTCTCTACTCTCTCTCCCTCTGTCTCCTCTCTCTCCCTCTGTCTCCTCTCTCTCCCTATCTCTCCCTCTCTCTCTCCCTCTCTCTCCTCTCTCTCCCTCTTTCTCCCTCTTTCTCCCTCTGTCTCCTCTCTCTCCCTCTCTCTCCTCTCTCTCCCTCTGTCATCCTCTCTCTCCCTCTGTCTCCTCTCTCTCTCCCTATCTCTCTCTGTCTCCTCTCTCTCCCTCTTTCTCCTTCTGTCTCCTCTCTCTCTCTCTGTCTCCCTCTGTCTCCTCTCTCTCCCTCCTTCTCCTCTCTCTCCCTCTGTTTCCTCCCTCCCCTCTCTCTCCCTATGTCTCCTCTCTCTCCCTCTGTCTCCTCTCTCTCCCTCTGCCTCCTCTCTCTCCCGCTGTCTCCTCTCTCCCTCTCTCTCCTCTCTCTCCCTCTCTCGTCCCTCTCTCTCCCTCTCTCTCCATCTAGCTCCTCTGTCTCCCTCTGTCCCCTCTCTCCCTCTGTCTCCTCTCTCTCCCTATGTCTCCTCTCTCTCCCTCTTTCTCCTCTCCTCCTCTTTTTCCCTTCCCTCCCTCCCTCTCTCTCCTCTCTCTCCCTCTGACTCCTCTCTCTCCCTCTTCTCCTCTTTCTCCCTCTGTCTCCCTCTGTTTCCTCTCTCTCCCTCTGTTCCTCTCCTCCTCTCCCTCTCCTCCTCTCTCTCCCTCTATCTCCTCTCTCTCCCCCTCTCTCCCTCTTTCTCCTCTCTCTCCCTCTCTCTCCCTCTGTCTCCTCTGTCTCCTCTTTCTCCCATCTCTCTCCCTCTCTCTCCTCTCTGCCCTCCGTCTCCCTCTCTGTCTCTTCTTTCTTTCTCCCTCCTCTCCCTCCCTCTCTCTCCCTCTCTCCTCCCTCGTCTTCCTCTTATCCTCTGTCTCCCTCTCTCTTCCCCCCCTCCTCCCTATCTCCCTCTCTCTGCCTCTGTCTCCTCTGTCCTTCTATCTCCTCTCTCTCCATCTGTCTCCTCTCTCTCCCTCTTTCTCCTCTTTCTCCCTCTCTCTCCCTCTCTCCCTTTCTCTGCTTCTGTCTCCTCTCTCCCCCACTTTCTCCCTCTGTCTCCTCTCTCCCTCTCTCTTCCTCTCTCTCCCCCTCTCCCTCTCCCTTCCTCTGTCTCCTCTCTCTCCCTCTGTCTCCCTCTGTCTCCTCTCTCTCCCTCTGTCTCCTCTCTCTCCCTCTGTCATCCTCTCTCTCCCTCTTTCTCCCCTCTCTCCCTCTGTCCCCTCTCTCTCCCTCTGTCACCTCTCTCTCCTCCCTTCTGTCCTCCTCTCTCTCCCTCTGTCTCCCTCTGTCTCCTCTCTCTCTTTGTCTCCTCTCCCTCCCTGTCTCATCTCTCTCCTTCTGTCTCCCTCTGTCTCCCTCTGCCTCCTCTCTCTCCCTCTTTCTCCTCTCTCTCCCTCTGTTTCCCTCTGTCTCCTCTCTCCCTCTGTCTCCTCTCTCTCCCTCTGTCTCTTCTTTCTCCCTCTCCCTCTCTCTCCCCTCTCTCTCCCTCTCTCTCCCTCTGTTTCCCTCTGTCTCCTCTCTCCCTCTGTCTCCTCCTCTCTCTCCTCTGTCTCTTCTTCTTTCTCCCCTCTCCTCTCCCTCTCTCTCCCTCCCTCGTCTCTGCCTCTGTCTCCTCCCTCTCTCCCTCTGTCTCCTCTCTCTCCCTCTGTCCTCCTCCTCTCTCTCCCTCTCTCTCCCTCTTCTCTCCCTCCCCTCTCTCTCCCTCTCTCTCCCTCTCTCTCCCTCTCTCTCCTCTACTCCTCTTTCTCCTCTTTCTCCCTCTGTCTCCTCTCTCTCCCTCTGTCTCCTCTCTCTCCATCTCTCTCCTCTCTCTCCATCTGTTTCCCTCTGTCTCCTCTCTCCCCTTCTGTCTCCTCTCTCTCCCTCTGTCTCCCTCTGTGTCCTCTCTCTCCCTCTGTCTCCTCTCTCTCCCTCTGTCTCCTCTCTCTCCATCTCTCTCCTCTCTCTCCTCCCTCTCCCCCTTCTCCCTCTCCTCCTCTGTCCTCCTCCTCTCTCTCCCTCTCTCTCCTCTCTCTCCCCCTTCTCCTCTCTCCCTCTGTCTCCTCTCTCTCCCTCTGTCTCATCCTTCTCACTCTGTCTCCTCTCTCTCTCCCTTCTCCTCTTTCTCCCTCTGTCTCCTCTGCCCTACCCCGCTACACAGCAGCTCTTAATCAACTTTTGATAGCTTTCACAGCACCCTGTCCACCACAGGCATACCATTCACACGCACACACACACACACACACACACACACACACACACACACACACACACACACACACACAGAGAAACTTAGAGAAACTTAGAGAAACAAATATACTCTGGATCATTCTTTTGAATATCTGTTTAACTGTTTAATTTAGATAATCTTACATTTCAAATAGCACCTGGCACCCCATCTAGTTGTTCCATTCTGTTCTTCAGCATGACACCTTTATTGATTAATGTTTCTCTAAGAAACACCCCATGATACTGAAAATAACCCAGAGTGATCTAACAGGGACGGAACATATGAAAAATGGGATGCTTTCCATGTCCAAGTTTCCTAAGACATTTCTCTCCCCAAAAAAGAAAACAACATGACTTCATTCAGTGCGGGTGTATTTTTCAACCTTGTAATTTACAGCAAATATTTAAAAAGACATGTACATCAGGAACTGGAGGCCCACAACTTTGCATTACGGTGACCACACCCACTTGTTGCATTGTTTGTTTTGTTAACCATGACAACTGTTTGTGAGCTGCTTCGCTGTCGGATTAGATTCTGAGAAGGAAGGAGAGCGCTGGGAGTACGGGTGTTTAGGCCATGAAACGCTGACTCATAAAATCCCACAAGCTATATCAACTGTCTCTACGAAGAACGTCTTCTATCACATGTATTATTGATGGATGTGGTCAAGCGGGGAGAAACTAGAATCTAGACAAGTCATCAGGAAAACCCATAGACAGCACCAGTTAGGGCATGGAATAGTTTAGTTCAAGTATTACTTATATTCCAGTGCGCAGCTAGACTATAGTTTTATCAGGGTAATAAAGGTAATTTCCCCTTTTATCATGCCTGTCTGATCCCGCTCTGCTGATTCTGGAACACCTAACATATAACACTGTATCAATGCTCATATTTGTAATTCACATCCCAACATACACCAATATACTCCTATTTGTATCCCAACATAATGTACTATCATTGCTCAGCTTTGTGAAGATCTTCCTCACTGTCTGCCTGCCTGCCTGTGTGTCTGTCTGTCTGTCTGTGTTCTATCCCTCTGACAGAAATGTCCACTGTCCTCACACTAGCTGGGTTGATTCTGGCTCTGTCCATCCCGAGGACCAGGCTCCAGACAGCTGAGCTGAGGTTCCTGGGACAGACAGACTTCATGGTCAAAGAGAGCAACGACACTGTGGTCCGCCTGGTGGTGGAGAGGATCGGAGACCCGGTCAATGTGACCGCACTGGTTCAGGTAGGAACGACCTGGTCATAGGAGGACTGTTTTAGGTCACCTGTTGAGTGTCCGACCTAGTGTTATCTAGATACCTCTGTGTGTTTATGTAATCTCCTCTAACTTGGCATTAGTCTCTCAGACTTAAATCTTGTATTTGACAGTTGTGGTTAAGTGTTGTTTCAATGCAACGGTGACCAGCCATGATTAGCAGCACACAGCAGTAGAGCAGAACAGTGGAACCTTAACCCCGGTTGTCACCGAGGCTGGTCTGCTCCTGAGTTGTCAAATGCAGGTCTCTTTAATGGAAAAGATAAGTGACCTTTTTACTGTGGGAGGCAGTGTGTGAGATGAAAGGCAGTAATTGCTACCCACATCAGAACGTGTCAGCTCCCACATGGGAGCCAGTGTCTGCTCCCTCCCCATGGGTGTCTGGCAAACTGGTGGCCTGGGGCTTTTCCAGGCCTATTTCTTTCTACAGTTCCTTAAATCTCAATACTCTGTCCCTAGCAGTTGGGACAGTTGAGTTGAACCCATCATTCTATATTTGTGTACAGGCCGACTGTGTGTCAGTCTGTGTGTTTAAGTGGTGAAAGATCAAGCCAAATGATTTCAATAACGATTACAACATCAACTGTCCTTGTTTCTTCCAGTTGGAGGGAGATGACTCGGGGGACTTTACGGCCACCTCGGCTGCAGCCATCCTGCTGTCGTCAGAGGCCAGTAAGACCATCTTCATCGCTGTCAAGGACGATGAGCTGCCCGAGGCCGACGAGACCTTTGTCTTCAACCTAAGTCTACAGGTAACGGAAAGAGAGTGTGTGTTAGGTTTTGTGTGTGTGTGTGTGTGTGTGTGTGTGTGTGTGTGTGTGTGTGTGTGTGTGTGTGTGTGTGTGTCAGTCGTCATTCAATGTCAGGGGTTATTATGGTTGCCCTCGTACCATGCTCATGTGTTAATATGTGCATGTGTGCATTTGTATGTGTGTATGTGTTGCAATGCTTATGATTGTGTCTGAGTGGAAGATGAAACCTTAGTGTCTTAAGCCCTCACCCTGGTCCAACCACTGCCCCAGGGCCCCCCATTTTCAACCCCAGCAGAAAGACTTGAGAGGCCCTGGATGCCCTTTGATGTGTTTCTATAGGGCTTCTCCATGGCTGGGCCATTGGGCCGCTGAAGAAGGTCCTGCCAGAAGACACCTTTATGAGCAGAAAGCCATTTTGATAACCAAGGCTACACCACACAGTAGATTAAAGCCCAGAGTCAGGGGCTGTGTGAAGTCACTGCAAGACAGCCATTTCACACCATCAAACAGACCATGTGGGAGAAACCAACATGCTTCCTGCAGCTGGGACCGCGGTACGGAGGGGAAACGCTAGAGAACATATTGGAGGATTCCCTCACACAGGAAGGGTATAATCTAGAGCCCGACATAGGTGCAGGTGGCCATGTCATAGCCAAACAGCGTTGGGCTGTGCAGAGAGAAACTTCTCCCACGATGCATACAGAGGAATGGTTATTTTTTTGCGGCAGCTGTGCAGGATGTCTTACACCTAGAGTCCCATCGCCATGGTGTCCTTAGCAGGCTGTCGCCATGGTGTCCTTAGCAGGCTGTCGCCATTGGTGTCCTTAGCAGGCTGTCGCCATGTGATTGATGATGAGGGGCCGGCTCCCACTGTCCACACACTCTGACTAATGGCTCTGTGACAGACAGGCAGCCTACACCAGACAAAGGTCTGTCTGGATCATGAGCTACGTGCTAAGGGGCCTCACAGATCAAGCACAGGGGATGAGGGGGTGATGGCTTGGCGAATCAGTCATTTCTGACAAGCAGAAAGCTGTTATGCTCGATACATTTACAAATGGATGGAAGGACAGTTGCTTTGGACAGGGTGGGATTAGTTGGAGATGAGAGGGTTTTGTGTTCCCCCACTGCTTTTGAGTAATGATGTCATCACTAGCTGGGCTACACTTCCCAGAATGCTAGATAGAAGAGTAACATTTTTATAATAGAATCCAGATAAGCCTAAACAAAGAGAGAGCTGGAACTGAGCACAGCACAAAGTCCAGGAACGGTCCCTCATACTGTAATGCCACCAACCTGCTTGGCAACACCATGACAGGTGCTGCCCACTCATCCTGTGCCTACTGTCAGGGTCTGGGCAGGGCTCGGGGGCTGGGATTCCTATGGAGAGTTGGTGGTTGGTGGGTTGCGTTTGTGTCCCAGAGGGCACGGGCCCCTGGTAGGGCCTGCAGGCTGGATTGTGAGAGCCGTGTGGATTCTGTGTCTGTGTGTCGGCTATGACAAGAGCTCAGCGCCTGAAAGAAAGCTCTGTTACAGCTGGGAAAGCTATGTCTGAATAGAGGTGTGAAAGCAGAGGGGATAAGCTCTTTCTTTCACTCAGTATCTCATACACACAGACACACACTTGCATGCATGCACACCCGCAAACACACAAACACACACACACACACACACACACACACACACACACACACACACACACACAGACACACAGACACACTCACACACAATGGTTCTGCCTTGGGCACACTGTTTGTGTGTCTTTGGCCGAAAGAAAAGGGGGGGGGGGGAAGAGTTGCATTTCTTAAATAAGGTTATCATTGGTAACAGGTTATTATTGTTCATATGATTTCGATACATATACCAAGCGACATAGAGTTAGGGCCGGGTAGTTTAATAATAGTGGACCCTATACGTTCTTATCAGGGCCGGGTAGTTTAACAATAGTGGACCCTATACGTTCTTATCAGGGCAGGGTAGTTTAATAATAGTGGACCCTATACAGTCTTATCAGGGCCGGGTAGTTTAATAATAGTGGACCCTATACAGTCTTATCAGGGCCGGGTAGTTTAATAATAGTGGACCCTATACAGTCTTATCAGGGCCGGGTAGTTTAATAATAGTGGACCCTATACAGTCTTATCAGGGCCGGGTAGTTTAATAATAGTGGACCCTATACAGTCTTATCAGGGCCGGGTAGTTTAATAATAGTGGACCCTATACAGTCTTATCAGGGCCGGGTAGTTTAATAATAGTGGACCCTATACAGTCTTATCAGGGGTTGTGAAGCATCAACAGTCAGGCAGGAGTCAGGTGCAGAATGATGGTAATCATTTACAGGTGCAGAAAGTAAATCAAGCTGGATCCAAAACAACGAGGAAGAATGTCTTCAAACTAGACAGAGCGTCTATAAATTTGACAGTGTTAATAATTCCTCACACACAGATTAGCAGTTTAGCTGAGTCTGATGTACGTCACCCTGGTCTTAGCGCTCTCTTGAAATGAGCACGTGAACAAGTTAAAAGCCCTGTGCCTAACACTGGAATAATCCAAAACCCACCTGAACAGGCATTTCATCAATTAACATGAATAATTCCCATCACAATCAATACTCCTCAGGAGTTATCATAACAATGGCCAATACATTATACATTTCAACATATCAGGACATATCACATAAAAATTATACAAATAAATATATTATGTAGTCCTAAACCCCCTCAATATATAAAACATTCCAATTATTGAACGCGCTCACCTGCTGGATAAATGTGGTAGTCACTGTCTAAATCATTCCAGCAGTGGTGAGTACAGGTTGGCAATACAACTCATACCGAATGAAAATACATTAAAAATATTATTTATTTTTTCAAAAATGTATAAATATTTGTAATTGTCCAAATAATGTATTTCACTGAAAAAATATTCATACATTTTAAATACATTCCAACATATATTAGGGAATATATAAAAAAAAGTATAAATGTATGTAAAATGTATATCACAATATATGTTAAATGCGTCAGAAAAGTTATTTAATGTATTTCAAATTACATTCTGAAATATATTCAAATATGTATGTATTTTTGAATATATTATGTTCACATGTATTTATCAATATATTTGGTAAATATTTTTAAATGTATTCTGAAATGTTTCGTAAAATATATTCCAACATGCATTTAAATGTATTTGTAAGAAATACACTACCAGTCAAAAGTTTGGACACACCTACTCATTCTAGGGTTTTTCTTTATTTTTACTGTTTTCTACATTGTAGAATAATAGTGAAGACATCAACACTATTAAATAACACATATGGAATCATTTAGTAACCAAAAAAGTGTTAAACAAATCAAAATATATTTGAGATTTTAGATTCTTCAAAGTAGCCACCCTTTGCCTTGATGGCAGATTTGCACACTCTTGGCATTCTCTCAACCAGTGTCACAATTCTTTAAAGCAGAACCCAGAAGCAGACCAGGACAAGGTGAGTAGAACGAAGGTGAGTATTTATTTACAGACTCAAATGTGGAAGCAGAATAATCCAGGAGACGGAGCGGGCAGCGGAGGTGAGTTGGTGGGAGTGAATAGGCAGATCCAATGGTGTCACAGAAGCCACCGACGACCAGGCAGGGGTGGGGTGAATTGTTCCGGGAAAATGATGTTCATGGCTAACGATCCGGCAGGGAATGGATGTCAGGTCAGAGCTTATGAAGTGGAGAGGTGATGATCAGGACCAGGTGTGCAGATAGCTGATGAGATGCAGGTGCGGGTAATCAAGAGATCTCCCGCCTAGCCTCGTCGCCCGGCAACCAGACAGAAACCTCAGGAAACAGACTCCAAGACAGAAAACAGGCAACTCAGGCAGAAACAGACTCAGGAAGCGGGATTCATGACAGTACCCCCCCTCCGACGAACGCCACTGGGCGGACTACCCGGAGCGCCAGGATGGAAGCGGTAGAAGTCACGAAGGAGGTCAGCATCAAGGATCTGACGCCGGGGAATCCAACTCCTCTCCTCAGGACCATACCCCTCCCAGTCCACGAGATACTGGAAACCCGACCCCGCCGTCTGGAATCCATGATGCGGCGCACCGTGTAGACAGGACCACCTCCGATCATCCGGAGGGGGCAGCAGTGGACTGAGGAGAACAGGCTTGAGGCAGGAGACATGAAAGGTGGGATGGACTCTGAGCGTTCTATGCAACTTGAGTCGAACCACAACAGGATTAATCACTCTCTCCACCACAAACGGACCAATGAACTTCGGTGACAGTTTCTTTGACTCAGTCTGCAGAGGAAGATCCCGTGTAGCCAACCAGACCTTATCTCGAATAGCATAAGCGGGGGCTGGAATATGGTGACGATTCGCCTGGAGCTGATACCGGTCAGAAACTCTAAGGAGGGCCTTTCTGGCCCGATGCCAGGTCCGGTGGCAATGACGAATGTGGGTCTGGACAGAGGGAACCGAGAGATCCTTCTCCTGAGAAGGAAACAAGGGAGGTTGGTAGCCGTACAGGCACTGGAAGGGAGACATCCCAGTGGCAGATGTAGGGAGAGTATTGTGGGCATACTCAATCCATGGCAACTGACAGACCCAAGAGGTGGGGTTGGAGGAGACAAGGCAGCGCAGCGTGGATTCCATCTTCTGGTTGGCTCTCTCCGCCTGACCATTAGATTGGGGGTGAAATCCAGATGTGAGACTGACTGTAGCTCCAATGGCCAAACAGAAGGATTTCCAGACAGCAGAGGTAAACTGAGGACCACGGTCGGAAACTATGTCACTGGGCAACACGTGGACCCTGAAAACCTCCCTAACCAGGATCTCTGACGTCTCAGAGGCAGAGGGAAGCTTGGAGATGGGCACAAAGTGGGCGAACTTGCTGAATCTGTCCACAATAGTCAGAATGACAGTGTTCCCCTCAGAAGAGGGAAACCCAGTGACAAAGTCCAGGGCCAGATGCGACCATGGTCGCCGGGGAATAGGTAGGGGGTGAAGAAGTCCAGAGCTGGGCCGATTGGCACTTTTATTCTGCGCACAAACTGGACAGGCAGCAACAAACCTCCGGGTATCTTCTCCCATGGCAGGCCACCAAAATCGTCTGCGTAGTAACGCCATCGTCCGAGCCACGCCAGGGTGACAAGCCATCTTGCTGGCGTGGGACCATTGGAGGACAGCAGAACGGACAGACTCTGGCCCAAACAACCGACCGGGTGGACCATTACCAGGACCGGGCTGCGTCCGAAGGGCCGCCATAACCTCCTCCTCAATCCTCCACGTAACTGCTCCCACGACGAAGTTCCGGGGAAGAATCGTCTCAGTCTTGGCCCCACTCTCCTCCGTCTTGGAGAACATCCGGGACAAGGCGTCCGCCTTGCCGTTCTTAGACCCAGGTCGGAACGTCAGGGAAAAATTAAAGCGTCCAAAAAACAAAGCCCACCTGGCCTGACGGGAGTTGAGACGTCTAGCCGATTGCACGTAAGCAAGATTCTTGTGGTCAGTCTTAGATAATAAATGGTTTGCTCCGCCCCCTCCAACCAGTGGCGCCACTCCTCCAAGGCAAGTTTCACCGCGAGAAGCTCCCGGTTACCCACATCGTAGTTCCTCTCCGCAGACGAAAGACGACGAGAGTAGAAGGCGCAGGGATGGAGTTTACCGTCAGTGGAGCTTCGCTGGGACAGGATGGCGCCAACCCCCACATCAGACGCGTCCACTTCAACGACAAACTGACGGGCAGTGTCAGGTTGAGAGAGATTCGGGGCGTTGGTGAATCGACTCTTCAAATCCAGAAATGCTCGGTCTGCCTCAGGATTCCAACAGAAGGTTCTGGTACTAGAAGTCAAGGCAGTTAATGGCGCGGCCACACGGCTGTAATCATGGATAAATCTACGATAGAAATTCGCAAACCCCAAAAACCTCTGGAGCTGCAATCTCGTACCGGGCTGGGCCCAATCCAGAACTGCCCTAACCTTCTCTTGGTCCATCTTAATCTCTCCCCTGGAGATGATGTACCCGAGGAAGGATGTAGTGTGGGCGTGAAATTCACACTTCTCGGCCTTCACAAACAGGCGGTTCTCCAACAATCGCTGCAGAACCTGCTTGACATGCTGGACGTGGCTGGAAAGCTCCTTAGAGAAGATAAGAATATCATCCAGGTACACGAACACAAAAAGACCGATCATATCTCTCAGTACATCATTCACCATACTCTGGAACACTGCTGGAGCATTGGTCAGTCCAAACGGCATCACCTGATACTCGAAATGACCCATCGGTGTATTGAAACCAGTCAACCACTCGTCCCCCTCTCTGATCCGGACCAGATGATACGCATCGCGTAGATCCAGCTTAGTGAACACAGTAGCACCCTGTAAGAAGTCGAAAGCAGAGCTCATCAAGGGCAGGGGATACTTGTTCTTGACCGTAATATCATTCAAACCCTGATAATCAATACAAGGTCGAAGAGAGCCATCCTTCTTACTCACAAAAAAGAATCCTGCCCCCAGGGGTGATGACGAGGGACGAATGAGACCAGCAGCTAGAGACTCCTTTATGTAGGTCTCCAAAGCTTCACGTTCAGGTCGAGAGATACTGTATAACCGTCCCTTGGGATAGGCAGCTCCAGGAAACAGGTTAATGGCACAATCATATGTTCGGTGGGGAGGAAGTGACAGAGCCTTCTGCTTACTGAACACTTCACCCAAATCGTGATATGTTTCAGGAACCAGGGACAAATCTGGGCGGGTAGAATCAATGACCTGACTTGGAACAGAATGGGAACAGGCAGTCTTAAGGCAGTTAGCATGACATTCAATGCTCCAACTAGTTACCTTGCCAGTAACCCATCGAACGTGGGATTGTGTTCTCGCAGCCAGGGGTATCCAAGAACCAGAGGAACATGGGGAGAAGGCAGAATGAAGAAGGAGATAACCTCTGAATGATTCCCTGACAACAGCATCTTAACCGGTTCAGTCCTCATAGTGATACGTGCCAGACTACTGCCGTTCAGAGTGGTAGCTTCAATGGCTTCCGGTAATCGCTCCTTGGAAAGCCCCAGCTGTTCCACCAAGTCGGCATCAATAAAGCTGCCATCGGCACCTGAATCGATAAAAGCTTTAATCGCTAAGCTCTGATTCTTGTTCATGAGGGTTGCAGGAAAACGGGGTCTGACAGGGCTATTGAGAGGTTGAAACTGGCTCGCTAAAAGTCCTCCCAAACTTAGCGAGCCGGGCAGTTTAACGGGCGCTGGGGACAAGCGGAGATGTAATGTCCCGAGCTACCACAGTAGAGGCAGCTGTTGGTCTCACGTCTACGTTGGCGCTCCTCCTTGGTTAACCCGTGCCGCCCCACTTGCATGGTTTCAGGATCTGGAGGCAGGACCTCTCCACTAATCCCGTGTGGTGAATAATGATCGACTCGTTCTGGTCCAATTCCTGACCCGAATGGTAACCGAGTAGCTGATTGATTGGACGGGGCCCATTGCTTCTCCCTCCTTCTCTCTCGGACTCTGTTATCCACCCGAATAGATAATGCTACCAAACTGTCCAGGTCACTAGGCTCCGGATAGGAGATCAGCTCATCCTTGAGTTGCTCCGACAACCCCTGATAAAAAACTGCTTGTAGTGACTCCTCATTCCACCCACTTTCCACAGCCAAGGTCCTGAATTCGATAACAATGTCTGCCACACTGCAAGCTCCTCGGCGAAGAGAGAACAAACGCTTAGCTGCGTCCTTACCTCAGGACTGGATGGTCAAAAAGCTTCCTCATCTCTGCCGTGAACTCCTGGTATGACGCCATGCAGGTGTCCTGTCGTTCCCATACGGCTGAAGCCCACTCCAGAGCTCTTCCACGCAGCAGTTCAATAACAAAAGCTATCCTAACCTTGTCTGTGGCGTAAGAGTGGGGCTGCAGATCAAACACTAATCACACTGCATAAGAAATGAACGGCATCTTCCCAAATCCCCTTCATACTTATCTGGCGTCGGAACCTTGGGCTTACGGAAGGAAACAGCTCCAGAAGCGGCAGGTGAGAGGGGTGAAGCAGGTGGTGGATCCGCCGGCAAACTGAGCTGAGCCTGGATACTCGTCAGACTAGCAGAAAAGTTCCGAACCGAAAACGCTATCTCCTGTAGCGCCGTGCTGTGTTGTCCCAACATCTTCTCCTGATGGGTAATGGCATGGCGAACGGAGTCCAGGTCCGCTGGGTTTATCCTTGGCCGGATTGTTCTGTCACGATTCTCTAAAGCAGAACCCAGAAGCAGACCAGGACAAGGTGAGTAGAACGAAGGTGATTATTTATTTACAGACTCAAATGTGGAAGCAGAATAATCCAGGAGACGGAGTGGGCTGCGGAGGTGAGTTGGTGGGAGTGAATAGGCAGATCCAATGGTGTCACAGAAGCCACCGACGACCAGGCAGGGGTGGGGTGAATGTTCCGGGAGAATGATGTTCATGGCTATTGATCCGGCAAAAAATGGATGTCAGGTCAGAGCTTATGAAGTGGAGAGGTGATGATCAGGACCAGGTGTGCAGATAGCTGATGAGATGCAGGTGCGGGTAATCAAGAGATCTCCCGCCTAGCCTCGTCGCCCGGCAACCAGACAGAAACCTCAGGAAACAGACTCCAAGACAGAAAACAGGCAACTCAGGCAGAAACAGACTCAGGAAGCGGGATTCATGACAACCAGCTTCACCTGGAATGCTTTTCCAACAGTCTTGAAGGAGTTCTCACGTATGCTGAGCACTTGTTTGCTGTTTTTCCTTCACTCTGCCGTCCAACTCATCCCAAACCATGAACTGAACTCTCGTTTTAATATGGCGAAACTAGCATCTAGTAGCCAAATCATAGTGTAAAAGCAGTTCAGCTGGATCTAAACTTTTTGGCAATTTTCTGGTGTTTTGAGGTGAAAAGCTGAGCGGGTTGAGCATAACACATCAACCCTGTTACCCATAGATAGACAGGCTAGAATTTTTTAACAATGTAACAATTTTTGTGAATCTTGCATTCAATTGCCCCTCCCTGTTGCACACAAGCTTCCATTCATCCTGTCACAAGGGGATTCATGGCTAATTTGACTAGTAATTACAAGTTGGAGGGCTGTTCAAGTGGATTTGTAAATTCCCCTTTCCCACTTGGTTACGAACGCACCCTAACACTGCTAACACTGCTAACCATCCATTGTAGAGACATACACTGAGTGTACAAAACATTATAACACCTTCCCGATAATATTGAGTTGCACAGAACAGCCTCAATTTGTCATGGAATGGATTCTACAAGGTGTCGAATGCGTTCCACAGGGATGCTGGCCCATGTTGACTCCAATGCATCCCACAGTTGTGTCAAATTGGCTGGATGTCCTTTGGGTGGTAGACCATTCTTGATACACACGGGAAACTGTTGAGCGTGAAAAACCCAACAGCGTTGCAATTCTTGACACACTCAAACTGGTGCGTCTGGCACCTACTACCATACCTACTCTGTGGCTTTAATGGTGGTGGTGATTGTGGCTGCTGAGAGCTAATCTGAGGGTTAGGCTGCTGAGAGCTAATCTGAGGGTTAGGCTGCTGAGAGCTAATCTGAGGGTTAGGCTGCTGAGAGCTAATCTGAGAGGTAGGTTGCTGAGAGATAGCCTGAGAGGTAGGCTGCTGAGAGCTAATCTGAGGGTTAGGATGCTGAGAGCTAATCTGAGGGTTAGGCTGCTGAGAGCTAATCTGAGAGGTAGGTTGCTGAGAGATAGCCTGAGAGGTAGGCTGCTGAGAGCTAATCTGAGGGTTAGGATGCTGAGAGCTAATCTGAGGGTTAGGCTGCTGAGAGCTAATCTGAGAGGTAGGTTGCTGAGAGATAGCCTGAGAGGTAGGCTGCTGAGAGCTAATCTGAGAGGCTCAATGAGCCTGAGAAAACTACTTCCTGACTTTGTGTCCTCTCCCCATGACATCCCTGCAGGAGTGGGGCTGTAGTGAAGGGCCCTGGAGAGGAATGTGTGTGTGTGTGTGTGTGTGTGTGTGTGTGTGTGTGTGTGTGTGTGTGTGTGTGTGTGTGTGTGTGTGTGTGTGCGTGCGTGCGTGCGTGCGTGCGAGTATGGGCGTGAGTTCGTGTGTGTATGTTTGTGACTGTGTTTGTATGCCTGATAAGGGGACAGGTCTATGCATCTCTCGTCATTGCTCTCCTTTCAGAGCTCCTCCAATGGCGTGAAACTGGGGACCCCCAACAGAGCCACTATCACCATCCTGTCCAATGACAACGCCTTCGGAATCATCTCCTTCAACTCCGTAAGAAACACCTGTCTGTCTAGCATTGATTCTTGCTTATAGCATACATTCTGTTTCAACCAGTTTAAGACAATCAGTTCAACCTTCAGTAAATGTAAAGTGAATCCCAGGTACTGAGCATTCGGTATTTAAAGTTTTATTTTACAGTAAAACTTAAATCATTGAACACAACAGGCACTTATTAGAGACAGGCTTCTATTTGAGCCAGGCTTCTATTTGAGCCAGGTGTCTATTTCCTTAATGCGCACAGCTTTTGCTCATTTGCATAGTTAATGAGCAAAATTGTAATAGATATATTCATTTCCTGCACTAATGTGTTATCATTTAAACACGGTGTCACGTTTCCTTTGCCTTAGTATGCCTTTATTTATGGAAAAAAAAACCTTTTCCTGACAGAATAATTATTCTCCTCTTTGACTGTGCATATTCGGCTGTTCTTACTTTCGCACACTAGAGGGCGATGGGCTGTTTTCTGGGGGTCTGTACTCCCAAAGTTGTTGACTGTTTTTGTGCTTGCCAGTTAGCTAGAAGTTCTCAGCTGTTAGAAGCCAATGGCTAGCAGTTTCCTACTGGCGATAAAAACAGATGATTGCCATCATTCTTTCGAGTCGTTACTGAATTATTTAATGTAACAAATCAAACATTAAACCTCATAAACAATTAATGGTAATTCATGTTAACCTCGTATACAATTCCTTCAGACCCAGGGTCTATTTGAAACAGGTGTTTATTTGCTGAAATGTGTGCCTGTTGCCCAACTATTAAAAGGGACAGGCGGCTATTTGAGACTGCGTTTTATTGAAGTTTTATGGTAGTTTCAATTTGTCTCACTCTGCAGTCTTGTTTATTATTATCACAGAGAATTTGACAAGAAAGCACATAGGGAGTATAATTTGGCTACCTAATACAGTACCATGTTAGATGTTTTGAGAGGGAAGGCTTTGCCACTGTCAGGATAAGGAAATTAGGTTTTGGACAGGGGTGAGGTGGGTCAGGAGTGGGGGTCAAATGCCACAGAGGGAATCCATGCAGATGGTTGTGCAGGAGGATTCTGGGCTTGCAAGGGGCAGCACAACCACAATGGCAGCTGTTTGCTCCTATGATTAATTTGTCAGTGGGAGTTTTGGTGGTTACTATGGTAACCATCGTATTGGGTCTTGCCTGCGCCCCCCCTTAGGGTCTTATTCTGGATCATTATTTTGCTTCAATAAAGGACTCTGCCTCTGGAATTATGATTCTGAATCATGTTTTTTTGTTGTTTAGTTTCTCCTGTCTGAGTCAATATGCTCATCGTGTGATCAATGAAACTTGTCGTCTTGTGGAGAGAAACTAATTAATTTCATAATCACTGAAGACAATGTTCATGGTGTGAAACATAAATAAACTTACCAAAGCTGCCTTACCCTGAATACTGGGACTGAATTTGATTCAACAGGACCCTTTGTCTATTAGGTGAATCAAAAGACAATTAAAGCTCTGACTGCCTTTGACTGCCCCTTCATCTTTCTCTCTCCTCCAGACTAAACAGATCGTTGTGGACGAGCCTAGAGGGAGGAACCAGTATGTGCCTCTCAGCCTGGTCAGAGAGAAGGGGACGTATGGGACAGTGACGGTCAACTTTGAGGTGAGATCACTGTAACTGACCCCTGTTTGTCCTCCCTGTGGTCAGGTCACGTTAGGTCATTAGGCCGTTTTCATTTTAATGTGGATGTGTATCGGTTACCCGGTCTACTTATGCCAGCCACACATGCACACACACACACACACACACACACACACACACACACACACACACACACACACACACACACACACACACACACACACACACACACACACACACCTACCTTTCAGGTAAACTTATTCCAGAACTGTCATTATGACATTATGGTTTTTACACGGGCAGATCTCTGGAGGCCCTAACTCTGCCCTGGAGGACCTCAGCCCAGCCCGGGGGAACATCACCATCCCACCTGGACGGGCTGTGGTGGTCTTCAGTATCCTCATCCAGGATGACCAGGTACCCTGTCCTCTTTCCCCCTTCTACATGTTACAATTACACCTTTTACCAGACAGCTTCACATCAAACACATGGATCATCATCTTTATTTTGCTAGCTAAGTAAACCAGGAGTTACTAAACCACTGAGATAACACTATCTATTTACTGTATATATTTCTATATGGTAACACGTCACTAAACCATTGTTCCTGTCATCTCCCTCAGATCCCTGAGGATGACGAGGTGTTCACAGTCAGGCTGACGGGCGTGGCGGGCGGGGCGCTCCTCAACCCCAACGGCAGCAGCGTGGAACTGAAGATCCGCCGTAACGACAGCCCCCTGCGCTTCTCCCTGTCCCTGGTGGCCGTGGCCGAGGACGCCGGGGTCATCTCCCTGACCGTGACCCGCGGCAGCCTGACCGACCACGGCCGTCTGGTGGGCTCCGACGACACGGAGGTCTCCGTGGACTACGTGGTCGTCAGTGGCGACGCGGCGGGCAGCGCCACACCGGTAGTGGATTTCGTGGACCTGCAGGCGGTGCACACAGTGACGTTTCCCCCGCAGGTCTACGAGGTACAGCTGCTCTTCAGAGTCAACGATGACAAGGTGCCGGAGATCGCAGAGTCATTCCAAGTGGTGCTGCTGGAGGAGACAGTGAGAGGAGACGCCGTGCTGATCCCTCCCAACGCTGTCCTGGTCACCATCGAACCCAATGATAAGCCCCACGGGGTCCTGTCAATCAGCAGCAGCCCCCTCACTCAGCCAATCAGTATCAACGAGGATGTGACGGGCCGGTGGGTTGAACTACAGTCAGGAGGAGAATGGCATTGGATCAGTTTGAAGTGGCACACACAATTATCCTGTTTTCTCTTACATTCATGGAAACACATTTTACAATGACATTTATATATAATAGTTTCCAAACACATTGACCCTCAACTGTTTCTGTGTCTGTGCTATTCTCACAACCCCACAACCTCTCTTGTTCCAAAAGATTTGATGGTATCTCCATTGTGAGGAACGGTGGGAACTATGGCGACGTCTCCGTCAACTGGACCATCAGTCGGAACTCCAGTGACCGCTCGCCCGTGTCAGATGACCTGAGCCCAGAAAGGGGTACGCTGTGGTTCAGGGCAGGTCAGATGAGTGCGGTCCTGCTGTTGAACATCATAGAGGACAAGCTTCCAGAGGAGGCCGAGGCCTTCGTCCTCCGACTGCTGCCGGACACTGTGCAGGGAGGGGCCGAGGTGGACGAGCCTACGGAGGTCAGTCTGGCCTGGCCACTCACACTACAACTATAGATTAGGATTCTACTGCTTTTGATTAATTGATTGATTGGCCAACAGTATGGTTATGTCATTTCAGTTTCTGTTCTAATACTAAAGTTTTTGTTTTGTATACAGCCAAAGGTTTTTCTAGTATTTCTAAATCAGATTGTATGTTCCGCTCTGTCATGTTGCTGGTGGGAGGGCTGCTGGGGAGGGCTGCTGGGTAGGGCTGCTGGATAGGGCTGCGGGGAGGGCTGCTGGGTAGGGCTGCTGGGTGGGAGGGGGGCTGCAGGGGAGGGCTGCTGGGGAGGGCTGCTGGGGAGGGCTGCACTTGTGGGGGACACATCTGCAGAGCCGTCCCCTACCCTCTAAAGAATGTGGTCGTGCGTGCCTGTGTGCGTGCGTGCCTGCGTGTGTGTGCGTGTGTGTGGTTGTGTGTGAGTGTGTGTGTGGGGCTGTGATGTATTTGTCACAGCTTCCCATCTTAACTATGTGTGAAAGGAGTGACTAGATCTAAACCTTGTTTATGTTTATTGCATTAGAACACACACACACACACACACAGACACACACACACACACACACGCAGTGGTTGGACTCTCAGCGTGTGGTATCAGCTGTCCATGTGTGTGTAGGGAGTTGATTCAGAACTGCTTGTAAGCATTAGAAGAAAACTCTTGTAGTTGAAGGAGTTAATCACTGTATGTGTCAAGTTGATGTAAACGATTTAGCATACGGTCCAATTGCTGCAACACCTGAAACCTGTCAGACAGATGTGAGTCCTGGACAAATGACTACATTAAGCCCCAGTAGAAATGTAGTTAAAGAGGATGCATCGCAGGGCTCCTTTTTATGACACAGAGTCTGATGCTTTCTCCTCCTTTCCCTCTACTCTTCTTCCTCTTATCCCTCCTTCCACAGATGGTGTTCTACGTCCAGGACAGTGATGAGGTGTATGGCCTGTTCCTCTTCCACCCTGAGAAGACGCAGACCATCCAGAGTCGGCCCGACGGCCGCTTCCTGTCCCTCAACTTTCTGCGGGAGGGGGGCACCCTGGGGGATGTGGCCCTGGGCCTCACCGCCCTCTACATCCCCGCCGGGCCCGTGGACCCCGGGCTGGCCCGGGACAGGGTGCTGAACACTAGCCGCTCTACTACCGTGCTGTTCACTCAGGGCCAGGACCAGGCCAGACTCACCCTGCCTATCCGCAACGACGCCTTCCTGCAGAACGGAGCCCACTTCCTCATCCAGGTGGGGTGAGAGGTCACGGACCAGACCTGTTTTAACTATGCTTTGTGAAAAGTTGGAAAAAAATGGGTCCACAAATAGTTACTTTGGAGGTGACTACAGCTATTTGAATACAGATCTCAGAAAGTGACTACTTTTTACAAATATTTTAATACAAACGTCAGGAAGGGACTACTTTTCAGGATTGGCTGCCTTCAACTAATGGCAGGGCTGTATCTCAAATCAAATCAGATTTTAATTGTCACATGCGCCGAATACAACAGGTGTAGACCTTACCGTAAAATGCTTACTTACAAGCCCTTTACCAACAATGCAGTTTTAAGAAAAATAAGAGTTAAGAAAAGTTGTTGGAAAGTTGTCAGCCACTCCAGCTTTGGGAAATGTTGGTTGGTTCTTGGTTTAGTCAAGCTTGTCCAGAGACATGATCCCTCATTTGCATGTGTGAGTGACTTGGACCTGAGAACTGTAGTCTGGCCCGTTGCCATGGGATCTGTCCAAGGGTCCAAACAAACAGCCCTCATCAAGCAGCACATAAAAACAAACACTAAATGGAAGTACCTCCTTCACATTCAATGGGTCCCAAAATGCTTTCTCACACACTCACTCACACACACATGCGCACACATGCGCACACACGCGCACACACGCACACACACGCACACACACGCACACACATGCACACGCCCGCACGCACGCCCGCACTCTCACACGCACACACTCACATACACACACTCACACACTCACACACACACACACTCCCACACTCTCTTTCACACACACACTCTCTTTCACACACACACACACGGCCGCACTCATATGCCTCTACTTATATATGGCATATATGAGAGTCATGGAGGCTATGTATTTTCTTTCCTCCTTTTTTAAAGACATTTTTCCTCCCGAGTGGCGCAGTGGTCTAAGGCACTGCACCGCAGTGCTAGCTGTGCCACTAGAGATCCTGGTTCGAATCCAGGCTCTGTCGTATCCGGCCGCGACCAGGAGACCCATGGGGCGGTGCACAATTGGCCCAGCGTCGTCCAGGGTAGGGGAGGGAATGGCCGGCAGGGATGTAGTTCAGTTGGTAGAGCATGGCGTTTGCAACGTCAGGGTTGTGGGTTCGTTTCCCACGGGGGGCCAGTATGAAAAATAATGTATGCACTCACTAACTGTAAGTCGCTCTGGATAAGAGCGTCTGCTAAATGACTAAAATGTAAATGTTTTTAAAAAATGGTTTCATTTCCAATTTGACTAACACAACAACAATGTCACCTACTGGTATTAAGGTTGAGTCATGTATTTCTGATGAAGGTTTGTGCTTAATGATCATTGCTGTCTCTCTCTCAGCTGGACAGTGTGGACCTGGTCAGTATTAGCCCTCCCATCACATCTGTGAGTCCTCGCTTCGGAGGGGCGGTCAACCTCACCCTCACAGTCACCCCCGACATCGCAAATGGGGAGATCGGCTTTACCAGTAACACTACGGTGGTGGTGTATGAGCCAGAGGACACCAACAGTAGCACGGTACGCTAACCCTCTGTCTGCATCAATGGCACACATGTTAGCATGATATGCTAACCATTTGTCTGCATCAATGGCACACGTTAGCACGCTACACTACACTAACCCTCTGTCTGCATCGATTTTGCGATGGCAATTTTTTTGGCAAAATCAACAATTGCCCTCATATAATGCAAGGGCTTGCAAATTTAACCAATCACCACACTATTACTGCATAAAAACAATGAAATCATCACAATATTATCGCATAAAACTGACCGATCACCTCACTACAAAAGGAGGGCTCGCAATTTCAACTAATCTGCACATTTACCCCGTAATGTGGTTCAATAAAGCCACACGTCAACAAACTTTTTCCCTCGTCAGCGCATTTCCGTGACAAATTGGACAAAATCATTGCATATTGCCATGCAAAATGTCAGAATTGCTGCAGCGAAATCCTGGAGGGACTGGAATGATCACTACAGTATTTCTGAACAGCAGGTCTTGTTACATGTAAGGTAGCTACGGTGTTTGAAATGGAAAGGGTATTACTTATTGTCATAAGTTTGTTGAAGTCTCAAATATGACTGCTGATGGTTGAGGGTTAAGATATTTTGCCTCCTATCATAGGTGACCCTCAGCCTGCGGCGGGATGGGACAGATGGACAGGCTGTGGTATTCTGGAGCCTTCGACCAATCGGAGACAACCAGGCTGACGTCACCCCTGATGACCTGAAACCCCTGAGCGGCTCGGTGGTGTTCCTGACTGGACAGAGTGACTTGGTCATCAACGTCACCGTCATGGCCGACAACATCCCAGAGGTCAACGAGACCCTTCTCCTCACCCTGGACAGGTACTGCACTGCAACCCTGAGGAGTTTTGGTTGGCCAACATATTTTCATTCAGTTAATCAGTGGCAATGTGACTTCATAAATAAGTGCCTGTGTCTGATTATCCTCTGTTTAGGTACCACACACCATTGCCATATGATATGTCCTACCTGGGGTTTGATTCAGTAGATTACTGGCCACTAGATAATTTACTTAACAATACGTGGCTGACTTAAAATGATAACACAAATTAAATAGTCTATTCTAAGAATTGCTAATACGAACAGTGAGACCAGGGTGGCTTTTAAGGAGAGCTCATCCCTCACCCCTAACCCTACCCTACCCTACCCCACCCCACCCCTAACCTTTACCCCATCCCCTACCTCACCCTTACCCTACCCTTAACCTTTCCCCTACCTCACCCCTAACCCTACCCTTACCCTTTCCCCTGCCTCACCCCTATCCTTACCCTTACCCCTACCCCTACCCCTACCCTTACCCTTACCCCTTCCCCTACCTCACCCTTACCCCAATCCCTGCCTGTCATCTGTTACCCATGAGTTGTGACGGGAACCTTGGCTCTCTCTCTCTCCCTCCCTCCCACCCCTATCCTGCAGAGTGGAGACTGCGCGCTTTGTAGTGTACTTTGTGTAAGTGGAGAGTGGAGTGAGCCTGGACCCTTTGTGTGCTGTGAATCAGGACTTTCTCTGGGGAAAAGGGACCACTTTAGGATTTCTGTGGCCTTTGGTTGATGGGAGAGGGGGTTGTTGTGGTGGTTGTTGTGGGAAGAGAGGGTGTGGGGAGTAAGGAGGGATCTTCTTTGTGTTGCACCTAATTTAACCATTCTCGATGCCCTCCTGTAAAGACATCAGTGTTTGTATGCATGCTGCACATTGGCTGCAAGTGTTTCTTTGGAATGCTTTACTCTGTCCTGCTTTCGTTTTACATTTACCCGTTATGTGGTCACACACACACACACGCATGCACACACACACACACACACACACACACACACGCACACACTGCTCATCAGGGGCCGCTGAGTGACACGGTTAATCAGAGCAGTCAAAACAACAGGCCTCTCTGGTCAATACTGAACATGACACAATACAAGGAATTACTGGATTAAAATACATGTCCCCTACTTTGATTCACTCCTTGTTGTTTTACACACAAAATATGATGGTTTTAAAAGTCCACTGCAACCCCCATTCCCCTGGTATACAGTGCATTCGAAAAGTACTCAGACCCCTTGACTTTTTCCACATTTTGTTACGTTACAGCCTTATTCTAAAATGGATTAAATAAATAAAAATCAATCTACACACAATACCCCCATGTGTATTCTAACCCCACAGTGTTAGAATGGCGCCGGAGGAGATGGCTGCTGTTTTACGGGCTCCTAACCAATTGTGCTGTTGTGTGTGTTTTTTGTACATAATGTTTCTGCCACCGTCTCTTATGACTGAAAAGAGCTTCTGGATATCAGGACAGCGATTACTCACCTCGTACTGGATGAAGATTTTTTCTTTAACGAGTCGGACGCGAAGGATTTACTTCAGACACCCTACAAGGCCCAAATCCCTGTCATTCGCAGGAGAAAGAGACGGAGATATCGTGGACGTAGGTCGGGATGCCTTGTAACGATCTGACGGCGAGTGGGTAATCAGCCTCTACCATCAGTCCTATTAGCCAACGTACAATCATTGGATAACAAAATAGACGAGCTACGATCACGAATATCCTACCAACGGGACATTAAACATTTTAATGTTTCACAGAGTCGTGGCTGAACGACGACATGGATAACATACAGCTGCCAGGGTTTATGCTGCATCGGCAAGATAGGACAGCAGGCTCCGGTAAGACCACGGGTGGCGGTCTGTGTATGTTTGTAAACAACAGCTGGTGCACAAAATGTAATATAAGGAAGTCTCAAGGTTTTGCTCACCTGAGGTAGGGTATCTCATGATAAGCTATAGATCACACAATTTACCAAGAGAGTTTTCATCTATATTTTTCGTAGCTGTCTATTTACCACCACAAACCGATGCTGGCACTAAGACCACACTCAATGAGCTGTATAAGGCCATAAGCAAACAGGAAAACGCTCATCCAGAGGCGCCACTCCTAGTGGCCGGGGACTTTAATGCTGGGAAACTTAAATCCGTTTTACCTCATTTCTACCAGCATGTTAAATGTGCAACCGGAGGAAAAAAATAACTTAAGACCACTTTACTCCACACACAGAGACACGTACAAAGCTCTCCCTCACCTTCCATTTGGCAAATCTGACCATAATTCTATCCTCCTGCTTACAAGCAAAAACTAAAGCAGGAAGCACCAGAGACTCGGTCAATAAAGAAGTGGTCAGGTGACGCAGATGCTAAGCTACAGGACTGTTTTGCTAGCACAGACTGGAATATGTTCCGGGATTCTTCCGATGGCATTGAGGAGAACACCACATCAGTCTCTGGCTTCATCAATAAGTGCATCGATGACGTCTTCCCCCCAGTGACCGTACGTACATACCCCAACCAGAAACCATGGATTACAGGCAAGATCCGCACTGAGCTAAAGGGTAGAGCTGCCGCTTTCATGGAGCGAGAATCTAACAGGGACACTTATAAGAAATCCCGCTATGTCCTCCGATGAATCATCAAACAGGCAAAGCGTCAATACAGGACTAAGACTGAATCGTACTACACCGGCTCCGATACTCGTCGGATGTGGCAGGGCTTGCAAACTATTAGACTACAAAGGGAAGCACAGCCGCGAGCTGCCCAGTGACACGAGCCTACCAGATGAGCTAAATTACTTCTACGCTCGCTTCAAGGCAAGCAACACTGAAGCATGCATGAGAGCATCAGCTGTTCCGGACGACTATGTGATCACGCTCTCCGTAGCCAATGTGAGTAAGACCTTTAAACAGGTTAACATTCACAAGGCCACTGGGCTAGACGGATTACCAGGACATGTACTCTGAGCATGCGCTTACCAACTTCCAAGTTGCAAGTTGGTCACTGACATTTTCAACCTGTCCCTGACTGAGTCTGTAATACCAACATGTTTCAAGCAGACCACCATAGTCCCTGTGCCCAAGAGCACTAAGGTAACCTGCCTAAATGACTACAGACCCGTAGCACTCACATCTGTAGCCATCAAGTGCTTTGAAAGGCTGGTCATGGCTCACATCAACACCATTATCCCAGAAACCCTAGACCCACTCCAATTTGCATACCGCTCCAACAGATCCACAGATGATGCAATCTCTATTGCACTCCACACTGCCCTTTCCCACCTGGACAAAAGAAACACCTACGTTAGAATGCTGTTAATTGACTACAGCTCAGCGTTCAACACCATAGTGCCCTCATAGCTCATCACTAAGTGAAGGACCCTGGGACTAAACACCTCCCTCTGCAACTGGATCCTGGACTTCCTGACGGGCAGCCCCCAGGTGGTAAGGGTAGGTAACAACACATCTGCTCAGTCGCCTCCTTCCAACAGGACAACGACCCTAAGCATACAGCCAAGACAACAAGACAACGCAGGAGTGGCTTCGGGACAAGTCTCTGAATGTCCTTGAGTGGCCCAGCCAGAGCCTGGATTTGAACCTGATCGAACATCTCTGGAGAGAACTGAAAATAGCTGTGCAGTGATGCTCCCAATCCAACCTGACAGAGCTTGAGAGGATCTGCAGAGAAGAATGGGAGAAACTCCCCAAAAACAGGTGTGCCAAGCTTGTAGCGTCATACCCAAGAAGACTCGAGGCTGTCATCACTGCCAAAGGTGCTTCAACAAAATACTGATTAAAGGGTCTGAATACTTATGTAAATGTGATATTTCAGTTTTGTATTGTTAATACATTTGCAAAAATGTCTAAAACCTGTTTTTGCTTTGACATAATGGGGTATTGTGTGTAGATTTATGCGATTTAAAAAAAATGTTTTTAATCCATTTTAGAATAAGGCTGTAACGTACCAAAATGTGGAAAATGTCAAGGGGTCTGAATACTTTCTGAATGCACTGTAGAGGCCTGTGAGTTCCTTCCTGGTCTAGTCACTTAGTTCCCCTCTGTGTTGCAGGACTAACGTTGAGAACCAGATCCTGAAGCCTGGCTTCACCAGTCGAGAGATTGTCATTGTGGAGAACGACGACCCAGGTGGAGTCTTTGAGTTCTCCTCCTTCTCCAGAGGACCCTGGTACATCAACGTACGTCTGACACACACACTTAGACATCATGGCTGTTGATGCTCATCTGTTTCATCCACTGGACTGCATGTTGAAATGACCAACCAGGTCATTTTCCCGGAAGACCATTGCTGTATTCACAAAGCATCTCAGTAGGAGTGCTGATCTAGGATCAGTTTTGCCTTTTATATCACAATGAATAAGAGGCAGGACCTGATCCTAGATCAGAACTCCTACTCTGAGACTTTCTAAATACGGGCAAAATCAATGGCTAACCTAAATCAATAACAGCAACACTTCTGACCCATAGTTTGTCCCTTTGGTTTGCCCTGTGAACTTTGCCCTGTAGGAGGGTGAGGCGGTGGAGATGCGTGTGATCCGGGCCCAGGGGCAGCTGCTCAGACAGCTGTTGCAATACGCCCTCATACCCTCAGGCAACACAGAGTTCTATGGCGCCACCGGTATCCTGGAGTTCAAGCCCGGGGAGAGTGAGGTGCTGGTGGCGCTGGTGGCACGGCCTGACGGGATCCCTGAGGTACAGCTATACTGCTGTCTGGCCCTCCTTTATGGTATCATGTATGGCATGGACACTTCTTCCTGACTATTAGGGTGTCACTGGTCCTACAGTTTCCAGTTTTAATTGCCTTTGAAATTCAAAATCAGTTTTTTAGTTTTGATAGTTAACACTATATGTGTTTGAGTGTTGAGCACAGTGGGCAGATTACAGTGTGACAGTCCTGTTGAAGTGTGTGTGTGTGTGTGTGTGTGTGTAGCTGGATGAGACATTCTCGATGGAACTCAGCAGCTACAGCACTCCACCCAGTCGCCTTGGTAACCACAGAGTGGTCAACATCACGGTGCGCAGGAACGACGACCCCTTCGGGGTCATCGAGTTCATCCGTTCTGGACTGGCAGAGGCCATCAACGAGAGCAAAGGCTCCCAGTCTCACTCAGGTACAATGGTGCAGTGGAGGAACAGTGTCTACCAACTATACAACACTTTAAGACTATGTAGTACAACAGAAGAAACATAACAGTTGTGATCATATTTGAAGTAATTTTAATTCTTTAAAAGAGGATGCAGTAGAGAGATGATAAAGGAACTAATAGGATTGAGTGTATTGTATTGTATTGTAATCAGTGTGTTCTGTTGTGGGTCTGCTTGGCAGTGGCCTATCCCCTGGTGAGGAACAGGGGTCACTTCGGGACGGTGTCTGTATCCTGGGTGCTAGAGCCCCACATGTCTGCTGACGTCAACCCCGTACAGGGATACATTGTGTTTGCTGAGGGGGAGTATATGAAAAACCTCACCATCTTCTCTGTACCAGATGAGGTAAAGCCATCTCTCAAATACAACGGCATCTGGCCAACTGCCACAATCAGGGCTCCTTGACATAATATACTGTGTGATCTATGTCAATAGAGTTTCATGATTTGGATGGTACTGTATCTTCTATCTTTTCTACACAACAGTGACAGTGTCTTGTTTCCCCCATAAGATCCCAGAGGACATGGAGAATTTCACCATCACTCTCCTTAATGCGACGGGGGGAGCAAGACTTGGGAACATACTCAACGCCAGCTTGCACATAAACAAAAACGATAACCCGATTTCCTTTGCAGGTAAGATCTCTTGGAATTACATCCTAATACTGTCTGTAAAGCACTGGTGCGTTTCTTCAAGTTCTGCTATGTGTTGTCAGACATAAAGTGGATATATCAAGTAACATATTTTTATGCCAAGTGACATAGTTTTTATGTCAAGTGACATAGTTTGTCAGTTGACATAAGGTGACATAAGACTCTGTCTCTCTGTCCTCCAGAGCCTGTGGTTGTCAGGCTTCAGGAGGGGGGCGTGGCTAACTTCACCGTTTTGAGGGCTGGTCCAGCTGACTTTGTTGCCACGGTGATGTATCGCGTGGACTACGGCGAGGCATCACCTCGTGACTTGGCCCGGCTGAGTAACGACACTGTGCTGGTGTTTGGCATGGGACAATGGATGAAGAACATCTCTGTAGTTGTGGAGGATGACGATATACCTGAGACCGAAGAATCCTTCTACATCATTCTCTACAACACTACAGGTGTGGAAGGCTGCCACATTTTCTCTGCACTGAAACAGACAAGATATTTCTCCTGACCTCGTGATCTGAACAGGAAAAACAGTGGGCCCAAGTTTTAGCCAATAGCTAGAATCCAGAATGTTGCCTGGTCTGGTAATGTCACATGGCCATGAAACCCCCCTGGCCATTCTTATGTTTGATAACATTCTATACAATAATTACTCAATCTAATTTATACTCTCAATACAATAGCACAAAGTTATGTTGGTCAAGTCATTTTGGAGGCAACTGTAGCACAAAACAACCAGCCACATTGCGTTGACTGTATTTCCATGTGTAGTAGCCGTAGCGTCAGTCTCTTTGACAGTTGTTTCTGTACATTGGTGAGTAACTGGGTTGATTAGCATTGAGTCTGATGACTCTGAAAAGCCCTTCTAATCCCAGTATTGTGTGACACAGACAGGGATGAAAGCCTGTGGGGGAAGTTAATTACTGAACTCAGACTCACTCTGCAGCCAGCCAGCCAGCCAGCCCGCTACTCCAGTGCCTGGATGGTTGTATGCGCATGGACCACTTTGAGAGAAAATACGGGTTAACCCACTCTGCTCCACTCCAAGCCTTAGTTTATGAGAGGGCTCTTATTGGGGTTTTTTCATGGCGGACATCTGCATGTGGAACCTTGACCCTATCTGCTGGTTAGCGGTGATTACTGTGTGTTAATGAGAACACTCTTTCCTTTTTGTTATGAGATTTAGCATGACAATAACAATGTGGGTATTATAAAGCAACCTCGTCCCTTTCTCTTGTAAAAAGCAGAACCACATGCTGAGGACAGATTTAAAATAGATTATTTTTTAAAGAAGACATTCTCGTGTCGTTTTTTTCCAACGTATAATAAAAAATTAAAAAATCAAGATGTTAAGTTCAAACAAGAACATCATATTATTTTGACTGACTTGAAGGACATTAAATGTTTTTTTTTGTCTTCACGTGTTATGTTTCTCTCTTGTTCAGTACTTTGTTATTGAATAAAAACAAAGGGACAGAGTTTTAACAGGCATTGTAACTGTATTCAGTGACTGCATGCGTTGAAAGCGATTATGTGTAAATTGCTGGCCTTGACACCCACCAACTAACTGTGTAATTTCACATTGTGACCCTGTGTGTGTGTTTGTGGGTACAGGTGACGCTGTTGTGTATGGGGCGGACACAGCGACAGTGTTGATTGAGGCCAATGATGAGGCCAATGGAATATTCTCACTGGAATCGACAGAGAGGCCTGTGAAAGAGGGCAAGACCAACAACTTCTAGTAAGGAACCAAAGCCTTAATACACCATAAACCTAACCCTGATGCTTACCCAGCCTCTGGAATAATTTAGCAGCTCTAACTAGTGCTGAGCGATTAGTGCTTTTTGAGGTCGGTTTGGTTTTTGTTCAAATCAGTTTAAGATTTCAGTTTCAATAATTTAAAAAAACATTAAATGCACTATGCATTATATGAGTTGAATGCTGTAACAACACAGAATAAATCAATTAATAAAAGTCCCATGATGGTAGTGACTGCCGATTACTGCTTATCACTTATTAACCATAATTTATTCACATTACTTTAATAATATATTTCAGTTGTTGTGTTTATTACATTTGTTTTATTGGATGACTATTATTTCATTCCATGTCATCATCTCATCTCTATAGAGCTGCTCTGCCTATGCTGTCTGACAAAATCACTATTTTAGTAGTTCTTCAAAGTAAACAAGGCATACTTTTATGACTGCTGAATACCAACTATCAGTGACTTAGATCATGTATTTTCAGATAGAGATACCTCACAAAGCAACTGCTCTCTATCCCTCTCAATCACACGTTCTTCTGTCTCTTCTCTCCCTCTCCGTGTCTACCCACCCCACACAGACCGGACAAGTAGGCGCGCAATGGATTATGGTCATTGTAGTTAATTACCACGTTTTCTGCGCTAAACTATGTAGAATATTGGCCTGTTGGAAACTACAACTCCCCACTACATCTCACAGTTTGGGCTTGATCTGATTTGTCTCTAGAGAAACCAAACGAAATGGAATTCAAATAATTGAACTGATGTCGGTCAATTAGTTGTTTAAAAAATGAAAAATAAGACATTTCTGTTCATCTCTCAGAACTAGATCTAACCAAACTTCTTCAGTTGATGATTCTAGCAACTGCTGTAATAATTTAATCATGGGGTGTGTCAGTTTGGGTCCTTGGGGGTCGTAGTGTCTGCTGGCACTCTTCTCCCTCAGTCCCTCATACAGTCGTTTCATCTCCTAGTGTTATCAGGGCCAGGGGACACTTTGGCAATGTGACGGTGTTCTGGCGCCTTTATGCCAATGACACAGCCCTGGAGCCTGGTCAGGAGTTCATCAACACCTCTGGCTCCATCACTTTCACCACGGGAGAGGGGACCAAATCCATCGTCCTGGAGGCCATCTCAGACAAACTCCCGGAGTTCAACAAGTTCTATGTCCTCAGGCTCATCAACATCTCAGGTAGGGGAAGTGAGGGATGAGGCAGGTATGCTCCAGGTGAGGGATGTGGAAACAGACCTACAGTATCTTCTTCTTGACTGGAACATGAACATCTGAGATTGCTACCTCTGTTCTCTAAGTTGAAATGGGATGGTATGGGTTATTCCTAAATTACTCTGTCACATTACACATGTTGTTGACATTAAAACATGAACCATTTTCTGTCCGGTGATATTTCATAGGTGGTTACCCCGGACAGGGCGGCCGATTGGCTACTACATCCCTCAACGCATCCGTCCTGATCCCCTTCAACGACGACCCCTTTGGAGTGTTCGCCATAGCTGATGACAACCTGGACCAGGAAGTGGCTGAGGATGTCCTGTCAGAACTGGACATGTCTGATGTCACTTCCTTCAATATACTGCGGCAGCAGGGCACCTTCGGGGAGGTGCGGGTTGCCTGGGAGATCGTATCCGGCCGTTTCCCTCTCGGCCTCCCTCCTATGCAGGACCTCCTCCTCAGCGCCTCCTTCCCCAAGGAGGTGGAGCTCAGGCCCCATGACAGGAGGCAACACTCAGGCACCGACGCCTGGCTCTTCTCAGGCCTCCAGGGGGCCTACGGCAACATCAGCCCAGAGGACGGGCCTGGCAGCCTGGCTAACTTCACCTTCTCAGCCTGGCTGGTTCCCAGGCCAGACACCAACGGCTTCATTGTGTCCAAGGGCAACAGGAACAGGACGTTGAACTATGGGGTGAAGGTCCAGACTAATGAGTCTCATGTGTGCGTGATGCTGTACTACACAGCCCTGGGGGCCAACTACACCCAGGTGGCCCAGGGCCACGGCAGAGAGGTTTGTGGGGGACAACGTGTGGCTCCATGTGGTGATCACGGCGGATGATGGGATTATTGAGTTCTTCCTGGATGGGAACCCCATGCCCGGAGGGGTAAAGAGTCTAAAAGGAGAGGCCATCACTGACGGTGAGTTCCATGAATTTCATTATCTCTTAAAGACAGGAATCCTAATACTTATTAAGACAGTATCTTATGGGATTGTCTTGTATAGGAGTTACAAGCTGAACAGGGCTTCTACTCCACTAGCTAGAGTTAAATCCTCTTCCTGTAGCTATGACAACCATCTCAATCCTGTAAAGGGTATATTATGTATCTGATTAACGATAATAAAGGTATAACTGTTCATTAAAGATGTCCAAAATGAAAAGTTTGAAATGATTCTTATAGTTGTGTTATTGTATAGGCCTAACCTACACCCCCTGACTACAGTAACTTCCATGAAGTCTAGCCTCTCTAAGCTTGTTCCACTGAGCTTCCTCACTCTCAGCAGACAGAGACCTCACCATAGTGTATAAACGTCTCCTCAGATGTCAATGTCTTCAACAATCTGACTGGTGGTCTGTAGTGAGCGCTGTGGGACCCTGCTCCTCTCCTCACTCTCGTGGCCCACATCTGGTCAGGGAGGCTCTAGTTAAAAACCCCTCCATGCATTCCTCTCCCATTGTTTGGACTTACACAGAGACCAATGAGCGAGCGCTTAGCCACCACACTGCTGGACATTGTTACAGGCAGAAGAAAGCTGGTGGCAGTTTTCGGTCTCCCCCCAATAACTGAAGACAATGTGCTTTCTGTAGGGCAACCCCCCCCCCCCCCACCCCCCCACGATGGGACTATTTGTTTTGATGGCTCTTCTTGGGTTAACTTCAATCAAAGGGGTATACACGTCAACCAGTGTTCCATTGTTTTTTCTGAGAGCTTTGTCTGAGAGCATTGTCCATGGTCACCGTGGCGAGCTTCCTCTACTTGTCAATTTTTCTGCTGTTGAAATGCTCGCTGGTGGTCTGTGTGTGGGGTGGGGGGGGGGCATTAATGAAGCATTCTGGAATGGTCACACTGTACAATACATGCTTCTCAGCTTCTCTGTATACAAAAAGCTTTTTTTTTACAGCAGCATGATCACCTACTGCTTGATGTTTTTCTGAGTGTATTCTTTATTTTTTTTAATGTTTTTTTTTTTATTTCTTCTACCTCCTGTGTGTGTTGCAGGTTCAGCTCCGGTGTGGATCGGCTCGGACCCCTACGGAGAGGAGCGTTACACGGGCCTCCTGCAGGACGTGCGTCTCTACCATAGCAGGCTGAACCGTTCAGAGATCCACGAGCTCCACGCACAGCCCGCCAAGACGGACCTGAGGAACATCTCTGGCTACCTGCAGTACAGGCAGGGCGAGAGGCAGAAGGCCTTTGTGGTGAAGGTGCGGGACGATGAGGAGGAGGAGGGGGAGGAGGTGTTCTACCTGCAGCTGGTGGCGACCCACGGGGGGGCGCGCCTCCCCCTCCCCCGGCCCACCGCCACCCTACGGGTGATGAAGAGTGACAACGCCAACGGCTTCTTTGGCTTCACCGGCGCATGCATACCAGACGTAAGACAAACACACACACACACACACACACACACACACAAGGGTCGCGTTAGCTTTCAGAAATCTGCATTTTCAAAAAGCAGACCATAAAACAACCTGCATTTTGAACCATTTCACCTGCGTCTTAAGTCAACAGTGTTTTTTTGCTTCAATAGAGTGATCGGGGTGAGCAACTATAGTTTTTCTTCACACAAAACACATTCGGCAGAAAGTACAATGCTATTTGGCTGGCAGCCACACATAAGTACATTAACTTACAATTAAAAAGTAAGGTATTATTTGGCAAAAACTATGTATTGCCATCATATTTCTAATATTTATCATTTACATTACATTTTAATCATTTAGCAGACGCTCTTATCCAGAGCGACTTACAGTTAGTGCATACATTATTTGATCGAACCTACAACCCTGGCGTTGCAAACGCCATGCTCTACCAACTGAGCTACATCCCCTGCCGGCCATTCCCTCCCCTACCCTGGACGACGCTGGGCCAATTGTGCGCGCCGCCCCATGGGTCTCCCGGTCGGGGCCGGCTACGACAGAGCCTGGATTCGAACCAGGATCTCTGGTGGCACAGCTAGCACTGCGATGCAGTGCCTTAGACCACTGCGCCACTCGGGAGTTTATCATAGAAAGAATGTAGCCAGCTACATTTCCTAATGTTTTGCTTGAAGTTAATCTTGTATTTTAACATGCTACCAGAGGATAAACTGCACCGGATGAAAGTACCAGATAAAAGTAGCCTACACATCAGTCAGAGCTGTCTGGTGATCCAATGAGGAGAGCAAAGATATTTCATCCTGGTGGAGAAGTGCAACTGAAGCACGAAATTAGTCATTTTACATTCATGACCCTGATTGAAGCCGAGCAGAATTTACAATAAAATATCTGCTTTTACGAAACAAAATATTTTTGGGGTGTTTTATCTTTCCTTTTCTGTATGAAAAACACAGAATCCTGCGTTAACACCACCCCTGATACATACACGCACGCATATATACGCATGCACACATACAGTATCTTACATGCTTTACAGTATAAACGAGACACTGTTGACACTACTGAGATGAAATGTAGACCACAGTTGCCAACTATGGCAGTCATTCTTACAGCTCTGAACTTGACGGACACATCAGCAAAATGGTGTAAGACACACAGCAGACTGGAGAACAGCACATTATTGTCACATTCTAGCTTTGATCCAGCATGTATCTTGAGAATATGGCTATTTGGTTACCTAGAAAGACATGTAATTTAAGCCAGTGGTTTGTGAGCGCATGTCCTCGTGCATATTTAACCAGTGTTCACGCCTGGGTGGAGGGAGTGTGCGCTCAGCCCCTTAGAGAGATTGGACTCTGATGGCTCCTCTCAGGGAGAGCAAAAGGTGGTAGACCAGCCATGGGCATTCCTGTGGACGTAGAGTCCCAGTAGCACAACAGGTGGTAGAACAGGGGATGGCATTCCATCAGAACAAGGGTCCCTCTAACCGTGCATGGGGACAAAGGGACTCATCTGGGGCTATCGGGTGGTCTCTCTGCAAATCACATCATGACTGTGCAGGAATTAGAGGAGGGCTGTCCATGAAAGTATTTATCAAGAGCAAAGGTCAATTTTTTGGAATGAATCGTGTCAGTCTTGAATTGATAACGAGCTATCGTGCAGTAGAATAAAACATATATTTTTTTCAAGTTTGTGATATCTTGTCAGTGTTTGTCATTAAATGAAAGTTTGTTTACAATTTTGATGTGTAATGTGACTATACGGTTTAAAATGGCCCAATGTCCAGTTGCTTAGTTTAGGGAGCATCATTTACAACCAGGCTCTGTGTCTGTTTTCTCTGTACTTTCTCTATGGCCAGATGTCAGAGGAAGGTTCCACCATCTCCTGTGTTATTGAGCGGACACGCGGGGTTCTGGACCACGTCTATGTCAACTACACGGTCACTCAGTTGGACTCAGACAGCCAGGCTGCGGCCCACCAGGACTTTGCCAACGCCAGTGGCTCAGTGTTCTTCCTGCCCGGTCAGCGCTCTGAGGTGTGGGGGAACACCCAGAGTCAGATATCCACACACACACACACACACACACACACACACACACACACACGCACACACACACACACACACACACACACTGACACACACACAGACACACACACACACACACAGACACACACACACACAGACACACACAGACACACTCTGACACACACACACACACACACACACACCACACAGACACACACACACACACAGACACACACACACGCTGACACACACACACACACACACACACACACACACACACACACACACACACACACACACACACACAGACACACACACACACACACAGACACAGACACACAGACACACAGACACACACACACACACAGACACACACACACACACACACACACACACACACACTCACAGACATACACACACACACACAGCTCTGAGAAGACTACCCATGCACTCCTCAATCACACATGAACCAGGGAAACCCCACTGAACAATGAGCATGCTCCTTGGTACATCTGTAGAGTAACACTACACACACACACACACACACACACACACACACACACTCGCACATGCACACACATGCACATAAACACAAAAACACACTGAAATGCAAGGAGGTCAGACAAACAAGTCAAGATAAATGTTTTACCATTCATCTACATTTCTGGCCATATTTAATCCCAGAAAACTATTTTCATCCACTCGGTGGTGTTGTTGACTTGTAGCCCCACCTAGGGGCTGAGAGGAATATGTTGTTGTGGTTAACGGTGTTTGCTAATGATTAGGCTAAGCTTCAAATCCACTACAGACACCAAAACCTGCAAACAAACACATTATGAATATCTGGACTCTCTCTGAGTTAATTTTAGATTGAAATCTTGACTATCCCTCATGTGTTATGACATCATCTCCCTGCGACTCCCAGGTCCTGAACCTGCTGGTGTTGAATGATGACACCCCTGAGTTCGCAGAGTCCTTCCAGGTCACTCTGGTGTCAGCGGAGTCAGGCGACGGGAAGCCAGGCTCCACCCCCACCAGTGGGGCCAGCATTGATCCTGACAACTCAGCCACCACTGTCACCGTCACGGCCAGCGACCATCCCTATGGTGCAGAGAGAGAGAGACACACAAACACACCACTGTACCACACCAATATAACCTCAAACAGATTTGCACATCATATCACCTAATGTCAGTTCCCGTCCAGAGTACATGAATCAAGAACTGCAGATATCTGTAAAAACACATAGTTGACAGACACAATAAGTTCTGCTTATAACCTGCTGGAAATAGGTTCAGTTTGTGGCATAATGTGAAAACACTGTAGCAAACTGTTGTTGGTGTGAGTCAATCATCAACTGTTGATATACATTTGTCACAGACACAATTAGATCACTCATAGTTATGGATGTTCCGTGAATGTATATCAGTAACATGTCATGGATTGATCCTCTCGCTGATCATCTCTGACCAGGCTTATTGTTCTATGAAGCTAGATGAGCAGCTGTTGTGAGTACTGGTCTCCCTCTCTCCCAGGTCTGCTCCAGTTCCAGCCCGGCCTGCCAGCTGAGGGCATGATCCGCCCAGCAACAGAGCCTGCCCACGTCACGGTCAACGAGGAGGATGGCGTGGTTCGCCTGCTGGTGGCCAGGGCCCAAGGCCTCCTGGGAAGAGTCATGGTCGGCTACAGGACCTCACCATTTACTGCTGCCAGCCCCGAGGACTATGAGGTCATTTCCTGCCGTCCTTGTACTGTAGATCAGCATCTCAGCCAGACACACGGATGGATGGTCACTTGAGCTCTGTGAATTTTCCCAAAAAATCTCCTAATACATGAATTATGTGTGATTTATGATTTAGGTATGTGTGTTTAGTTAGGATTTGACCCATAATAACTTCCTATTTGATCCTTATACTTGGCTATCTGCTGCGCTTTTATTTTGAAATGATGAAGAGAATAATAATTGATGGCTGTTTTATAGTCTGTCACTAGATTAACTCCTTTGATGACTGTTTGATAGTTTGTCACTAGATTAACTCCTTTGATAGCTGTTTGATAGTTTGTCACTAGACTAACTCCTTTGATGGCTGTTTGATAGTTTGTCACTAGACTAACTCCTTTGATGGCTGTTTGATAGTTTGTCACTAGACTAACTCCTTTGATGGCTGTTTGATAGTTTGTCACTAGACTAACTCCTTTGATGGCTGTTTGATAGTTTGTCACTAGACTAACTCCTTTGATGGCTGTTTGATAGTTTGTCACTAGACTAACTCCTTTGATGACTGTTTTAATAATTTGTCACTAGACTAACTCCTTTGAAGGCTGCTTGATAGTGAGCTTGTGCTAACTCCCCAAGCTAACCCCTTGTTCCCTACCTACTCTGCTTGCACCTGTTCCATGGCCCATACAGGACTCAGACGGCATGCTAGACTTCCTGCCAGGAGAACGCTTCAAGTACATCAGTGTGACAGTCATAGACAACCCCGTCCCTGAGCTGGACAAGGTGTTCAGAGTGGAGCTCTACAACCCTGACGGAGGTGGTAAGACAAATACCATTGGTTGATCGATTGATTGATCGGCCAATTGGTGATGATCTTCTTACCAACTCTTCTCTTATTTCTGATCTTTATAAATAGGCCACCTTCCTATCCTGTAATCATATCTTTCAGTGTTTCACATCCCTGAAATCCTGTTCTAACTGATCCTTTGCCTGTGTTCTGTCACATTGTGTCCTTATGTGCTCCCGTGTGCTCCCGTGTGCTCTTGTGTGCTCCTGTGTGCTGTGCTCCCCAATGATCCCCACTACTCTGGTGTGATCCTGTGTGATCCCAAAGTGGATCAGTTCCTTCGGAGTGAAGGCAGTGGCAGTGGAGAAAGTGACACTGACCTCTTCCTCCTGTCCTCTCACCACCATGGTAAGACCACCTCCCCTACGTGCTTACGCCTGCATGGGTGCTTTTGCATGGGTGTGCGTGTATGTGGGGTATTTCAATTTCAATGGGTCCAGTGAGCAGTGACCGGGGAGAGTGATGTGGCAAATAGGCATTCTATTGAGATGAGGGCAGCAGTGGTAAGTGGTGAACAGAAAATGTCCCAGATCCCAGGGCTCATTGTTCTACATTTCCACCATGTGGCACAATGCTATTTGGCTGGTAGCCACACATAAGTACATTAACTTACAATTAAAAAGTAAGGTATTATTTGGCAAAAACAATGTATTGCCATCATATTTCTAATATTTATCATTTACATTACATTTTACATTTTAGTCATTTAGCAGACGCTCGTATCCAGAGTGACTTACAGTTAGTGAGTGCATACATTTTTCATACTGGCCCCCCGTGGGAATCGAACCCAGAACCCTGGCGTCGCAAACGCCATGCTCTACCAACTGAGCTACACGGGGCCTGTGTAGCACAATAGGAAGCACTCATTGATTTTGGCTATGAAAATAATGGCAAGGTTTACAGTTGTGTGTGCTAATCCCCTGGCTGCCACACTTTGTAATGTCCCCATAGTTAAACACCTGTATGTCTTTCTAGCCAGCTTGGGAGTCGCCTCCCACATCACTGTGACCATAGCTGCCTCTGATGACGCACATGGAGTGTTTCAGTTCAGCCTGGACTCTCTGTCTGTCAACGGCACCGAGCCTGAGGAGGGACGCAGCACTGTGCTCCTGCAGGTCATTGTGTGTGTCTCTGTGTTTCAGTGTGTCTGTGTGTGTCTGTTTCAGTGTGTGTGTCTCTGTGTGTCTGTGTTTCAGTGTGTGTGCGTATCTCTGTTTCAGTGTGTGTCTGTGTTTCAGTGTGTGTGTGTGCGTGTATCTCTGTGTTTCAGTGTGTGTGTGTGTGTATCTCTGTTTCAGTGTGTGTGTCTGTGTTTCAGTGTGTGTGTGTCTGTGTGTATCTCTGTGTTTCAGTGTGTGTGTGTATCTGTGTGTATCTTTGTTTCAGTGTGTGTGTCTGTGTTTCAGTGTGTGTGTGTTCCCCTGACAGTAGACGGTATATTCAACTCTCTCTCTGGACCCCCTCTACTCTCTCTCTGGACCCCCTCTACTCTCTCTCTCTGGACTCCCTCTACTCTCTCTCTCTGGACTCCCTCTACTCTCTCTCTGGAACCCCTCTACTCTCTTTCTGGACCCCCTCTACTCTCTCTCTGGACCCCCTCTACTCTCTCTTTGGACCCCCTCTACTCTCTCTCTTTGGACCCCCTCTACTCTCTCTCTGGACCCCCTCTACTCTCTCTCTGGACCCCCTCTACTCTCTCTCTTTGGACCCCCTCTACTCTCTCTCTTTGGACCCCCTCTACTCTCTCTCTTTGGACCCCCTCTACTCTCTCTCTGGACCCCCTCTGCTCTCTCTCTGGACCCCCTCTACTCTCTCCCTCTAACCGTCTCAGGTGATGCGGTCGTTCGGTGCCTTGTCCAACGTGACTGTATTCTGGGAGGCTGATGTCAGCTCTGAGGAAGACCTCATCAGCAGGGGCGGGAACATCACCTTCCATGTGGGCCAGACCAGGGGGGAGATTGAGCTCCAGGTGGCCCAGGACGAGGTGCCGGAGCTGGACAAGAGATTCGGTGTGTCCCTAGTCAACGTCTCCCATGGGCGTCTGGGTGTAAGGACTGAGGCCACTGTGACTGTTCTGGCCAGTGATGACCCCTATGGAGTGTTTGTGTTCTCGGAGAGCAGCAGGCCGGTCCGCCTGCCTGAGGGCCACACCCTGGTCACCCTCACCATCCACAGGCAGAGGGGGCTGATGGGAAGGGTGCGCGTGACGTACGGGACCCTGAGTGAGGCTGACGCCGCCCCCTTCATGACCCCGGGGGTGGGCCGGGCCAGCGAGGGGAACGACTTTGTCCCCCTCCTGGAGTCGGTGGTGTTCGCAGCCAATCAGAGTGAGGCTAAAGTAACCCTTCGAGTGCTGGATGATGAAGAGCCTGAGAGGGATGAGTCTGTATTCATGGAGCTGATCAGTGTCAATCTCATAGGAGGAGGACAGCATGAGAGATTAAGTAAGTCACTGCCACATGTTCACATCCCCACTATGAATATCCAGCCTTATAGTCGATACATGGTCAACATACAGTGGGGAGAACAAGTATTTGAAACACTGCCAATTTTGCAGGTTTTCCTACTTACAAAGCATGTAGACGTCTGGTACACTTCAACTGTGAGAGACGGAATCTAAAACAAAAATCCAGAAAATCACATTGTATGATTTCTAAGTTATTAATTTGCATTTTATTGCATGACATAAGTATTTGATACATCAGAAAAGCAGAACTTAATATTTGGTACAGAAACCTTTGTTTGCAATTACAGAGATAATACGTTTCCTGTAGGTCTTGACCAGTTTTGCACACACTGCAGCAGGGATTTTGGCCTACTCCTCCATACAGACCTTCTCCAGATCCTTCAGGTTTCGGGGCTGTCGCTGGGCAATACAGACTTTCAGCTCCCTCCAAAGATTTTCTATTGGGTTCAGTTCTGGAGACTGGCTAGGCCACTCCAGAACCTTGAGATGCTTCTTACGGAGCCACTCCTTAGTTGCCCTGGCTGTGTGTTTCAGGTCGTTGTCATGCTGGAAGACCCAGCCACGACCCATCTTCAATGCTCTTACTGAGGGAAGGAGGTTGTTGGCCAAGATCTCATGATACATGGCTCCATCCATCCTCCCCTCAATACGGTGCAGTCGTCCTGTCCCCTTTGCAGAAAAGCATCCCCAAGGAATGATGTTTCCACCTCCATGCTTCACGGTTGGGATGGTGTTCTTGGGGTTGTACTCATCCTTCTTCTTCCTCCAAACACGGCGAGTGGAGTTTAGACCAAAAAGCTCTATTTTTGTCTCATCAGACCACATGACCTTCTCCCATTCCTCCTCTGGATCATCCAGATGGTCATTGGCAAACTTCAGACGGGCCTGGACATGCGCTGGCTTGAGCAGGGGGACCTTGCATGCGCTGCAGGATTTTAATCCATGACGGCGTAGTGTGTTACTAATGGTTTTCTTTGAGACTGTGGTCCCAGCTCTCTTCAGGTCATTGACCAGGTCCTGCCGTGTAGTTCTGGGCTGATCCCTCATCTTCCTCATGATCATTGATGCCCCACGAGGCGAGATCTTGGATGGAGCCCCAGACCGAGTGTGATTGACCGTCATCTTGAACTTCTTCCATTTTCTAATAATTGCGCCAACAGTTGTTGCCTTCTCACCAAGCTGCTTGCCTATTGTCCTGTAGCCCATCCCAGCCTTGTGCAGGTCTACAATTTTATCCCTGATGTCCTTACACAGCTCTCTGGTCTTGGCCATTGTGGAGAGGTTGGAGTCTGTTTGATTGAGTGTGTGGACAGGTGTCTTTTATATAGGTAACGAGTTCAAACAGGTGCAGTAAATACAGGTAATGAGTGGAGAACAGGAGGGCTTCTTAAAGAAAAACTAACAGGTCTGTGAGAGCCGGAATTCTTACTGGTTGGTAGGTGATCAAATACTTATGTCATGCAATAAAATGCAAATGAATTACTTAAAAATCATACAATGTGATTTTCTAGATTTTTGTTTTAGATTCCGTCTCTTAGAGTTGAAGTGTACCTATGATAAAAATTACAGACCTCTACATGCTTTGTAAGTAAGAAAACCTGCAAAATCGGCAGTGTATCAAATACTTGTTCTCCCCACTGTACACTATATATACATACACTATATATACAAACACTATATATACATACACTATATATATACTATATATATATATATATATATACTATATATACTAAAGTATGTGGACACCCCTTCAAATTAGTGGATTCGGCTATTTCAGCCACACCCATTGCTGATAGGTGTATAAAATCGAGCACACAGCCATGCGATCTCCATAGACAAACATTGGCACCAGAATGGCCTTACTGAAGAGCTCAGTGACTTTCAATGTGGCACTGACATAGGATGCCACCTTTCCAACAAGTCAGTTCGTCAAATTTCTGCCCTACTAGAGCTTCCCCGGTCAACTGTATTTGCTGTTATTGTGAAGTGGAAACGTCTAGGAGCAACAATGGCTCAGCCACAAAGTGGTAGGCCACACAAGCGCACAAAATGGGACCACCGAGTGCTGAAGCGCGTAATGAGTAAAACTCGTCTGTCCTCGGTTGCAACACTCACTACCGAATTCCAAACTGCCTCTGCTTCATGAAATGGGTTTCCGCAGCCGGGTTCACCATGCGCAATGCCAAGTGTCGGCTGGAGTGCTGTAAAACTTGCCGCCATTTGACTCTAGAGCAGTGGAAACGCGTTCTCTGGAGTGATGAATCACTCTTCACCATCTGGCAGTCTGACGGACGAATCTGGGTTTGGCAGATGCCAGGAGAACGCTACCTGCCCGAATGCATAGTGCCAACTGTAATGTTTGGTAGAGGAGGGATAATTGTCTGGGGCTGTTTTTCATGGTTCGGGCTTGGCCCCTTAGTTCCAATGAAGGGAAATCTTAACGCTACAGCATACAATGATATTCTAGATGATTCTGTGCTTCCAACATTGTGGCAACAGTTTGGGTAAGGCCCTTTCCTGTTTCAGCATGACAATGCCCCTGTACACAAAGTGAGGTCCATACAGAAATGGTTTGTCAAGATCGGTGTGGAAGAACATGACTGGCCTGCACAGAGCCCTGACCTCAACCCCATCAAACACCTTTGGGATGAATTGGAACACCGACTGCGAGCCAGGCCTAATCGCCCAACATCAGTGCCCGACCTCACTAATGCTCTTGTGGCTTAATGGAAGCAAGTCCCCACAGCAATGTTCCAACATCTAGTGGAAAGCTTTCCCAGAAGAGTGGAGGCTGTTATAGAAGCAAAGGGGGGACCAACTCCATATTAATGCCCATGATTTTGGAATGTGATGTTTGACAAGCAGGTGTCCACATACTTTTGGGGATGTAGCGTATGTAGTGGGAATAGGGATATGTTTTTTTTTTGTCAAACCATACAGATTCTTCTCTTTCCTAGTTGCCCAGTCTCCTCGTCTTGGTCCGAAGGCAGAGATCGTGGCCCAGGTCATAGTAGAGGCCAGTGATGATGCCTTTGGGTTTCTGCAGCTGTCTGCCCCTGCCGTCAGTGTGGCTGAGAACTATGTTGGACCCATTATCAATGTCACACGCATCGGGGGGATTTTTGCTGACGTGTCCGTCAAGTTCAGGGCTGTACCAATGACTGCCAGAGTTGGTAAGTGTGGTCTACATCATCTCAATAGTGTAAATAGTGTCTCATAAATACTGTCTTATATATATATATATATATGCTGTATAGCAGGTACTGTGTGTGCGCGTGTGTGTCAATGCAGGTGACGACTACAGCGTAGCGTCCTCTGACGTGGTCCTCCTGGAGGGGGAGACCAGTAAGCCTGTTCCCATCTACGTCATCAACGATGTGATTCCTGAGCTGGAGGAGACCTTCCGCATCGAGTTGCTCAACGTCACCACAGGGGGCGCTAAACTGGGGGCGCTCACCCGCACCATCATCACCATCCTGCCCTCTGACGACCCCTTTGGGGCCTTCGGTTAGCTCACGTCTCTCTCCTCTCCCTCACAGACATGCCTTCACATGCGTCCTAGAATGTACAGTTGCTCATTCAAATCAGATTACAGTGCATGCACGATGACTGACTACATTAGCCAATAATCTATTGTATTTTAGTCTAAAAGAGCCCAATGAAACATCCTGCATTGTTCCTTTATTAGTAAATGACCCATTAGACCTCATCAAAGTACTGTTTGTGTTCCCTAGTATTTCAGGCTGCTAACCCTAACCCTAGTATTTCAGACTGCTAACCCTAACCCTAGTATTTCAGACTGCTAACCCTAACCCTAACCCTAGTATTTCAGACTGCTAACCCTAACCCTAGTATTTCAGACTGCTAACCCTAACCCTAACCCTAGTATTTCAGACTGCTAACCCTAACCCTAACCCTAGTATTTCAGGCTGCTCCTGTCACCATAGAGGAGCCAGGGGTGAACTCATTCCAGGTGACACTGCCCATCGTGCGTAATGCTGGGGCCATAGGGACCGTGGCTGTCCAGTGGCGAGCCACAGTGAACGGCAGAGCAGCAGTAGGGGACCTCCGGCCTGTGTCAGGAGAGGTCACCTTTGCGCCCGGAGAAACTGGGAAGACGTTGAAAGTTGAGGTCCTAGCAGATGATGTGCCGGAAATTGAGGAAGTAAGAAACACAATCTTATTTTTCTTACATTGTTGTTATTTTTTGCCAAACAACATATTTGTATCATAATATATGCTATATAATATATAGGCCTAGAATATAATATATGCCATTTTCCCTCTAAACGTTCTGTGCTTTTCAGATAATCAAGGTGGAATTGATTGGTGCCACTAATGGAGGAAACATTGGAGGAGACACAACAGTCAATATCATTGTCCCAGCCAATGACAACCCGTATGGGACGGTCTACTTTGAGCAGTCTGTGTATCGAGTGCAGGAACCTCTCGAGGGAATTTTGGTGGCCAACATTACTGTTCGTCGAAGGTTTGTCCTTTAGTTCAGTCTACATGAGTTCTATCCTCTTGCATTATTATTGCAATTCCTTACCTTGGCAGTGAAATTACAAATTGTTACTTTTCTATTCTTTGACTTGGAATGCTCAACTAACTATCTAACTAACTCTCTCTCCCTCTCTCTCTCCTTCATCTTAACTCTGTCTCTCTCACTCATCTTGTCAGTGGGGGTCATTTTGGCCAAGTGGAGGTCCTCTACAGCACCTCAGAGATAGACATAGTGAGCATGGCCCAGACTGAGGGCCAGAACCTGCTGTTGTACTACAGCCCCCCGGTGTCAGGAGTACCCTCTGGCGCCCTCCGCAGACCTGTCAACATCAGCTCCCAGGGAGACCCACTGGCTGCCTGTGCTGCTGCCTGCCTGAGGGAGCGAGCCTGCCAGGCCTTCTCCCTGTCTCCAGCTGGGGGCTCCTCCCCCATGGCCTCCTGCACTTGGGTGACCAGCGGGGCCGCCCAGCTGACCACGTCCGCCCAGACCCTCACCTACACTAAAAACACCACGGCCACCGATGCTCTCTTCAGCTCGCAGGCCGTGGCGGGGAGCGACTACACCACCATGACAGCACAGACGGCCATCTTGGAAGACGGCTCAGGTGTAGCCAACCTGACCGTGCCGATTCTGACGGACAAACTCCCCGAGATGGACGAGAGCTTCTCCATCCGCATCCTGAAGGTGGCGCTGGTCAACTTGACCGTGGCTCAGAAGAACCTGCCCTCCATAGGGCAACCGGACAAGGCAGTGGTCACCATAGGCTTGAACGGGGATACCTTTGGCGTGTTTCTCATCTACAGCCTCAGCCCCAACGCTACACAGGACGGCCTCTATCTGGAGGTGAGGGAGGAGCCACGTGTGTCAGTACCCCTGGTCATAGAGCGGAGGGGGGGCAGCCTAGGGCAGGTGGCTGTGGAGTGGAGGTTCGTGGGTGGAATGGCTACACCAGGCACTGACTTCACCGGGACTGGAGAAACACTTATCTTTGCCGATGGTAGGTTTGAAATCTAGTACTACATAATGCTTTTTGGGAATGAATGTCTTTTTTTATATGCAGTATATTGTGTCCCCTCCATCCCAAGGCGATTTGAAGAAGAACATCGAGATAGTGATTGCGGACGATTTGGAGCCCGAGGACAGCGAGACCCTGATGGTTGGCTTGGTGAAAACTGAGGGAGGCAGTCGGATCCTGCCCAGCTCAGACACGGTCACCATCATCATCCTGGCTAACGACAACGTGGCTGGGGTGGTGGGCTTCCACTCAGCCTCACGCTCTGTCATCGCCAGAGAGGGTGAGCATGGTAGAGGGGCCCCTGTCAGTCACTTCAATGAAGCAAGCCTCAATGTTAATCACTCTGTGAAGTATTATTATGTCTCTGCACCGAGCCAGTTTACCAAGCAGCCACTAATGACAAAATAACCTACCCTGATAGTAACGATATTAACACCTGTCAAAATGCAACCGTTTCGTACTGAATTATGCTGAACATTTTATTTATCTTCTGTTTATTATCATGGATTCATGATCACACATTCATACGAGTGCTGTTTGCAATGGGCAACATTGTTACCATAGCTCAACACCGTTACCATAGCTCAACACCGTTACCATAGCTCAACACCATTACCATAGCGCAACACCACTACCATAGCTCAACACCGTTACCATAGCTCAACACCATTACCATAGCTCAACACAGCTACCATAACTCAACACCACTACCATAGTTCAACACCGTTACCATAGCTCAACACTATTACCATAGCTCAACACAACTACCATAACTCAACACCTCTACCATAGCTCAACACCGTTACCATAGCGCAACACCACTACCATAGCTCAACACCGTTACCATAGCTCAACACAGCTACCATAACTCAACACCTCTACCATAGCTCAACACCGTTACCATAGCGCAACACCTCTACCATAGCTCAACACCGTTACCATAGCTCAACACCGTTACCATAGCTCAACACAGCTACCATAGCTCAACACAGCTACCATAGGGCAATACCATAGCTCAACACAGCTACCATAGGGCAACACCATAGCTCAAAACAGATACCAATGCTCAACACAGCTACCATAGCTCAACACAGCTACCATAGGGCAACACCATAGCTCAACACAGCTACCATAGCTCAACACAGCTACCATAGGGCAACACCATAGCTCAAAACAGATACCAATGCTCAACACAGCTACCATAGCTCAACACAGCTACCATAGGGCAACACCATAGCTCAACACAGCTACCATAGCTCAACCTCATTCAACACAGCTACCATACGGCAACAGAGCTAACATAGCTCAACACCATAGCTCAACACAGCTACCATAGCTCAACACAGCTACCATAGGGCAACACAGCTACCATAGCTCAACACAGCTACCATAGCTCAACACCGTTACCATAGCTCAAAACCATTACCACAGCTCAACACCGTTACCATAGCTCAACACCACTACCATAGCTCAACACAGCTACCATAACTCAACACCACTACCATAGCTCAACACAGCTACCATAGCCCAACCTCATTCAACACAGCTACCATACGGCAACAGAGCTGCCATAGTTCAACACCATAGCTCAACACAGCTACCATAGGGCAACACAGCTACCATAGGGAAACACCATAGCTCAACACAGCTACCATAGGGCAACACCATAGCTCAACACAGCTACCATAGCTCAACACAGCTAACATAGCTCAACACAGCTACAATACGGCAACAGAGCTACCATAGCTCAACACCATAGCTCAACACAGCTACCATAGGGCAACCTCATTCATCACTTTGCTCTCCGTGGGATTCGGAGACAACCAATTCATTAATGAAGGAATACAAGGGATAGTAGGAGGAGCATGTGGCAACAGGTGGCTCATGTAGTTAGTTCCAGGCATGGCTCATTGGGTAGGCATGACAGAGCTCGTCCACTCTTATCTGTGGCGAATCCTTACACCCCTTACTGATGGACTGAGTCTCTGAAGCACCTACGGTAGCTAAGGAAGGACCTTCATAAGGTCCTATATCCTGGTCTACTAATCTAAAACAGCAGACTATGGCTAACATTTTGCACAAGGAAATGGCAATGAGAAATAACCTTCACATTAGAAATAAACAGGAAGACATACTGTATAATCAAATGCAAGTTCCAAATACTGGCTCTCATCACATCCATCGCACAGTTTAATAAACCCATGTTGAACAATAGTCTCCTTATAATCAGTGGTGTGGAATCTGCTCTGAAAATATAGTTTACCAAGCTACCAATTACTTCATACTGGAAGAAGTTAAGCTACACTAAAGCTACCCTTAAAGTGGCAATCAGCAGTTGAAACAATAACAAAGCTGAGGGATAGGGCTGGAGAAGTGTAACCACTCTCAAATTCATAGACAGAGCTATGGATGCAAGGACTTACCATTCATGATATCAAAATTATAGTTTTAACCATGTTTTGAGGATATATAGTGTTTGTTTACATTTACTTTGTTTACAAACATTGGAAACAAGCTTATACAGTGCCTTGCAAAAGTATTCATCCCCCTCAGCATTTTTCCGTTTTTGTTGCATTACAACCTGTAATTTAAATGGATTTTATTTGGATTTCATGCAATGGACATACACAAAAAAGTCCAAATTGGTGAAGTGAAATGAAAACAATTACTTGTTTCAATAAATTCTAAAAAATAAATAATGGAAAAGTGGTGCGTGCATATGTATTCACCCCCTTTGCTATGAAGCCCCTAATAAGATCTGGTGCAACCAATTACCTTCAGAAGTCACATGATCTCAGTATATATACACACCTGTTCTGAAAGGCCCCAGAGTTTGCAACACCACTAAGCAAGGGGCACCACCAAGCATGCGGCACCATGAAGACCAAGGAGCTCTCCAAACAGGTCAGGGACAAAGTTGTGGAGAAGTACAGATCAGGGTTGGGTTATAAACAAATATCTTAAACTTTGAACATCCCACAGAGCACCATTAAATCCATTATTAAAACATTTAAAGAATATGGCACCACAACAAACCTGCCAAGAGAGGGCCGCCCACCAAAACTTACAGACCAGGCAAGGAGGGCATTAATCAGAGAGGCAACAAAGATAACCCTGAAGGAGCTGCAAAGCTCCACAGCGGAGATTGGTGTATCTGTCCATAGGACCACTTTAAGCCGTACACTCCACAGATCTTGGCCAGAAAAAAGCCATTGCTTAAAGAAAAAAATAAGCAAACATGTTGGGTGTTCGCCAAAAGGCATGTGGGAGACTCCCCAAACATATGGAAAAGGTACTCTGGTCAGATGAGACTAAAATCGAGCTTTTTGGCCATCAAGGAAAACTCTTTGTCTGGCGCAAACCCAACACCTCTCATTACCCCGAGAATACCATCCCCACAGTGAAGCATGGTGGTGGCAGCATCATGCTGTGGGGATATGCACGCTCAAGTTTTCTTTTTTTTGGTCTTATTTCTTGTTTGTTTCACAATAAAAAATATTTTGCATCTTCAAAGGGGCAGGCATGTTGTGTAAATCAAATGATACAAACCCCCAAAAAATCAATTATAATTCCAGGTTGTAAGGCAACGAAATAGGAAAAATGCCAAAGGAGGTGAATACTTTCGCAAGCCACTGTATTTTGGGGTTCTGATGGGGTACAACAACAGTTGAACTAAGCTCATGAGACATTTATAATGTATATTCTTCAAGAATCAAAGGGTATATGTCATTAATTCAGAAGTCCAAAAATGGATGAAGCAACTGCAGATTGCCCGTTTAAGAAACATATAGTTTACTTTGAAAAAGTAGTTCACTCTGGAATCAGATGTTAATAGATTGTATAATTTAGCTATTAAACACACAAACTATGTTTCAATTGGGAATAAAGCAGGTCTGATGAAGAAAAAGAAACAATCTTGCCTACTTTACGCATATTTTATTCATATTTTTGTAAAAAATAGTAGTGTGTAGTTCCAGTAGTTAGCTACACTGCTACAGTGAGGGAAAAAAAGTATTTGATCCCCTGCTGATTTTGTATGTTCTCCCACTGACAAAGAAATGATCAGTCTATAATTTTAATGGTAGGTTTATTTGAACAGTGAGAGAGAATAATAACAAAAATATCCAGAAAAACGCATGTCAAAAATGTTATAAATTGATTTACATTTTAATGAGGGAAATAAGTATTTGACCCCTCTGCAAAACATTACTTAGTACTTGGTGGCAAAACCCTTGTTGGTAATCACAGAGGTCAGACGTTTCTTGTAGTTGGCCACCTGGTTTGCACACATCTCAGGAGGGATTTTGTCCCACTCCTCTTTGCAGATCTTCTCCAAGTCATTAAGGTTTCGAGGCTGATGTTTGGCAACTCGAACCTTCAGCTCCCTCCACAGATTTTCTATGGGATTAAGGTCTGGAGACTGGCTAGGCCACTCCAGGACCTTAATGTGCTTCTTCTTGAGCCACTCCTTTGTTGCCTTGGCTGTGTGTTTTGGGTCATTGTCATGCTGGAATACCCATCCACGACCCATTTTCAATGCCCTGGCTGAGGGAAGGAGGCTCTCACCCAAGATTTGACGGTACATGGCCCCGTCCATCGTCCCTTTGATGCGGTGAAGTTGTCCTGTCCCCTTAGCAGAAAAACACCCCCAAAGTATAATGTTTCCACCTCCATGTTTGACGGTGGGGATGGTGTTCATGGGGTCATAGGCAGCATTCCTCCTCCTCTAAACACGGCGAGTTGAGTTGATGCCAAAGAGCTCCATTTTGGTCTCATCTGACCATAACACTTTCACCCAGTTCTCCTCTGAATCATTCAGATGTTCATTGGCAAACTTCAGACGGGCATGTATATGTGCTTTCTTGAGCAGGGGGACCTTGCGGGCGCTGCGGGATTTCAGTCCTTCACGGCGTAGTGTGTTACCAATTGTTTTCTTGGTGACTATGGTCCCAGCTGCCTTGAGATCATTGACAAGATCCTCCCGTGTAGTTCTCTGGCTGATTCCTCACCGTTCTCATGATCATTGCAACTCCACGAGGTGAGATCTTGCATGGAGCCCCAGGCCGAGGGAGATTGACAGTTATTTTGTGTTTCTTCCATTTGCAAATAATCGCACCAACTGTTGTCACCTTCTCACCAAGCTGCTTGGCGATGGTCTTGTAGCCCATTCCAGCCTTGTGTAGGTCTACAATCTTGTCCCTGACATCCTTGGAGAGCTCTTTGGTCTTGGCCATGGTGGAGAGTTTGGAATCTGATTGATTGATTGCTTCTGTGGACAGGTGTCTTTTATACAGGTAACAAACTGAGATTAGGAGCACTCCCTTTAAGAGTGTGCTCCTAATCTCAGCTCGTTACCTGTATAAAAGACACCTGGGAGCCAGAAATCTTTCTGATTGAGAGGGGGTCAAATACTTATTTCCCTCATTAAAATGCAAATCATTTTATAACATTTTTTACATGCGTTTTTCTGGATTTTTTTGTTGTTATTCTGTCTCTCACTGTTCAAATAAACCTACCATTAACATTATAGACTGATCATTTCTTTGTCAGTGGGCAAACGTACAAAATCAGCAGGGGATCCAATACTTTTTTCCCTCACTGTACATGGCAAAAAAGTAATTAACTACTGAAAACACTACCAAGATTTGAATGTAGTTTTGTCATTTAGCAGACGCTCTTATCCAGAGCGACTTACAGTTAGTGAGTGCATACATTATAATTTTTTTTTTCATACTGGTCCCCCGTGGGAAATGAACCCACAACCCTGGCATTGCAAATGCCATGCTCTACCAACTTTGCTACACGGGACTATAGTTCAACTTCCACCAAGCTTAGTTCAACTTCCACCAAGCTACTGCAAAATGTAGTTAAATTACTAGTTTAAGTAAATGTAGTTTACTACTCCCATCACTGCTTATAATGCACATTGTTAAGGAAAAGTTTTAAATTAGCATGTGCTATCTTGCATGATGAAAATGTTACTCAATATGTATTATCTTAAAAGGTGACTAATGTGTGTGCAGTGGTGTAAAGTACTTAAGTAAAAATACTTTAAAGTACGACTTAATTCTTTTTTGGAGTATCTGTACTTTACTATTTATATTTTGGACAACTTTTACTTTTACTTCACTACATTCCTAAAGAAAATAATATACTTTTTACTCCATACATTTTCCCTGACACCCAAAAGTACTCGTTACATTTTGAATGCTTAGCAGGACAGGAAAATGGTCAAATTCACACACTTATGAAGAGAACATCCCTGGTCATCCCTACTGCCTCTGATCCGGTGGACTCACTAAACACAAATGATTAGTTTGTAAATTATGTCTGAGTGTTGGAGATAGCCCCTGGCAATCCATACATTTCAAAAACAAGAAGAACGTGCCGTCTGGTTGGCTTAATTTAAGGAATTTGAAATTATTTATACTTTTACCTTTGATACTTAAATATATTTAAAACCAAATACTTTTAGACTTTTACTCAAGTAGTATTTTACTGGGTGACTTTCACTTTTACTTGAGTCATTTTCTATTAAGGTATAATTACTTTTAATCAAGTATGACAATTGGGTACTGTTTTCATCCCCACTGTATGTGTGTGTGTGTGTGTGTCCGTGTGTGTGTTATAGGCGAGAGGCTGCCCCTGCTGGTGACCAGGACAGCTCCCGGGCTGGGTAACGTCACAGTAGACTGGGCCATTCAAGGCCCCCGCGTTGCCAGGACCTTCATGCACACCTCAGGACTACTATTCTTCACTGGGGTAAATTAAACTGACCAGGTTGCTTCCTCTGTTTCACATGGTTTACATGGCATGTATGGTAAAAGGTTCATTCGGAAGTATACAGAATGATCATATTGTCACTCACACAGGGAACACTGAACACCACCATAGTCCTCCAGCTGCTTGAAGACTCAATACCTGAGGAGAAGGAGCTGTACAGGGTGATCCTGTCCAACGTCCGCACTTATGGTAAATCACCTTCTCTGTCCTCTTCCTGTCAAAGTACTGAACAGGCACATTTCAAACACCTCTCCTGTTATGTACTTGGATCTCTGTTTATGTAACTTCTATTTAACTATGCGAGTCAGTTAGCAACAAGTTTTTATTTGCAATGACGGCCTGGCAATGACTCTATGCAGCATTGATCAGGTCATGTAGGTTACCATAGCAAAGAGTTTAGTCTGTAAGAGCCCCTAGTCTGTCAGGCTGGGGATGAGTTTGACTAGTGTTTGTATGGATAGTATCTGTCAGGCTGGGGATGAGTTTGACTATTGTTTGTATAGATAGTGTCCATCAGTGTTCTGTTCTCCCTGTCCCCCAGGTGTTCTGGTAACAGGTCACGCAGCGCTGGACGTCCAGGGGAGCGAGGCGGTGGTTACCGTGGAGACCAGTGAAGGGCCGTTTGGGATGCTGAGCATCGCCCCGTCCTCCCTCAGTCTGACCACGGAGGAGCGCGACGGCACCTTCAACATCTTCATCAACAGAGAGTTTGGAGCTTCAGGTCGGTCTGGGACCTCAACGTCTTCATCAACAGAGGGTTTGGGGCTTCAGGTCGGTCTGGGATAGGGACTTGGGGCGACAGATAGTTTTCCCTGACCACTTGATATGACCAGGAAAAACTCCAGGTCTTAATGATGGGAAAAGTTCAGACTATACTGTACATAATTATTATTATTTTTTACCCCAATTTCGTGGTATCAAATTGGTAGTTACAGTCTTGTCCCATCGCTGCAACTCCCGTACGGACTCGGGAGAGGCGAAGGTTGAGAGCCGTGCGTCCTCTGAAACACAACCCAACCGAGCTACACTGCTTCTTGACACAATGCCTGCTTAACCCGGAAGCCAGTTGCACCAATGTGTCGGAGGAAACACCCTACACCTGGCAACCGTGTCAGTGTGCACTGCGCCCGGCCCGCCACAGGAGTCACTAGTGCGCGATGGGACAAGAAGATCCCTGCCGGCCAAACCCTCCCCTAACCTGGACGACTCTGGGCCAATTGTGCGCCGCCCAATGGGTCTCCGGCCAGCTGCGACAGAGCCTTGACGCGAACCAGGATCTCTAGTGGCACAGCTAGCACTGCGATGCAGTGCCTTAGACCACTGCGCCACTCGGGAGGCCTTATACTATACATTTTGATACATTTTCTCAAAACAACATCAGACTGTTTGCCACTTAGGCTGCGCTTACACAGGCAGCCAAATTCTGAATCCCAATTTTTGGCAGAAAGATATCTGATTGGTCAAAAGACCAGAATTGGGCTGCCTGTGTAAACACAGCTTTGTTGACACATCTAAGTCCGCCAGTAACTGTTATCAGTTAACTGTTATGTGATCTCGTAGAAAAACTAGTAATGTATGTGTTATCAGTTAAGTATTGTTGGTGTTGTGTTTCCAGGAGTGTTGAATATCAGCTATGAAACGGTCCGAGGATCCCTCCAGGACCTCTCCCAGGTGGAAGGGGGCGGGGCCCTTGCTGAACCAGGACAGGACTTCCTCCCTGTATCAGGCTCAGTGATCCTGCAGGATGGACAGACCTCTGTGGCCATCCCTGTCACCATACTGGATGTAAGACCACCACCAGGGCTGGGCTCAATGCCTTTTCAATTTAGTCAATTCAGCAAGTCAACCAATTTTCCTAAATGCCTCTCTATGCATTTTTGGGGAATTGGAATTTCAGTTTACTTACGGAATTGACTGAATTGAAATGGAATTTAACCCAACTCTGGCCCACACAGCAAACTTCTCTCATTTGGCTCTGTTGGTGCTCTGGAAGGCGTGGAGGATGTATATGGATTTCATTGGAGTTTTCTTAGTTTTCATACACTATAAATGTCATACAAATTATATAATGGTATTTTTCCAGGATGACATCCCTGAGTTGCAGGAATTCTTCCTGGTCAACGTAACGTCTGCAGTACTCATCACCACCATCACACCTGCTCCTAAACTAGGTACGCTGGTTTGGCATAGTCCCAAATGGGCAACTATGTAAATCATAAAGCATTCTAAATGTGCATTTTCCCACAGAGATCCTACAAATCACTTTTAGTTCTAAATGTAATTCTCCGGGTTTTCCAACTATTCTGTTGTCTGCCATAAACCTCCTGTAATGAACTGCAGATTCCCCCTTTCCTGTTAAATGTTGTGTAATTCTATGATTTGTATTCTGTGTGGTTTTATCGCCTTCTTTTCTCCTTTAGTCTTTCTGCTATTTATTTCTGTTTGATGAGTAGACGTTGTATATTTAAGCAATAAGGCCCGAGGAGGTGTGGTATATGGCCAATATACCACATCTAAGGGCTGTTCTTACGCACAACGCAACGTGGAGTGCCTGGACACAGCCCATAGCCGTGGTATATTGGCCATATATCACAAACCCCCAAGGTGCCTTATTGTTATTATAAACTGGTTATCAACGTAATTAGAGCAGTAAAACTAAATGTTTTGTCATACACGTGGTATACGGTCTGATATACCATGGCTTTCAGCCAATCATAATTCAGGGCTCAAACCACCCAGTTTATAATTTACACTAAAAGGTAACATATACATGTATGTAGTGTTTCTTACATACAGTATTATGCATAGCATTGTATAGTATGGCATAATGGATTAATTCACTGTAGATTCAATACATTAAACGGGTACAGTTTTGCAAATATATGCAAAAGTTCCTTGCCACTACTGCCTCTTGCATAATCCTAACCATAACCCATTTTATGAATGGGTAACTTAAGAAAATGATGAGTAGACAGAATACTACACAGACTGGAGAGACACAGGCCCATGTGCCAGCACTCAACGGTTACAATTCTTATGATTGATATCTCCCTTGAGGGGCTGTTGGGATTTGGGTTGAGCTGAAAAACACTGGGTGGTGAGCAATGGGATGGCCAAACCAAACGCTTTAAATGGCCCTCATGCAACCTGTGCCCAGAGTGACAGACAGACAGACAGACAAACAGATGGAGACAGACAGACAGACAGACAGACAGACAGACAGACAGACAGACGGACAGAGACGGACAGACAGAGACGGACAGACAGAGACGGACAGACAGAGACGGACAGACAGACAGAGACACAAACAGACAGACAGAGGGACAGACAGAGACGGACGGACAGACAGAGACGGAGACGGACAGACAGAGACGGAGACGGAGACGGACAGACAGAGACGGAGACGGACAGACAGAGACGGAGACGGACAGACATAGACAGACTGACAGAGACAGAGATGGACAGACAGAGACAGACAGAGACAGAGATGGACAGACAGAGACAGACAGAGACAGAGACGGACAGACAGAGACAGAGACGGAGACACAGACAGACAGAGACGGACAGACAGAGACGGACAGACAGAGACGGACAGACAGAGACACAGACAGACAAAGACACAGACAGAGACACAGACAGACAAACACAGACAGACAGAGACAGCGCTACTAAGGACATTATAGATAAGTCATAAGTGATAAATTATAAGTCAACACATACTCCGACTCTCAGCTGACTGCATGTGAGAAGTGAATGGCCCTCATCGCCAGTTCTAATAGAATGGTTAGCTGACAATTTCACAAAAATGATGTACACACTTCAATGGGACAGAAGGCTGTGTGTTGTTGTGATTCTGGATGGCCAAATAGCTAGTAACAATAACAAAAAGTTTTATCTTGTTCTTCATACCATGTCTTGTTTTGACTGATGTCATGTCTATGCTAATATGGCAAAACATTCGCTAACTAGCTAACCAACAACTGTAATGATGTATTTGAGAGACAACTCATTGTGCAAATGTATTTAAGTTTTCAACAAACATTGGAGACTAAATATAGCTTGTCAACAATCTAAGCCAACCGCGTCTGTTTTGTCCAATAGTTGCGCTTGCGTGGGTTTTGTTGCTAAACAACCAACCCGTCTATGTAGTGTCACAGAAGTGCATCATTTCCTCTTTAGATGCTCTGGCCCAGCTTTTGCTGTCATAGTGTTCATGCTGAAGCTAATGCTAGTTTCTGAATGATAATATTACTGGAACCAGACTTTAGGATATGAGCTACCCTTCCCATTGTAATGCTGCCTTTCCTCTTCAGACACCCAGGGTTTGGTGGCAGAAATCAGCATTGCTGCCAATGATGGAATTCGAGGTGTAATTGAATGGACAAATACTAAGTAAGTGCCTCCGCCTCTCATTCAGTAATTGTTTCCTCCTGTGTTAACCCTACGATATGTACTCTGTTTTTAAGAGCACCTGTAGTTGTGTCGATATACCCAGAAGCACTCTCTGTACTCTATAGAATTCCCCCTCCCACTGACACTGAATCCCCCCCCCCCCCCCCCCCCCCCCCCCCCTCAGTAGGATGACTGTTTTTCTGTACCCTTTCATGACATTCAAATTAATAAATCACCCAAGTCACTAAAACACAGGGATCCTTACTCTCATTTACATTGACCTTTTAGTCATTTACTGTAGCAGACGTTCTTATCCAGAGCGACTTACAATTTAGTGCATTCAACTTCAGGTGGCAGACACTTCTGATGTTTGGTTATGTGTTTTTCCTTGTAGCTTTGAGGTGAATGAGACCATGGGCATGCTGAACCTGGTGGTCTACAGGAGCTCAGCGACCTACGGAAACGTCTCACTCTTCTTCTACACTCAGAACCTGGAAGCTCAGCTGGGTCTGGACTACAACGCCACCCCATCGGTGAGGCCATGCCCCTAACACACTAAACCACCAATTATGTAGGGCCAGGGGCGTGTTCAGCAAGACGCAACGTTTTGGAACGAATCAGATAGAAATATGCTATGTAGAACAAACATGCCTCTCTGACGTACACTCTATTTGTGGTATTTCTATCTGCAACGTTCAACCACTTTTGGCTACTGAACGTGGCCCAGGAGTTTTCCCTGACCAGGTGATCTGACCGGGGAAAACTCTGGGCCCCACCAATGAGACTGAACACGTCATGACTCTTGTGAGTTCACACGTTCTGTTTGTTCTTCAGATGCTCCACTTCGCTGATGGAGAGAGGCATCAGTTTGTTGAGGTGCAGATCATTGATGACGTCATTCCAGAGGGAGCTGAAAGGTTCCAGCTCATTCTGGCTAATCCATCGTCTGGGCTAAAGCTGGGAGCCAATACCACAGGTATGATGTGCTGGAAGCCTGTAGCATCACACACATTCACTAAACCTGTTTTCAGTGGTGGAAAAAGTACCCAGTTGTCTTACTTGAGTAAAAGTAAAGATACTGTACCTTAATAGAAAATTTAGTTTAAAAGTATTTGGTTTGAAAATATACTTAAGTATCAAAAGTAAATGTAATTGCTCAAATATACTTAAGTATCAAAAGTAAAGTAAAATATAAATAATTTCAAATTCCTGATATTAAGCAAACCAGACGGCAACCATTTTCTTGTTTTTAAATTTAATGACTACTTTTGTGTGTCAGGGAAAATGTATGGAGGAAAAAGTACAATATTTTCTTTAGGAGTGAAGTGAAGTCAAAGTAAAAGTTGTCAAAAATATAAATAGTAAAGTAAAGTACAGATACTCCAAAAAACTACTTAAGTTGTACTTTAAAGTATTTTTATGTAAGTACTTTACACCACTTCCTGTTTTATATTATATTTTTGTATAGTCTACGGCAACGTTTCCCAACTCCAGTCCTCCAGTACCCCCAACTGTACACATTTTCATTGCAGCCCTGGACAAGCACACCAGATTCAACTTGTCAACTAATCATTAAGCCCTCAATGAGTTGAATCAGGTGAGTTTGTCTGGGGCTACAACAAAAATGTGTACTGACAAGGGTCTGGAGGACTGGAGTTGGGAAACACTAGTCTATGTACCTGTGGTTTCACACATGAAATATGACACTGTTGGTTGATTTCACAAGAATCGACATGCTCCCTGGTGGAAAACTGCTCTCCCTTTCTTCCCTGTCGCATGTCTCCTTAGCAACGGTGAACATATTGGCCAGCGACGACGGCCACGGTGTCATATCCTTCAACAGCAGCCAGTCCTTCCTGCTGAGGGAGCCCACGTCGCTGTCCGGGCTGGGGGAGAGCGTGGCCACCCTGTACGTTGTGCGTGACCCACCCCAGGGCAACTTCGGCACCGTCACTGTCCAGTTCACCATTACCAACGCCAACGGAACGCTGGCCCAGGGCGACCTCATACCCTGGCAGGGCTTTGTGGTGCTGGAGGACGGAGTCAAGTTTAAGGTCAGGGGAACCAAGGACCTTGCGAGCAAAACATTTTAGCGGCCCCTCTCTTGACAGCGAGAGAAAAACATAAATGTTTGAGTTTTAGAGCAATTCTACTAATTTTTGCAGTGGGGGGTAGTGAACATTTTGAAGTTTTAAAGCAAGTTTGCTGCAATTTTACACATTTTTCCATGGGGCAGAGAGAAGATTTTGCAATTGTATTACTAATTTCATGCAATTCTACACATTTTGCCATAAGGGTGGAGAGAAATGTTTGCAGTTTTTTAAGTGATATCTGAGTGAGGTTGACTAACAAAATCAATGCCCCCCTTCAGCAATTTGACCATGATTGCTGCAAGTTCAGATAGCTGGCTACACTAATTTACTAATCTAAAAAAAAATGTTAGCTGACATGGGCTAATTAAGTGACTGTCTGTGGCTGACATAACAAGAGAAAAATTGCTAATGCACAACCAAATTTCAAATATTGCACCTTGTGTATTCTACTATTCTAACATTCAACAGTAAGTTGAGACCCCGACTGGGTTCCAAATAAAATAAATTGAGGAAATTGATCCGCGGGCCTACAAAAAGCTGCCAGTTGCCCAATCCGTGGTCTGGATATAGAGGAGAACTGATTGAAGATATATATTGGATAATTGATTGAATAGATTGAAGATATACAGTGGGGAAAAAAAGTATTTAGTCAGCCACCAATTGTGCAAGTTCTCCCACTTAAAAAGATGAGAGAGGCCTGTAATTTTCATCATAGGTACACGTCAACTATGACAGACAAAATGAGAAAAAAATATCCAGAAAATCACATTGTAGGATTTTTTATGAATTTATTTGCAAATTATGGTGGAAAATAAGTATTTGGTCAATAACAAAAGTTTCTCAATACTTTGTTATATACCCTTTGTTGGCAATGACACAGGTCAAACGTTTTCTGTAAGTCTTCACAAGGTTTTCACACACTGTTGCTGGTATTTTGGCCCATTCCTCCATGCAGATCTCCTCTAGAGCAGTGATGTTTTGGGGCTGTCGCTGGGCAACACAGACTTTCAACTCCCTCCAAAGATTTTCTATGGGGTTGAGATCTGGAGACTGGCTAGGCCACTCCAGGACCTTGAAATGTCTCCTTCGTTGCCCGGGCGGTGTGTTTGGGATCATTGTCATGCTGAAAGACCCAGCCACGTTTCATCTTCAATGCCCTTGCTGATGGAAGGAGGTTTTCACTCAAAATCTCACGATACATGGCCCCATTCATTCTTTCCTTTACACGGATCAGTCGTCCTGGTCCCTTTGCAGAAAAACAGCCAAAAAAGCATGATGTTTCCACCCCCATGCTTCACAGTAGGTATGGTGTTCTTTGGAGGCAACTCAGCATTCTTTGTCCTCCAAACACGACGAGTTGAGTTTTTACCAAAAAGTTATATTTTGGTTTCATCTGACCATATGACATTCTCCCAATCCTCTTCTGGATCATCCAAATGCACTCTAGCAAACGTCAGACGGGCCTGGACATGTACTGACTTAAGCAGGGGGACATGTCTGACACTGCAGGATTTGAGTCCCTGACGGCGTAGTGTGTTACGGATGGTAGGCTTTGTTACTTTGGTCCCAGCTCTCTGCAGGTCATTCACTAGGTCACCCTGTGTGGTTCTGGGATTTTTGCTCACCGTTCTTGTGATCCTTTTGACCCCACGGGGTGAGATCTTGCGTGGAGCCCCAGATCGAGGGAGATTATCAGTGGTCTTGTATGTCTTCCATTTCCTAATAATTGCTCCCACAGTTGATTTCTTCAAACCAAGCTGCTTACCTATTGCAGATTCAGTCTTCCCAGCCTGGTGCAGGTCTACAATTTTGTTTCTGGTGTCCGTTGACAGCTCTTTGGTCTTGACCATAGTGGAGTTTGGAGTGTGACTGTTTGAGGTTGTGGACAGGTGTCTTTTATACTGATAACAAGTTCAAACAGGTGCCATTAATACAGGTAACGAGTGGAGGACAGAGGAGCCTCTTAAAGAAGAAGTTACAGGTCTGTGAGAGCCAGAAATCTTGCTTGTTTGTAGGTGACCAAATACTTATTTTCCACCATAATTTGCAAATAAATTCATAAAAAATCCTACAATGTGATTTTCTGGATTTTCTTTCCTCAATTTGTCTGTCATAGTTGACGTGTACCTATGATGAAAATTACAGGCCTCTCTCATCTTTTTAAGTGGGAGAACTTGCACAATTGCTGGCTGACTAAATACTTTTTTCCCCCACTGTATATTGGATAATTGATTGAAGATATATATTGGATAATTGATTGAATAGATTGAAGATATGTATTGGATAATTGATTGAATTGATATAAAGGCAAGGGCAAGAGGGGTGTTATTTGGAGAATATCAAAGACTGTTAGGTTTAGAAATCTTCTCTTGATGTGTTTCAATACTTTGGAAGCACAGAGGTCAGGGGTGCTATAAAGCCCTTTATATTCTCATTAAGATGTTCTCTGATGTGTTGATGTTCTCTGATGTGTTGATGTTCTCTGACGTGTTGATGTTATAGACTCTGGAGATCTGGGCAGTTTTGGATGCTGAACCTGAGGTGAACGAGACATTCACTGTGACCCTGTCCAGTCCAACTGGAGGGGCACGGCTCGGAGACTCACTCCACACACTCATCACTGTGCTGCAGAACTCCGCCCCTCTGGGCCTCTTCCGCATCGCCCCCTCCCTCAACAGGTGAGCGAGCACTGGAACACACCCACACACATGCAAGCAAGCACACCCACAAACATGCAAGCAAGCACACCCACACACATGCAAGCAAGCACACCCACACACATGCAAGCAAGCACTCCAACACAGCGCTTAATTTGTAAATCGGGAGGTGCCGGAACAAAAAGTGAGCGCAAGAGGGTGGTGACCTGGGGAGTTCTGAGGTACCGGAACACATGAGGGGGAAAAAATCTAATTCATAATACACCATTGCATGCATATCATCACATTGGCGTAGTGGCGTAGAGTAGAGGCATCTACATTTTAGTAGCTTAGGGTCTGGAAAGAATTGGGTCCGGGAAAAGTTTGGCCTTTTTATTTCATTCAATTCTACATAATTTTACATGACTGGAGACTTTGGCAGAATCTTTTTTAATAAGGCACAAGTGATTGAAATGACAGGCTACTTTGACACTGACAAACTGAGAATCTGAAATCAATAAAAACAGCCTTGAATCCATCAATAGCCTAGGTGTGGGGAGACATACTGTAAGCTACAATATGAGGAGGAAATTATAGTCCTAAACATGCTTTCCAGTTTCACTGACTCACCCGATCATGCGCAGCTCACTCAACGGTGATGGCCGATACGTTCGTGCCAAAAGCCTATATCTCGCTCTTGTTTTACTTTGTAAAACAATATTTGGAAGTTGATCAAATATTTTGCTAGCCTACAGCAGACAGATTAGAGTCTTCTCTTTTCAGCAGGAGCCATTTGGTTTCCAACCTGTGTTTTCCCACTATTGTATTTGAAATATTGCGAAAGGCCTTGTTCTGTCTGCATGCTGTTCACTGACAGATTTGCTGCTCGTTCCCGACTGTAGGCTATGCCTTGTTATTGGGCTCCACACAATCCATAGCTAGGCAGTTTTTCAAAAGAAGCCGTTGATCCTCTGTGGTTAAATTATGGGCATTTTCATGGTGTAGTAGGACATTCTGAATTATTAATTTATTTCTGAACAGACAGCAGTTATTCTATAACTTTGGCAAATGTATTTCAATTCATCAGGGGTGCTGCAGCTTCTCCAGAACCCTTCACTATGATTCTATAAATAAATAAATGATGAAGTACAATGCTGGAGAGATGAGAGTTGCAGGCTCGTGTCTATCAGAGCAGAGAGAGGGAGAGTGAATCTCATTCTAGTTCTGTGAGAGATACAGGCGCACTACTCACAGTCACGGCCACGCGTTGGTCTCAAACATAGGTTACAATGTTACGCAAACCATAAACCAGGCCCACCCAACCCGAATCAACTCTTAGAATATCAGGCCTGGGATAAAAATCTACTTTTTCACAAAACGTAACGAAGAGGCAACTCGAACAAACTTTGATCGCTTTTATTAGAACATAATTTTTCATGACATGAGAGGTACCGGTCCCGGAACAAAACAGTCCAGGACTGAGAGGTGCCGGATCCTGTTCCAATTAAGCACTGCTCCCACACACATCCAAGCGCACATACAAACATGCACACACACACACATGCTCACACATCTACACACACACGCTCACACACACGTCGTACTTCTATCTCTGCAGGACTGACAGCTCTGTGGTGGGGAAGGAGGGCGGTAGGACTGTGTTCTTGACTGTGTCCCGCAGTAACGGTCTGGAGGCAGCGGTGAGTGTGGAGTGGGATACCCAGTCGGACACAGCTGTTGCCATGGGTAAGATGGGCTAGGAACTTCATTTCTGCAAGCAGTTAATGTCATATACCCTCAGTACACAATCCAGTGGTCATTTCAGTTCCAGGTCTGTGTTCATCTGTTCACCATAATATACAGTGATTATACTAGTCTATTTTCAGAGGGGAGTCTTCCAGTGATGGCAGTGTATCAGATCTTCCCAGAGACCCCCACCTCAGGCTGGTGTTCCCTGGCTGGTGGAGCCTCTCCTCTGGCCATGAGGCTGGACAGGTCCTCCCCTGGCAACTCCAGCCAGACCCACGCCACTCTGTACAGGTGGCAGGGGGTGTTGGTGCCTATACAGGTAATCTAGTGATGTATCTAAACATCATCCTATGGCCCAATCCCAAATCGACCCTTAGACCCTATGCCCTAAGTACGTGGAGATCGGAGAGGTGTGACAGCTGTAAGCAATATGGTAATTGACTAAGCAATATGCTGCATCTTGACCTCTGATAGGCTAAGCAATAAGCTCCATCTTGACATCTGGTAGGCTAAGCAAAAGATCCATCTTGACCTCTGATAGGCTAAGCAAAAGATCCATCTTGACCTCTGATAGGCTAAGCAAAAGATCCATCTTGACCTCTGGTAGGCTAAGCAATAAGCTCCATCTTGACCTCTGATAGGCTAAACTACATAGGTACGGTAGTTGAACTACATACAGTGCTTTCAGAAAGTATTCATATCCCTTTACTTGTTATTTTCTCACCCATCTATACACAATTCTCCATAATGACAAAGTGAAAACATATTTCTAGAAATGTTTGCAAATGTATTGATAATGAAGTACAGAAATATCTCATTTACTTAAGTATTCACACCCCTGAGTCAATATATGTTAGAATCACCTTTGGCAGTGATTACAGCTGTGAGTCTTTCTGGGTATGTCTCTAAGATCTTTGCACACCTGGATTGTACAATATTTGCACATTATTCTTTAAACCATCTTCAAGCTCAGTCAAATTGGTTGTTGATCATTGCTAGACAGCCATGTTCAAGTCTTGCCATAGATTTTCAAGCCGATTTAAGTCAAAACTGTAACTGGGCCACTGAGGAACATACAATGTTGTCTTGGTAAGCATCTCCAGTGTAGATTTGGCCTTGTGTTTTAGGTTATTGTCCTGCTGGAAGGTGAATTTGTCTCCCAGTGTCTGGTGGAAAGCAGACTGTACCAGGTTTTCCTCTAGGATTTTGCCTGTGCTTAGCTCTATTCCGTTTCTTTTAATCCCCATAAAACTCCCTAGTCCTTGCCGTTGACAAGCATACCCATAACACCATGCAGCCACCACCATGCTTGAAAATATGAAGAGTGGTACTCAGTGATGTGTTGTGTTGGATTTGCCCCAAACATAACGCTTTGTATTCAGGACATAAAGTTCATTTGTTTGCCAATTTGTTTTGCAGTATTACTTAAGTGCCTTATTGCAAACATGATGCATGTTTTGGAGTATTTGTATTCTGTAGAGGCTTCCTTCTTTTCAATTTGTAATTTAGTTAGTATTGTGGAGTAACTACAATGTTGTTGATCCATCCTCAGTTTTCTCCTATCACAGCCATTAAACTCTGTAACTTTTTTAAGTCATCATTGGCCTCATGGTGAAATCCCTGAGCGGTTTGCTTCTCTCCAGCAACTGAGTTAGGAAGGACGCCAGTATTTTGTAGTGACTTGGTGTATTAATACACCATCCAAAGTGTAATTAATAACTTCATCATGCTCAAAGGGATATTCAATATCTGCTTTTTTTTGTTTTACCCATCTACCAATAGGTTCCCTTCTTTGCGAGGCATTGGAAAACCTCCCTGGTCTTTGTGGTTGAATCTGTGTTTGAAATTCACCACTCGACTGATAATTGTATGTGTGGGGTACAGAGATGAGGTAGTCATGCAAAAATCTGGTTAAACACTATTGCCACAGAGTGAGTCCATGCAACTGATTAAGTGACTTGTTAAGCACATTTTTACTCCTGAACTTATTTAGGCTTGCCATAAGAAAGGTGTTGAATATTTATTGACTCAAGACTTTTCAATTAATTTGTATGTCACGATCGTCTAAAACAGGCGACCAATGCGCAGCGTTGTGAGTGAACATGATGACTTTATTAAATAAAGCACAACACGAGAAAACAAAACAAATGACGATACGTGAAGTCCTCTGACACCGACAGAAACATAGAAACACTGGAACAATAACCCACAAAACAAAGGAGAAAACACACAGAATATATATGGCTCCCAATCAGAGATAACGAGCCGACAGCTGACACTCGTTACCTCCGATTGGGAGTCATATGACTAAACAAGCACAAAACCCAAACATAGAAATGAAACAACTAGATCCCCAACATAGAAATACCCTCAAACAAACGAAAATGAACAACCCTGGCTCAAATATCAAAGTCTATGGAGCCAGAGTGTCACAGTGTAAACATTTCTAAAAACATAATTCCACTTTGACATTATAGGGTATTGTGTGTAGGCCAGTGACAGAAAATCTAAATTTAATCAATTTAAAATTCAGGCTGTAACACAAAACATTTTGGAAAAAGTCAAGGGGTGTGAATACTTTCTGAAAGCACAGTAGTTGAACTGCATAGGAGGCCAGAAAGGATGAAGGGGTAGTGATCAACGAGGGAAGGAAGACATTAACCACTCACCCATAATAGCTTTTAGAAAACTGCCTTGCTTTGTGTTGCATATACAGTGGGGAAAAAAAGTATTTAGTCAGCCACCAATTGTGCAAGTTCTCCCACTTAAAAAGATGAGAGAGGCCTGTAATTTTCATCATAGGTACACGTCAACTATGACAGACAAAATGAGAAAAAGAAATCCAGAAAATCACATTGTAGGATTTTTAATGAATTTATTTGCAAATTATGGTGGAAAATAAGTATTTGGTCAATAACAAAAGTTTCTCAATACTTAGTTATATACCATTTGTTGGCAATGACACAGGTCAAACGTTTTCTGTAAGTCTTCACAAGGTTTTCACACACTGTTGCTGGTATTTTGGCCCATTCCTCCATGCAGATCTCCTCTAGAGCAGTGATGTTTTGGGGCTGTCGCTGGGCAACACAGACTTTCAACTCCCTCCAAAGATTTTCTATGGGGTTGAGATCTGGAGAATGGCTAGGCCACTCCAGGACCTTGAAATGCTTCTTACGAAGCCACTCCTTCGTTGCCCGGGCGGTGTGTTTGGGATCATTGTCATGCTGAAAGACCCAGCCACGTTTCGTCTTCAATGCCCTTGCTGATGGAAGGAGGTTTTCACTCAAAATCTCACGATACATGGCCCCATTCATTCTTTCCTTTACACGGATCAGTCGTCCTGGTCCCTTTGCAGAAAAACAGCCCCAAAGCATGATGTTTCCACCCCCATGCTTCACAGTAGGTATGGTGTCCTTTGGATGCAACTCAGCATTCTTTGTCCTCCAAACACGACGAGTTGAGTTTTTACCAAAAAGTTATATTTTGGTTTCATCTGACCATATCACATTCTCCCAATCCTCTTCTGGATCATCCAAATGCACTCTAGCAAACTTCAGACGGGCCTGGACATGTACTGGCTTAAGCAGGGGGACACGTCTTGCACTGCAGGATTTGAGTCCCTGGCGGCGTAGTGTGTTACTGATGGTAGGCTTTGTTACTTTGGTCCCAGCTCTCTGCAGGTCATTCACTAGGTCCCCCCGTGTGGTTCTGGTATTTTTGCTCACCATTCTTGTGATCATTTTGACCCCACGGGGTGAGATCTTGCGTGGAGCCCCAGATTGAGGGAGATTATCAGTGGTCTTGTATGTCTTCCATTTCCTAATAATTGCTCCCACAGTTGATTTCTTCAAACCAAGCTGCTTACCTATTGCAGATTCAGTCTTCCCAGCCTGGTGCAGGTCTACAATTGTGTTTCTGGTGTCCTTTGACAGCTCTTTCGTCTTGGCCATAGTGGAGTTTGGTGTGTGACTGTTTGAGGTTGTGGACAGGTGTATTTTATACTGATAACAAGTTCAAACACGTGCCATTAATACAGGTAACAAGTGGAGGACAGAGGAGCCTCTTAAAGAAGAAGTTACAGGTCTGTGAGAGCCAGAAATCTTGCTTGTTTATAGGTGACCAAATACTTATTTTCCACCATAATTTGCAAATAAATTCATTAAAAATCCTACAATGTGATTTTCATGAAAAGAAATTCTCAATTTGTCTGTCATAGTTGACGTGTACCTATGATGAAAATTACAGGCCTCTCTCATCTTTTTAAGTGGGAGAACATGCACAATTGGTGGCTGACTAAATACTTTTTTTCCCCACTGTACATATGCATCAGTCTATCTACAGTATATCATGATGACTGATGATTGCAATATGGGGCGGCAGGTAGTCTAGTGGTTAAGAGCGCTGGGCCAGTAACCGAAAGGTTGCTGATTCGAATCCCCAAGCCAACTAGGTGAAACATTTAAATGTGCCCTTGAGCAAGACACTTAACCCTAATTGCTCCTGTAAGTCCCTCTGGATAAGAGCATCTGCTAAAAGATCAAAAAATAAATATAATACCATGATCTCTCTCTTGTTTTCAGTCGGTGACGATCCTGGACCCTAGGGTGTGTGTGGGCTTCTCTGTGAACGGCTCATCCTATGTAGCGATCACACACACCGCCCACCCTGACTCCCCTGCTGTCAACCTGAGCCTGTTCAGAGTGCAACAGGACCTCAATCTAACCTTGGTGAAGCCTGTTACTTTTTGTACTTGACTCTTGTCTTTTCATTTGTGGTCCTTATGATGTGTTTTCTGCCTGTAGAGATGATGTAAGATCTACATAGTAATCAATGACTTACTATAAATCAATCACTCATTGGCCTTCTGTTCCTATGATTAGTTCTCTATGACAGTCACTCCATGTCATTGGCAAATGTTGAGTAGTGTATTCATTCTATTCAATATCAAACTTTTTCCCCATAGGAACAAACACTGGCTGTTGAAGCTCTTAATGTTAAACACTTCTCCATTGAAAGAAGAGACTACTTGATTGCCTCAAGCCAGGTGAGTTTGGGGGTTAAAATGAACTTGCTATAACCTGTGAGACATACCTGTCCAGTACAGGTGCTCTAGGACATGATATCCATAATAGAACAGGTTCAATAGACCCAAGGGAGAGCCAGGTTAGCACATCACCACATTACGATTGCCATTCTAATCAAAACGGCCAATGGATAGAGACCACACCACCTGGAGTTGATCTCAACTAGCTAGTAGCTAACTCGTCTTGTTTCTACCAGGTGTTTGTTCGGACCGGAAGTGTCTTTGCTGTCCATCAGAGCCTGGAGCTTCAGGGTGTCCTCAGCGTGTCTCCCTTCTCCCATGGAACCAGCCTCTACCTGTCTGTCTGTGTGAGGAGAGAGACGGGGGACGGCTGTATGCTCTTCCAGTGGAGTGAAGGGCGCTTCCAGAACCCTAGGCCTCTGCCTGTCGGCAGCAGAGCTCAACAAGTGGAGTCTCTCAACAAGGGAGCAGACACTCTCCTATTGGTCGTCACTGAAGGTGACCTCACGTGACCTTCTCTAAGAACCACGTCCTCTGTATTTGTGTTTGCAATCTACAATCTTCTATGTTGACATTTTGCTACGGTGCATTTTGTTTGCCGTTCTCGAAGTGGCTATCTGGTGCAGAGAGCTAACAAGTGGTCTTCAAGGGGCAGAGAGAAGTGGCTTATGTGTGCGAGCATGAAGTGGCTACGTGCTTCCAGAGATGAAGTTCTGTAAGTGTGTGCAGAGTGAAAGTGCTTATGTGTGCAGATTTAGTGCTAAGGTGCAGAGATGGTGAGTGCTTACTGTGTGCTATGAAGTGGCTTATGTGGTGCAGAGATGTTAAGTGGCTTATGTGGTGCAGAGATGATGAAGTGGCTTAAGTGGTGCAGAGATGATGAAGTGGCTTATGTGGTGCAGAGATGGTAAAGTGGCTTATGTGGTGCAGAGATAAGTGATTTAGTGGCAGATGTGAAGGTTGTGGTGCAGAGATGATGAAGTGACTTATGTGGTGCAGAGATGATAAAGAGGCTTAAGTGGTGCAGAGATGGTGAAGTGGCTTATGTGGTGCAGAGATGATGAAGTGGCTTATGTGGTGCAGAGATGTTAAGTGGCTTATGTGGTGCAGAGATGATGAAGTGGCTTAAGTGGTGCAGAGATGATGAAGTGGCTTATGTGGTGCAGAGATGGAAGTGGCTTATGTGGTGCAGAGTAGTGATTATGGGCAAGATGGATGCTTATGTGGTGCAGAGATGATGAAGTGGTTTAAAGTGGTGCAGAGATGGTGAAGAGGCTTATGTGGTGCAGAGATGGTAAAGGCTTATGTGGTGCAGAGATGGTAAAGTGGCTTATGTGGTGCAGAGATGATGAAGTGACTTATGTGGTGCAGAGCTGATGAAGTGGCTTAAGTGGTACAGAGATGATGAAGTGGCTTAAGTGGTGCAGAGATGAAGTGTTTATGTGGTGCAGAGATGAAGTGACTTATGTGGTGCAGAGATGAGTGAAGTGTCTTATGTGGTGCAGAGATGGTAAAGTGGCTTATGTGGTGCAGAGATGTAAGTGGTTATGTGGTACAGAGATGGTGAAGTGGCTTATGTGGTAGCAGAGATGATGAAGTGACTTATGTGGTGCAGAGATAATGAAGTGACTTATGTGGTGCAGAGATGATGAAGTGGCTTATGTGGTGCAGAGATGATGAACTGGCTTATGTGGTGTGATGTGTATTATTTAATGAATTAGGAGATAGAACTGGGTTAATCACGGACATTGAGTTAGAATTGTGTGTTACCGGGCTAGGAATTTAATTGGGACATTTCACTGTGTGTGTGGGGGAGTAGAGAGGAAATCTGCCCTAGGGTCAAATTACTTGCTCTTACTTAAATCCATGGCTGTCTTATCTGATGAGAGACTGAAACTAGCTTGTGGCCTTTTGACTCTCTCTTCAAACACAGTGAAGGGAGCGGCACCAGGGTTGAATAGAGTTTGGGCTAGACCTTTGTCTCCCTGGTATCTTCTTGATTGATTACAGCATGAGGGGGTGAGGTTTGTGTAATTTAGGGCCTTGTCATGTTTAAACTAAACATGAGTGTGTGTGCAAGACAGGGGAGCGAGTGATTGGTTGGAGTAATAGTTCAGCCGTCTTCAGGGAGAAAGGAAGTGGGTGTGGAGCAATAACAGAGCGGGAAAACTGAAGAGGACTATATAAGATGGAGGGAGACCGTAAGGATGTGTGCCACTCTGCAGACTGGTATCGGCTTCGTTGAAAACTTTAATAAAGTCATTTCTTGATGCAACAAAAACTCTGTAAGACCTTATTTGTAATAAAGTATAGTGGTTATTTTCCACAACAGGTGCAGAGATGATGAACTGGCTTATGTGGTACAGAGATGGTGAAGTGGCTTATGTGGTGCAGAGATGGTGTACTACAGATATGATACTTACCAGGCATAGTTAATGTGTCCCCAATCCACTGTTGACAGAACATGGTTTGTGTGCACAGACGGGAGGGTGTAAGGTCACAAAAGTCCTTATGTATTTGGAGCATGTAGTTATGGACGTTTTGATGAAACACCACGGACCACAATCCACATAAGTGAAGTAGGTAGCCTCTATGATGTGAGTCTACTGGAAGGCTCACTTTAGTAGGCCATTGGGAAACCACAGGCAGGCTCAGGGGATGTCATTTATAGTAGCTGGTTGTGTCTGCCTGGCCCATAAGTAACAGAACCGCCTGTGGAAGAAAGAACAGACTGCTAACATAAAGCTGTGTCCATCTGTCCATGTGTGTGTTTTTATTCCCAGGTTCCTCTTCCTCCTGTGAGGTGTTTGTATGGGGACCCCAGCAGCAGTTCCCCCAGCACAGCCAGTCTATCCCCTACCCTGGCCTGGCCTCTGCCCAGCCCTTCACTCTACCCTCAGGGATCAGTGAGTACACACACACACACACACACACACACACACACACACACACACACACACACACACACACACAGCTGGTCGTTGTTCTCCACACGGGTCAACTCTGTGCCCTAATTATCATTCAATCAATATATCAGAGTTGCCACAAATTATGACAATCATGATGATGATGATGATTATTAAAATGATAATTATGATGACGACGATGACCATGTTAATTCAAAGACACCTAAGTACGTGATGCTTAGCCAAAATGTGAGTTATTCTCACTCAGACATCTCTTTAACATTTTGACTCCTGGTTACCCCACTAAAGGCATGACACTGTATCACTCTCTGTATCTCTCTCTATATATCTCTCTCTATATATATCTCTCTCTATATATACATTTCTCTCTCTGTATCTCTCTCTCTCTCAATTCAATTCAATTCAAATTAAGGGCTTTATTGGCATGGGAAACGTATGTTAACATTGCCTTAGAAAGTGAAGTAGATAGTAAACAAAAGTGAAATAAACAATAAATATTAACAGTAAACATTACACTCAGAACTTCCAAAAGAATAAAGACATTTCAAATGTCATATTATGTATATATATACAGTGTTGTAACAATGTGCAAATAGTTAAAGTACAAACTCTCTCTGTGTCTCTCTGTGTGTCTCATAGCCCATGTCCTGCTGGCAGGGAGGAACGGCTCAGCGCTGTACACGTGGAGGTCTGACATCAGCCTGTTTGCCCTGGTGCTCAGGTCTCCTCCAGCCTCCAACTTCCTCTCTCTCCCTCTCCCCTACTTCAACACCACCAAGAGCTTCCTAGCAGCCACCGAGCCCTCAGGCACCACCATGTATGAGCTGACCTCTGTCTCCAACCATTCTGACTTCATACCCAGGTACGGATGTGCCCCACTGTTCCCATGGCAACCCTTTACATTCAGACCAGAGGCATTGGAGATATGTTTGATCAAACTTTGAGGAAATTGTCCTTTACGTCATCACTTGAGTCTGTTGTTCTTTGTTCATTCTTCAGTGGCTGTCTTCTCTGACCGTAATGCATTTCACTCTCAGCTATGGCGAGTTGCGTTTTGCGCCCGGTGATCGGGAGTTGGAGATGGCGGTGAACGTCATCGACGACGATGTCCCAGAGGAGGAAGAACAGTTCCGGGTGGTCCTGAAGAATCCCAAGGGAGGGGCTGAGATTGGCTTTGGTGGTCAGGTGACCGTGCTTATTCCAACCAATGATGACGCCCATGGAGTCGTAGGCTTCACACAGGTACCCTCTGTTGTTTAACTCTGATTTACAGTGAATTTCTAAATAGGTTTATGTTGCTTGAATTTATATATCTATACATACATAGTATTTATAGTGCTAACGCTCTATGTTCATATTTTTATACCGTGATGTTCCAATACAGTTGAATGGGAAACATCTTTATGATATTACAGTACGCACTGACATTGATGCTGTCTCTCCAGGGATCTCTATCTGTGGAAGTGGAGGAGTTGGCGCAGGGCAACCCTATCTCTCTGAGTATTGAGAGGAGGAGAGGGACATTCAGGAGACTGACCGTCCACTGGGGAGCCAACGGCAGTCTGGAAGACATCTTTCCCACGTCAGGAGTGGTGAGTCTCTCTCTCTCTCTTTGTCTCTGTCTCTCTGTGTCTCTCTCTCTCTTGCTGTCTCTCTCTCTCTCTCTCTCTCTCTCTCTCTCTCTCTCTCTCTCTCTCTCTCTCTCTCTCTCTCTCTCTCTCGCTCTCTCTCTCTCTCTCTCGCTCTCTCTCTCTCTCTCTCGCTCTCTCTCTCTCTCTCTCTCTCTCATGGCTAACTTCCAGAGCATGTGTTAGAAATAGAGAAATAGAAGAGATACAAAACAACTCACTGATGTGCCATTTCTAGTTTAGTTCATTGGTTGCGAATTAACTTCCTGGATTGGCTGAGCTACAGAGGAACAGACATCCACCCTGCTGTCCTCTACCGTGTTTCTCAGGTGACGTTTTCCCCGGGCCAGGTGGTGGCTACCATCTCTCTGACCGTGATAGCGGATATCATCCCTGAGCTGAGGGAGAGGGTCACCATCACCCTGCTGGATGTCATCACTGTGGGCCTAGACCAGCACTCCAGGGGGGCGTTGATTGACCCCCAGAGAGCACAGGCCCTCCTCACCATCCTGCCCAACGGCTCGCCCTACGGGGTGATAGGCTGGCACCTGGACTCCCAGTACCTCCTCACACAGGAGCCTCAGAGTAAGAGGCCAGCTGTTTGTATTGTTATACAGTGAAAAAAATATTTTCTAATGTGTATAGTTAAAAATAAACCATATTTGAACAATGAACATTTTTAAAGCTACTGAAGTGTTTGGTTACTTGTGTAAAATAGGTTGTCATGAGCGATCACAACATGATTTGACAGGCACTATGACGTTGATGTGACTCATTACTACATATTATCCAATCTGTTTCTGTCCTTGCACAGGCTATGAGGTTAAGGTAAGTTGTCTAATGCTCCTTGTCCATGTTTATCTCTGCTTTCACCCCAGAGAGTCCCACTAATGTCACCCTGACCATTATGAGGGAGCAGGAGGCATCTGGGGAGGTGGCAGTGCACTACCAGACAGGACCAGCCCTATCCAAGCCCCCCTCCAACCAGGCCAGCGCCCCACAGGACTACACACCCCGGGAGGGCACCGTCATCATGAAGGAGAATGCCACCCTTGCCCTCATCACCATCACCATACTACCGGTACGAATAGAATAGAATAGAATAGAAATGTATAGAATATTACTTTTTCGACAAACCATCACCAAGACTCATCCTGGGATGACTGGGGACATGGCCCTATAATCCTCCTCTCCCTCTCCTCTTCCACCCCAGCAGTGTAAATCTAGATTGGTTCAGCAGACAGCATGGCTTTCTGCCTCTTCTGCCTGCTTTCTGCCTGTTCTGGCTGCTTTCTGCCTGTTCTGGCTGCTTTCTCCCTGTTCTGGCTGCTTTCTGCCTGTTCTGGCTGCTTTCTGCCTGTTCTGGCTGCTTTCTGCCTGTTCTGGCTGCTTTCTCCCTGTTCTGGCTGCTTTCTGGCTGCTTTCTGCCTGTTCTGGCTGCTTTCTCCCAGTTCTGGCTGCTTTCTGGCTGCTTTCTGCCTGTTCTGGCTGTTCTGGCTGCTTTCTGCCTGTTCTGGCTGCTTTCTCCCTGTTCTGGCTGCTTTCTGGCTGCTTTCTGCCTGTTCTGGCTGCTTTCTCCCTGTTCTGGCTGTTCTGGCTGCTTTCTGCCTGTTCTGGCTGCTTTCTCCCTGTTCTGGCTGCTTTCTGCCTACAGCTAAGGCCTATACTAGGTCTAAAACCATCAGTGTTGGCCTGCCACTGAGGAAACCAATGACTTATCTCCCATCAGAATACATCTGTTCCTAGTAAATTGCAGTGCTGAGTGGCTATTTTAATGGTAACTATTATTGTGTTTTGTTAAGAGTGAGAGGAAGTTTTGAAAACATGGCCTTGGTTTCTATGTGCTCTGAAACTGCCAGCATTCATGGGTTGGGCATTAGAAATTGTTTTCCTTTCTCCTGATTTAGCAGGCAACCATATCCCACAGTGTTGGTCAGGTCCTCCATAGCTGAGGGCTGTGTGTGTGTGTGTGTGTGTGTGTGTGTGTGTGTGTGTGTGTATATATATATATCAACCAGGATGAGGCTCCGGAGCTGGCTGAGAGTTTCCTGGTGAACATCACAGGCGTGGAGCTGGTGGGGGGGTTGACTGGGGCGGCCCAACCCAGTGTGAAGAGGCCTGGCATGGAGGTGGCAGAGGTCACTATCCAGGAGAACGATGACCCACGGGGGATCCTGCAGTTCAACATCTCCCAGGTAATACTTTACACTACTACCTCTGCCCATATGCTACACAATTGTCCTTCAATATAACACTCCATTCCTTTATTCTCCTTGAATATAACACTCCATTCCTTTCTAAAGTATATCACAACACCTTACAACAGTAACTACATGATGCTCTAAGGTTTAGAGATTAACATACCTATTAACATACCTATTTGAAAGCTATGCCACAAATAGGTATGTTAATGCTTCAACTCTGTTTCTGTGTCTAATTCTTAGGAAGAGCCCGGAGAGGTGCTGGCCTATGAGGTGGCTCCGCCCGGAAACGTCCTCCGTCTAGCAGTGGTGCGATTGGCTGGCAGGACTGGGAGAGTGGTGGTGTACTGGGAGGCTCGGCCAATCACTGCCAGTCTCGATGACTTCACTCCCGCTTCTGGGAATATCACCTTTCAAGATGGCCAGGTAATTTCATTACAACTAGGGTTAGAGAGTTTCTCCGGTTAGGTCACATAGTTACAGTGCTGCTTGAAAGTATGTGAACCCTACAGGGCTGGTCATTATTTTGCTATAAAATAAACATATAAAATCCTTATCTAAACCCCAATTCGTAATAAAGACATTCCAAGTAAATGACAGAAACAAAAAAATATGATATTTTCATTGTTTATTTAACAAAAGTGGTTTATTCAACAGAAACTCAGATTTGATGTGTGCAAAAATATGTGAACCCCTTCAGTAAATAGCTTGTGGCACCTCCATTAGCAGCGATAACTTGGACTAAACGACTCCTATAGCCAGTAATCAGTCTCTGACATCTGTTTTGAGGGATTTTTGCCCACTCCTCCTTACAGAACTCAGCCAATTGAGTGAGGTTTGAGAGGTGTCTGGCATTAACTGCCCGCTTCAGGTCCTGCCACAGCATCTCCATTGGATTTAGGTCAGGACTTTGACTTGGCCAATCCAAAACACAAATCTTCTTTCTCCTGAGCCATTCTTTGTTAGATTTGCTTGAATGCTTTGGGTCGTTGTCTTGTTGGAAGACCCATTTTCGGCCCAGCTTTAGCTCCTTAACTGATGGCCTTACGTTCTGTTCAAGAATCTCCTGGTATATCTCAGAATTCATGTTTCCCTTAATCATGTGGAGTCGTCCAGGTCCAGAGGAGGAAAAGCAGCCCCAGATCTTGACATTCCCATCACCATGCTTGACCGTTGGGATAAGGTTATTTTGGTGGTAGGCAGTGTTGGGTTTTCGCCAAACATTGCAGTGTTGATTGTGACCAAAAAGGTCAATTTTGACTCATCGGTCCAGAGAATGGACTTCCAGAAACCTTCAGGTTTGTCCAGGTGGTCTCTGGCAAAGTTAAGACGGCAGTTTGGTTCTTTTTTGACAGCAGAGGCTTCCTCCTAGCAACCCTCCCATGAATGGCATTTCGATTCAGTGTTCTTCTAATTGTTGAAGTATGCACAGTTACCTGAGATGCAGCAAGGGAGGTCTACAAATCTCTAGATGTTATGTTTGGGTTGGCTTTTAACTGATTTATTGTTGTTCTTGGGGATATTTTGGAAGGGCGTCCACTTCTAGGCCGAGTTGCTGTCATGTTAAATGCTCTCCATTTGTAAATTATTTGCCTCACAGTGGACTGATGGAGCTCAAATCTTTTTGAGATGATTTTATAGCCTTCCCCAGACTGATGTGCTCTCACTACCCTCGTCCTGATGTCCTCTGAGATCTCCTTTCCTCTAGGCATGGTGTGCTTTGCATTCACCTGGATGGGTAACACCAAACTGACCAGGTTTCTTATCTCTATTTATCAGAGTCCCACCCAAACTCTTTCCTAATGATCTCTCCTTTGATTGGTTCATTTGGTAGCTAAGTATTTACCCACCTGATTCTACTTACCTACTTGATTTAACCAATGCAATTTTGGGGTGCACTTATTTTTGCACCTGCACTAATTCCTTTTTTATTTAGTTTTTCTACTACACACATGATTTCCTCTACACCAACATATGGTATTGGTAAATATAAACCTGTTATGTCAGATCAAAAAGACTGGTTCTGATTAAATGAAGATTTAAAAGGGAAGGGGTTCACATACTTTCAAGCAGCACTGTAAGTTAGGTCACCTAACTCCGATCCACTAAGTCTAGTTGAGCTACTATGAAGGATAAGATGTATACCTCAGGTAACATAAACTTTGGTTCTGTTTGCAGGGACAGGCCGTCATCGACATCAGCATCGTGGATGACACGGAGGTGGAGTCTGTGGAGCGCTTCAGTGTGACTCTAATGCGTGTGATTGGTGGAGCCAGGCTGGGGGTGGAGACCTCTTTGACCGTCACCATCCCACCCAATGATTCACCGCTGGGCAGCTTCGGCTTCCAGGAGAAGACTGTGAGTCACAGCTCATTGTCACCCAACAAATTGCCCTACAGAGGATGGATGCAGTTGTATTATCCAATCCAATCCAACTTTATTGTAAACCATTATTATGTTAAATAAAATCTCTTTCTAGTTCACTATCAGCGAGCCAGAGTTCACTAGTGACCCGGCTGCCATGGCAATGCTGACGGTGGTGCGAAGTGCGGGAGGCGAGGGGGCGGTGACACTGATGTGGCGCCTGGAGGACACGGCCCGGGACGACCTTTCACCTCTCAACGGAACACTGGTCTTCAATGAGGTCAGTATGGGGCGTGGCTAGGGAAGATGATGGGCAGGTCAGTTGACAGTGTTTTACACTATATATGAACTAACTAGGTAACTACTTGGTAGTAATTGATACCAAATGTAATAATAGTTGGTGCTAAATTAACAGTTTATCTTATAAATTGAAACTACAGTTTGTAGAGAAGACACTGATGTGAGACTTTGTGAACCTCAGACAGAGTCTAGGAGAACGCTGGTGATCCGGGCGCTGGCTGACGCTGTGTTGGAGGGAGACGAGAGCTTCACTGTCCAGCTCCTGGCTGCCAAGAGTGGTGCTGTCATCGACCCCATTAACGGTCAGTGTCTTTGGCTGCCTCAAGGTGTTTAAACATACAAACAGTCGCTGGTCTATGGAGAGGGGAGGGAAAAAGTTGCCCCTAGAAGCTGATCTGAGGTCAGTTTCTGCGTTTTCAATTCTAATGGTTACGGTTAAGGTTTGAGGGAGAGTAAGCTGATCCTAGATCTACGCCTAGAAGCAACTTGTGTATAAGGAGCACCGGAGGAGGGCATTAGACTGAACTGTGTCCCCTGGGTTGGTATGTGTCTTTAGGGGTAGCCACTGTGACCATCCTGGGTGACCGTGCAGCCCTGGGAATAGTGGGCATCGCTGAGGCCTCCAGGAACGTCCTCATCGGAGAACCTCAGGGAGACTATAATGGGACTGCTCTGGTCAGGTACATTTACACACAGTTACACACACATATCACTGGCTAATGGGGGAAAGCCTCACATGTTCATGGGACAGAATATTTTTGTTGTGCCATTGAGAAAGACAGTCTTGTTTTGGTTAGTAAGCGGTCAACCAAATGCATGTTGTAATGATACAATTATGTGTGTGTGTGTCTGTGTGTACTGCACATGTTTGCGTGTGTGTGTGTGTGTGTGTTTGTACTGCATGTTTGTGTGTGTGTGTGTGTGTACTGCATGTTTGCTTGTGTGTGTCTATGTGTGTGTGTGTGTATTGCATGTTTGCGTGTGTGTGTATGTGTACTGCATGTTTGCGTGTGTGTACTGCATGTTTGTGTGTGTGTGTGTGTGTGTACTGCATGTTTGCTTGTGTGTGTCTATGTGTGTGTGTGTGTGTGTGTGTGTCTATGTGTGTGTTACAGCCTTGTACGAGGCCCTGGCATCTTTGGAGAGATCCAGGTGTACTGGAACATCACTCCTGCTGTGGCCTCTGAGTTTGAGGAGCTGTCTGGCGTGGTGACCATGCGAGACAGACAGTCTGCCACCACCATCCGCCTCAAAGTATGACAATCTCTCTGACTATGGAATGATATTCATCACTATGGTCTTGTCTTGTTTTATCGTACTTCATCTTATTATTAAGTGAAAATAAATGCAAAATGAATATTTACCAATACATTTATAAAACTGTGTCCCAATATCAATAATTGACTACTACTTAGAGTGAAGTGATGTAACCTATTGTATTGACCATGCATTTTTTTACAGTATCCTAGTGTGGATATTGGGTCACAGGCTGAAGGGAGTGGTGTTTGTTGTTGTAATTTCAGGCGCTGGATGATGACACGGCAGAGGAGCGGCGTGTGTACCAGCTGACCCTGACCTCAGTCACGCCCGGGGCGGGGATCAGCCCCTCGGCCCAGCGGGCCACGATCACCATGGCAGCCAGTGATCTGCCCCATGGCCTGTTCTCCTTCCTCCAAGGCCTCGTCAGGGCCTCTGAGGAGGAGGGCAAGGTGAGAGAGCCTGGGCACTCTGGGGCCATGATCTAAAACAACCACAGTGTTGGAACTCACTAGAGGATGTCTAACTGGCTATATTTGCCCTATCAGAGCCTGGGAATAGTCTGACCTGTCCTATCCAATGGAGGGAGGGATTGAGGAAAGGACAGAGGGAGAGAAGGTGGGCTAAGGGAGCAATAGAATGGTTGAAAGTCAGAAGTGGAATTTAAGTCATTGGGCTGGTATTTAGCTGTGTTTTAGTCAAGAGTCATCATATACAGCCATGACAAATGGCCATTAAGTTGATGATATGACTGCCTGTTTTCCCCCCTCCCCCTTCTCTTTCCCCCAGGTCAATGTGACAGTGGTGCGCTCCATGGGCAGGTTTGGGAGTGTGTGGGTGACCTACCAGACAGCAGGCAGTGTAGCGGTCAGTGGAGTGGACTTCACCGGGGCCTCGGGTAGGTTACTGTTCGGCCCAGGCCAGACCACCCGTGGGGTCACGCTGAGTATCCATGACGACGACCTCCCAGAGGGGCCTGAGGAGTTCTACCTCAACATCACCACAGTGGAGCTCTTCAATGACAGGTAGGTGGACCCTAGACACTGATCTAGAGTCAGTTCTGTGCTTTCTGTCCCCCAGTTAAGGTTAGGGGCGTTGGGGAGGGAAAGCTGATCCTAGATCTGTTGCTAAGGGCAACTTCTACCCTGAGCTGCTGGTGTGGGGGTTAGGTGTGGGAGGAGAATCTCAAACCTGGTTAGTGATCTAATGACCTCTGTCGCTCTCCTGTGGTCAGTAATATGGATTTCACTGTAAGCAAGGTGGAAGGTGTGGGTGTCTGGGGTTGGAGTGGTGTGAGCGGTGGTGTAGTGGAGGATAAACACAGGTTAATGATGTTTACCCACCTTTTTTATTTAGTTTGAACGTTCACCCATCTTTTGCGGAAAAATTTATTGAAAGTATAGGCAGCGTTACTTTATTCACAACAAACGGTGATCAGCGTTTATCCACCTCCCCCCCCCCCCCCGCTACATCACTGGGTGTGAGATGGGGTGGTGTTGTCTCTGACCTCTGTCGCTCTCCTGTGGTCAGTAATGTGGACTTCAGTGTGAGGGAGCACGGCCTGCAACGAGACCAGCCTCCAGCCATCGGCAACGTTTCCGCCGTCATGATCGTCATCCAGAAGAGTGACAATGCAGAGGGCATTCTGGAGTTCCTCCCTGACTATGTCAACATCACAGGTCAGCTTCTAACACACACACACACACACACACACACGTTGACACTATTCAACATAGCTATTAGTATCAGGCGTCACTTTAGGAAGTGTTATTTCATCCTGTTAATATGTCCTGGACATTATAAAAATAGAGGGATTCTGAGAGTGGTGATTGGATGAATGCAATGTGTAAAGAATATTACAATACAGGTTTAAAGTGTACATATTGTCCCTGTCCATAATTGCACCCTATTCCCTATATAGTGCACTACTTTTGACCAGAGCCCCATAGCTGTAGCCCCAGTGTATTTGATCCTCTTCTCTCCTCTCTTGTCTCTCTCCAGTGGAGGAGGATGTGGGCAGTGTGTCCATCCCAGTGGTGAGGAGGGTGGGTTACTACGGCCTGGTCACAGCAGAGTACATCTCCAGGGGCCTGACTGCCAGGGCCGGCCTGGACTACAGCCTGAACAACGGCTCGCTCACCTTCCTCCACGGCCAAAACACCAGTCACATCAACGTGTCCATTATAGACGACCAGGACAGGTGAGTCTGTCTCTGTCTGTCTGTCTCTCTCTCTCTCTCTCTCTCTCTCTCTCTCTCTCTCTCTCTCTCTCTCTCTCTCTCTCTCTCTCTCTCTCTCTCTCTCTCTCTCTCTCTCTCTCTCTCTCTCTCTCTCTCTCTCTCTCTCTCTCTCTCTGTCTGTCTTTCTGTTTCTCTCTCTCTCTCTCTCTCTGTCTGTCTGTCTGATCATCCAGGCCTGCTGCACCGCAGATCACCTTTAAACTGTTTCCTGTCCCAGCCACAAAACAATGTTTATTCTTTGATCATGGTATTGCTGCACATATAAATTGTTTGATCATTCTATTTCTATGAGATTGGTATATCTGTTGTGAAAGAAGTCTACAACATTCTATTAGAAAATGGATGTGAACATGAGACCTGTAATAACGCTGTCATAACTGTTCTCCCAGAGAGTACGCAGAGACGTTTGAGATCCAGCTGTCGGGCGCCACGGGCGGAGCCATACTGGGTACTCATCTGATTTCCAGGGTTACCATCGCCAAGAGCGACTCTCCCAATGGCGTGGTCCGTTTCCTGAACGTGAGCGTGATCACCCTGGTGAACCCCAACAGCACCCTGAAGTTCAGCCTGTTCCTGGAGAGGGTGGGGGGGTTCGTAGGCAACGCGACGGTAAGCCTACTGGGGCACTCCCCTCCATATGCGTCTCTCTCTCTCTCCCCTCTTGTTAGGCCTATAGACTCAGCCACCTTCAGGATGGTTTCACAGACTAAAAAGAATGCTCAATAGAGAATCTCCAGTGAAAGTGTGTAGTGTCTAACCGCCATGTTCTGTCTCTCTGACCCCGTAGTACAAGAGCTTGTTCACTGTCGTCATTTCTCTGCCAGATGTCCACCACTCATGCTAAACTTAATGACACTGCAATGCCTATTAGCCTATGTAATGGATAATGTCTTGATCATGTGTTTTTCATAAGGGAACGATTTGTCTGAAACTATTTGGCAGTAGTGTTAATCAATTATTTTTGTCTTTACAAGCATGAGGGTGATGCATACCAGCCAATCGGAATCATTTATCTCCTTTCCCCAGATAACATGGAGCATTCTGGGTCCCAACACCAAAGAGGTTTTACCACCCGTAAACACAGACATTGGTGAACCCGTGAACGGATCGTTCCATTTCAGAGACGGGGAGGGGGGATTGCGCACCATCGATCTGAGGATTCTCCCCCATGGGGAGGTGGAGGTGGCGGAGACCTTTGTGGTCATGCTTCAACTCCTCTCAGGCGACATGGACATTGACCCCCAAGCTGGCTCTGTCACACTCAAGGTACGTAACCGTCCCAATGAGTGACATCTCAATTTTAATACGAACCCCAGTTGTATTGAAACCATTCTGGTATCATATTGAAATTACTTCACAGGTTTCTTATGGATATTAAGAGTCTCTGAATCGTGGTGATGACATGTCGTTTTCTCTTGGATTGGTGTGTTTGTGTGTGCCTCAGATTGAGAAGTTTGGAGACCCTAATGGCATAGTTCAGTTGATGGAGGAGGACCTTAGAGAGCGTGTGTACAGTGAGCCCACAGACAGCGAGGGACCGCTCAACATCTCCCTCCTCATCACGCGCAGACAAGGTGTCATGGGCAACGTTACGGTAAGACCACCTCGAGGGTGACGTCATACTGTTACAGACAGAATGAGGCTTTATAGGCAATGCTCAGGCTTTGAGTATGTACCTTTTGCTCAGGTGTACTGGAAGACTGTATGAACAGTGCAAGAAGTTTATAATACATTCACACTGTCATTACACTGTAGGTCTGATAGCATACCGCCAATTCCCAGGTATGTTATAGATGTGTGTGTGTGTGTGTGTGTGTGTGTGTGTGTGTGTGTGTGTGTGTGTGTGTCTTTCTCTCAGGTGCACTGGCAGATCCTGAGTGACTCTGACACAGCGGGGGACTTCTCGGCCCTCAGCGGCTCTGTGGTCATCCTGGAGGGTCAGAGGGGGGCAGAGGTGGTCCTCGCTCTTCTACCTGACACCGTGCCTGAGCTGGAGGAGCTCTACATGCTCCAGCTGAGTGCCGTGGAGGGTGGCGCCACCCTGGACACCAACCGCAGTACCACCCGCTTCAGGGTGCGCGCTAACGACGAGCCGCACGGCGTGTTCGGCCTGGAGGCGGCGCAGCAGGCGGTGGTTGTGGTGGGGAGGGGGGCCGGGTTGGTCAGACTCCTGGCCCTGAATGTGACGCGCAAGGCTGGGGCCTTCGGCAACGCCAGTGTGGGCTACCGGATCAGTACTGGGCCTGGGCTGGATGGACAGGAGCTGCTAAGGGAGGCGGCTGTGGGTAGAGTCCTGATCAAGCATGGAGAGGATTCAGCCTCTGTCTCTGTGCCAATCAGTAGTCAGGTAAGAGAGGATTCAGCCTCTGTCTCTGTGCCAATCAGTAGTCAGGTAAGAGAGGATTCAGCCTCTGTCTCTGTGCCAATCAGTAGTCAGGTAAGAGAGGATTCAGCCTCTGTCTCTGTGCCAATCAGTAGTCAGGTAAGAGAGGATTCAGCCTCTGTCTCTGTGCCAATCAGTAGTCAGGTAAGAGAGGATTCAGTCTCTGTCTCTGTGCCAATCAGTAGTCAGGTAAGAGAGGATTCAGCCTCTGTCTCTGTGCCAATCAGTAGTCAGGTAAGAGAGGATTCAGCCTCTGTCTCTGTGCCAATCAGTAGTCAGGTAAGAGAGGATTCAGCCTCTGTCTCTGTGCCAATCAGTAGTCAGGTAAGAGAGGATTCAGCCTCTGTCTCTGTGCCAATCAGTAGTCAGGTAAGAGAGGATTCAGCCTCTGACTCTGTGCCAATCAGTAGTCAGGTAAGAGAGGATTCAGCCTCTGTCTCTGTGCCAATCAGTAGTCAGGTAAGAGAGGATTCAGCCTCTGTCTCTGTGCCAATCAGTAGTCAGGTAAGAGAGGATTCAGCCTCTGTCTATGTGCCAATCAGTAGTCAGGTAAGAGAGGATTCAGCCTCTGTCTCTGTGCCAATCAGTAGTCAGGTAAGAGAGGATTCAGCCTCTGTCTCTGTGCCAATCAGTAGTCAGGTAAGAGAGGATTCAGCCTCTGTCTCTGTGCCAATCAGTAGTCAGGTAAGAGGGGATTCAGCCTCTGTCTCTGTGCCAATCAGTAGTCAGGTAAGAGGGGATTCAGTCTCTGTCTCTGTGCCAATCAGTAGTCAGGTAAGAGAGGACTGCCAATGTTTTTATATGATTTAGAAGCATCAACTGGGGATTATGCACTTGTGCTATGAATGTATTCATACATTTTCTGGCAATTTATGAAGATAACATTGAATCTATATAGTTTTTCATAGCTTACATTTTATCACACCAAACTTGTCTCTAGTACGTAACCCTTTTGGCTACAGTGCCCTGTCACTGACCCTGCCTCTGTAGTCCTGCTTACCAGGCTGAATGTCTCTCTCTCGCTGTCTTCTAGGTGTTTCTCTCAGTGGGTGTGAACTTCACTTTTGAGCTAACAGACGTGAGCCTCCTGGGACCTCTCCTCAGCTCCCCACCTCGCCTCCTACTGGAGACCAGGGTCGCCATAGTGACCGTCCCAGAGGAAGCAGCCAGCGCTGAGGTATCAGTCAGTAACTTTATGGAGTAAGGTGAAGTTGCACCTAGACAATGATCTTGGGTCAGTTTTGCATTTTACCCACTAATGGTTATGGTTAGAATTGGGTTAGGGGAAGCTAATCCCAGATCTGTACCTATAGGGGAAACTTGACTCCGGAGCTAACTTTATTGTCCCAATGGGGAAGGTGTATGTACTGCATGTGTGGCTCCTCTGTTAGCCACTAGGAGGCGTAGTTACACCCATGTTGAGACCCAGCTCCATCTCCACTCCAACATTACATTGACCCAAGATGAGGAGGATGCTCTGTATCTAACTGAGTTACTGGTCTGTGGTTGGTAGCACCTCCCTGTGAACACACAACCTCTTTCAGTCATGACCTTTGAAAGGCTCATGTAACATGCACTTATTCTAAGTCAACTGACCAGCTTGGTGCTGACCACGAAATAGACTTAGCCTTTTGACCTAGCTAGCTACAACATTTACATTTTAGTCATTTAGCAGACGCTCTTATCCAGAGCGACTTACAGTTAGTGAGTGCATACATGTTTTATTTTTATTTTTTTCATACTGGCCCCCTGTGGGAAACGAACCCACAACCCTGGCGTTGCAAGCGCCATGCTCTACCAACTGAGCTACAACTAATCTCTCTTCTGCTAACAGACAGTATTATAAAAGCATTACAGCGATACACAGGGCTGCGGACACTCATAATGGCAACTTTGTTTCCAAGTTTCATTACCTCATTCTAAAGAGGCACCGTTACCGGGGAAATGGTCTCGAACACTCATCTTGTCCTTTTGATCCGAATGCCCCGTCTTTAGTCAGCTGTTCTTCAACACAACATTCTAAAACCTGTGTAGTTTTGCCTCGTCTCTCAGGTTGTTAGATCTGTACTGGGCTTTAATGGAACACTTCTTAATGGAACACTTCTGAACTATCACACTCAGGTTGTTAGATCTGTACTGGTCTTTAATGGAATACTTCTGAACTATCACACTCAGGTTGTTAGATCTGTACTGGTCTTTAATGGAATACTTCTGAACTATCACACTCAGGTTGTTAGATCTGTACTGGTCTTTAATGGAACGCTTCTGAACTATCACACTCAGGTTGTTAGATCTGTACTGGTCTTTAATGGAATACTTCTGAACTATCACACTCAGGTTGTTAGATCTGTACTGGTCTTTAATGGAACACTTCTGAACTATCACACTCAGGTTGTTAGATCTGTACTGGTCTTTAATGGAATACTTCTGAACTATCACACTCAGGTTGTTAGATCTGTACTGGTCTTTAATGGAATACTTCTGAACTATCACACTCAGGTTGTTAGATCTGTACTGGTCTTTAATGGAATACTTCTGAACTATCACACTCAGGTTGTTAGATCTGTACTGGTCTTTAATGGAACACTTCTGAACTATCACACTCAGGTTGTTAGATCTGTACTGGTCTTTAATGGAATACTTCTGAACTATCACACTCAGGTTGTTAGATCTGTACTGGTCTTTAATGGAATACTTCTGAACTATCACACTCAGGTTGTTAGATCTGTACTGGTCTTTAATGGAATACTTCTGAACTATCACACTCAGGTTGTTAGATCTGTACTGGTCTTTAATGGAATACTTCTGAACTATCACACTCAGGTTGTTAGATCTGTACTGGTCTTTAATGGAATACTTCTGAACTATCACACTCAGGTTGTTAGATCTGTACTGGTCTTTAATGGAATACTTCTGAACTATCACACTCAGGTTGTTAGATCTGTACTGGTCTTTAATGGAATACTTCTGAACTATCACACTCAGGTTGTTAGATCTGTACTGGTCTTTAATGGAATACTTCTGAACTATCACACTCAGGTTGTTAGAGCTGTACTGGTCTTTAATGGAATACTTCTGAACTGGGGCGGCAGGTAGCTTAGTGGTTAAGAGTGTTGTGCCAGTAACCGAAAGGTCACTGGTTCTAATCCCGAGCCGATTAGGTGAAAAATCTGTCGATGTGCCCTTGAGCAAGGCACTTAACCCTAATTGCTCCTGTAAGTCACTCTGTCGTAGCCGGCCGCGACCGGGAGACCCATGGGGTGGTGCACAATTGGCCCAGCGTCGTCCAGGGTAGGGGAGGGAATGGCCGGCAGGGATGTAGCTCAGTTGGTAGAGCATGGCGTTTGCAACGCCAGGGTAGTGGGTTCGATTCCCACGGGGGGCCAGTATGAAAAAATAAAAAAATCATGTATGCTCTGGATAAGAGCGTCTGCTAAATGACTAAAATGTAAATGTAAACTATCACACTCAGGTTGTTAGATCTGTACTGGTCTTTAATGGAATACTTCTGAACTATCACATCATTCCCTATTCCTCCTCCTCTGTGTGGTGTGTATGTAGGTGGGCTTTGTCTCGTTGGCGTTGCAGGTCTCCAGTGTGGAGACGGGTGTGTGTGAGGCGCTGGTGTCCAGGACGGGGTTGTTTGGGGACGTGAGGGTGGAGTGGAGTGCAGGGTACCCCCCCGGACAGGCTCCATTAGGATTCAGGCCTGGAGTCATCACCCCCAGCTCAGGTAAGGACCTCAGAGGGAAACCGTGAGAAGAGGTTTAGTGAAGTGTGTATCTAAAATGTCCAGGTCTCTCCTTATTTACTCTCTCTCTCAAACCACAGGAGGGCAACAAGCTGAGAAGGTCTCCTTTTCTCTAAGTAAACCCTCCAGACAATCCACCTCTACCTCCTTCAGTCTCATTTCATTCTCTCTCTTTCCAAACACCACCACCAAAAAACCACCCTAGAAAATGACCACGCTGATAGGAGGAATTGATGTGAGCTGTGTTGTCTGAGGGTGTGGTCTGAGGGTGTTGTTTAAGGGTGCTGTCGGAGGGTGTGGTCTGAGGGTGTTGTTTGTGGGTGTGGTCTGAGGGTGTTTGTACTCCTCCTCAGGATCGGTGACCCTGGCCCATGGAGAGAGGAGCAAGGCTGTGTCCCTCCGGGCACTCTCTAATGTGTCTGAGCCAGCGACCTACGCCCTCCACCTCACTGCAGCCGGCTCCAGCTCCCCTGCTCCTGGGGTAGCTAGACTCAGGTACAGTAGCCAGTCTCACCTGCCAGGCTTATAGTGCTTCTATATACTGTAGACATTCGACTGGGAACAAGACAGCCCTCTGACTGAAGATGACATTCTGTATATAACAGTACTGTTAGAGAAGTTGAACAGCCATGGTGTGATGCTGCTCTCTGTTTCCCTCTCCAGGTCAGGGTTCACAGTGGCAGAGGTTGAGCCCCTGGGGCTGTACCAGTTCGCCCCGGATTCCCGTCAGCTGGTCATCGAGGAGGACGTGCAGACCGTCACCCTCTACGTCCAGCGGCTCTATGGTTTTCGTAGCAACCGCACCCGCATGTCTTACCAGACGGTGTCGGGCAGCGCCCTGGCCGGACAGGACTTCACTGGCGTACGGGATGGAGAGCTGTTCTTCGACTCGCCTCACCAGACCTCCACCTCGCTCCGTCTGTCCATTCTGGACGATGCACTCTTGGAGCCCGACGAAACCTTCTTTGTCAACCTGACAGACGTCCAGGTACTGAGCGGTGGTGGTGACCCCCACTCGGGTGACCCCCGGCCCCATCTCATCCCACAACACAGCGTGGCCACCGTTACCATCCTGGCCAGCGATGTCACCGGGGGGGTGCTGAGCATCAGGCCGGGGCTGGTTGAGACAGCAGAGGACAGGGAGGAGGGGAGCCAGCAGGAGAGGAGGGTGCTCCTCAGGGTCCATAGGTCTGACAGTCTGGCTGGGCCAGTGAGGGTCAAGGTGCAGGCTTATGGAGGTGGGAGTGTTGGGGGTCCACCTCTTCCCTTTGCTCCGGATCCCAACAGGACCTTGGCCCTGGAGTGGCAAGACTTCAAGCTGGAGTCCGCCCTGGTGTCACTGCAGGAGGGACAGAGCGAGGCCGAGGTCAGCCTCATCATCCTGGACGACTCTGAGCCTGAGGGACAGGAAGTGTTCTTCATCTACCTCAGCGACCCGGAGGGAGGGGTGCAGATCACAGATGGGACCGACCAGCAGGGCTTCAGCTCCTTTGCCAAAATCCTTATCCTAGGTAAATACTGAAACGCTCATATCTGCCTTGTGTTCTCCTGTCATATGCTCCTCAGTCTACCCATTGATCAGGCAATTCAAGGTAATGTCATGCTCTAGTTTCTCTGTCTAGGTCATTGTTTTCCAAGACAATCCCTAAATTCGGTCACTGGGCATAGACATCTGATTACAGATCCAGTGATGTGAAATCAAAGGCAAGGTTACAAGAGGATTGGGAAGCTTGATGCGCTGGTTTGTTGAATGCTCTCAGTGTACATACAGTGAATAGCCTACATAAGGAAAAAGTCATATCTGTCTCTCTCTCTCTCCCCCCTCTCTCTCTCTCTTTCTCTCCCCACTCCCTCCCTCCACTTTCTCTCAGGGAGTGATTTCCATAACGGGATAGTGGGTTTCAGTGTGAGTTCTCTGCTGGGTCAGGTTCTGGACGAGGACTCAGAAGTGAACAGAACAGCTCTACTTTACTTGCAGAGACAACAAAACAGGTAGGTCTCTTACTACATTTCCTCCATATCAACCCTGTTCCCATATGAATGTCAGCAAACCAAAGAGTAGCAACAGTAACCGTCACATTAGTAACAGCAACATTAGTGATAATGATACAAGCATCGGAAAGCTGCAATGATCACCCCCAGCCAATCGTGGTTCTGTGTGTGTGTTTGACGTGTGACCTTTCTGCTTCCCCCGCGCAGGGCTTTTGAGGACGTTGAGGTGATGTGGCGGGCCACGTTCAGCAGGGCGGGGCCAACCCTGGTCAACAACGGAGTGAACCTGACACGGGAGCTGTGGCAGACCTCAGGCACGGTGCTTTGCAGGAGAGGACAGGTCCTCTGTGTCTTCAGCATGGAGGTCCGACAGGACCAGGTGAGTCCCAGGTCATACTAGAGGTCAGAGGTTATAGGTCAGGGTGGTACCAGAACAGACCCATGTCACAGTACTTTAAAACTGTCATAAAATCCTCTCTGTTTGGACCACTGACTTGAAGGAACAAGCAGGATGTCCTAATGTGTCTCTTTCCCTGGATGTCCTAATGCTGGGGCTCTCTCGCTGGATGTCCTAATGCTGGGGCTCTCTCCCTGGATGTCCTAATACTGTGGCTCTCTCCCTGGATGTCCTCATACTGCAGCTCTCCCTGGATGTCCTAATACTGTGGCTCTCCCTGGATGTCCTAATACTGTGGCTCTCTCCCTGGATGTCCTCATACTGCAGCTCTCCCTGGATGTCCTAATACTGTGGATCTCTCCCTGGATGTCCTAATACTGTGGCTCTCTCCCTGGATGTCCTCATACTGCAGCTCTCCCTGGATGTCCTAATACTGTGGATCTCTCCCTGGATGTCCTAATACTGTGGCTCTCTCCCTGGATGTCCTCATACTGCAGCTCTCCCTGGATGTCCTAATACTGTGGATCTCTCCCTGGATGTCCTAATGCTGGGGCTCTCCCTGGATGTCCTAATACTGTGGATCTCTCCCTGGATGTTCTAATACCGTGGCTCTCTCCCTGGATGTCCTCATACTGCAGCTCTCCCTGGATGTCCTAATACTGTGGCTCTCCCTGGATGTCCTAATGCTGGGGCTCTCTCCCTGGATGTCCTAATACTGTGGCTCTCTCCCTGGATGTCCTAATACTGCGGCTCACTCCCTGGATGTCCTAATACTGTGGCTCACTCCCTGGATGTCCTAATACTGCAGCTCTCTCCCTGGATGTCCTAATACTGTGGCTCTCTCCCTGGATGTCCTAATACTGCAGCTCTCCCTGGATGTCCTAATACTGTGGATCTCTCCCTGGATGTTCTAATACCGTGGCTCTCTCCCTGGATGTCCTAATACTGCGCCTCTCTCCCTGGATGTCCTAATACTGTGGCTCACTCCCTGGATGTCCTAATGCTGTGGCTCTCTCCCTGGATGTCCTAATACTGTTGCTCTCTCCCTGGATGTCCTAATAACGTGGCTCTCTCCCTGGATGTCCTCATACTGTGGATCTCTCCCTGGATGTCCTAATACTGTGGATCTCTCCCTGGATGTCCTAATTCTGCAGCTCTCTCCCTGGATGTCCTAAGACTGTGGCTTGCTCCCTAGATGTCCTAATACTGCAGCTCTCCCTGGATGTCCTAATACTGCAGCTCTCTCCCTGGATGTCCTAATACTGTGGCTCTCCCTGGATGTCCTAATACTGTGGCTCTCTCCCTGGATGTCCTAATGCTGGGGCTCTCTCCCTGGATGTCCTAATACTGCAGCTCTCTCCCTGGATGTCCTAATACTGCAGCTCTTCCTGGATGTCCTAATACTGCAGCTCTCTCCCTGGATGTCCTAATACTGTGGCTCTCCCTGGATGTCCTAATACTGTGGCTCTCTCCCTGGATGTCCTCATACTGTGGCTCTCTCCCTGGATGTTCTAATACTGTGGCTCTCTCCCTGGATGTCCTAATACTGTGGCTCTCCCTGGATGTCCTAATACTGTGGCTCTCTCCCTGGATGTCCTCATACTGTGGATCTCTCCCTGGATGTCCTAATACTGCAGCTCTCCCTGGATGTCCTAATTCTGCAGCTCTCTCCCTGGATGTCCTAATACTGTGGCTCTCTCCCTGGATGTCCTAATACTGTGGCTCTCTCCCTGGATGTCCTCATACTGTGGCTCTCTCCCTGGATGTTCTAATACTGTGGCTCTCTCCCTGGATGTCCTAATACTGTGGCTCTCCCTGGATGTCCTAATACTGTGGCTCTCTCCCTGGATGTCCTAATACTGTGGCTCTCTCCCTGGATGTCCTAATTCTGCAGCTCTCTCCCTGGATGTCCTAATACTGTGGATCTCTCCCTGGATGTTCTAATACTGTGGATCTCTCCCTGGATGTCCTAATACTGTGGATCTCTCCCTGGATGTTCTCATACTGTGGCTCTCTCCCTGGATGTCCTAATACTGCGGCTCTCTCCCTGGATGTCCTAATACTGTGGCTCTCTCCCTGGATGTCCTAATACTGTGGATCTCTCCCTGGATGTCCTAATACTGCAGCTCTCTCCCTGGATGTCCTAATACTGTGGATCTCTCCCTGGATGTTCTCATACTGCAGCTCTCCCTGGATGTCCTAATACTGTGTATCTCTCCCTGGATGTCCTAATACCGTGGCTCTCTCCCTGGATGTCCTAATACCGTGGCTCTCTCCCTGGATGTCCTAATACTGTGGCTCTCTCCCTGGATGTCCTAATACTGCAGCTCTCTCCTGGATGTCCTAATACCGTGGCTCTCTCCCTGGATGTCCTCATACTGCAGCTCTCTCCCTTTTTTTATGGCTGGGGAAGCCCATAATCCCATTTTCAACAGTACTGTAATCTTATGGCTGGGGAAGTCCATAATCCCATGTTCAACAGTACTGTAATCTTATGGCTGGGAAAGCCCATAATCCCATGTTCAACAGTACTGTAATTTTATGGCTGGGGATGCCCATAATCCCATGTTCACCAGTACTGTAATCTTTTGGCTGGGGAAGCCCATAATCCCATGTTCAACAGTACTGTAATCTTATGGCTGGGGAAGCCCATAATCCCATGTTCAACACTACTGTAATCTTATGGCTGGGGATGCCCATAATCCCATGTTCACCAGTACTGTAATCTTTTGGCTGGGGAAGCCCATAATCCCATGTTCAACAGTACTGTAATCTTATGGCTGGGGAAGCCCATAATCCCATGTTCAACAGTACTGTAATTTTATGGCTGGGGAAGCCCATAATCCCATGTTCAACAGTACTGTAATTTTATGGCTGGGGAAGCCCATAATCCCATGTTCAACAGTACTGTAATTTTATGGCTGGGGAAGCCCATAATCCCATGTTCAACAGTACTGTAATCTTATGGCTGGGGAAGCCCATTATCCCACTTTCAACAGTTCTGTAATTTTATGGCTGGGGAAGCCCATTATCCCACTTTCAACAGTTCTGTAATCTTATGGCTGGGTAATCCCACGTTCATGTCCCATTTTTATTTTATTTTTTATTCCTTTTCTCCTCTGTTATGTATTTCCATCTATAACCAGGTAGCCATTCCTAAACTCCCTCTGTCTGCGTGTTGCCATAGGAACCTGAGTACCAGGCCTGGTTCCTGGTTGAGATCTACCAGGTGGGTGTTGGCGCTGCCATCAACGAGAGTTCCCGCTTTGCTAACGTCACCCTGCTGGAGAGCGATGACCCGCGGGGGCTAGTCTACTTTGCGGTGGGGTCCAGACTGCCTGTAGCCCACCTCAAGACCACCCACCTCAGTCTGCAGGTGTACAGGGAGGCCAGCACGGCCTCCACCATCACCGTACTCTACCGCATGCTGGTGAGAAACACACATACACACACACACACACACACGCACAGAGAACACACACACACACACATGCACAGTGAACACACACATACACTGTACACACACTCGTTACATACAGTGTTCATGGAATAGCCACACAAATATTTTTTTTAAATAATACTTTTCACATTTCCATACATTCACATAAAATAATACACATTGTCCTCTCACTTTGTCTCCCTTTGTAACCACTCACATTCTTCTGGTTGAAAATTACATTACAATTACAAGTCCCATCTTATTCAGGTTGTTGTGTTGTCTAACTCACCAAATCAGATTTCCATTCCTCTCCCTGACCTAATTATACTGACCTGATTTTTTTTAACCTTCAAGGTCTAATGGTGTGTTGGTCATGGGACATCTAAGTCAAACTCTATTGCAATGCCAGCAAGAGACAACAACACCCAAAAGGGATTCTTTCTGGTCCCCAGCCCCAAGCTCCAACCCCAGCCCTAGCCACAGTCCCAGCCACAGTCCCAGCCTCAGCCTCAGCCTCAGTCCCAGCCTCAGCCTCAGTCCCAGCCCCAGCCCCAGCCTCATTCTCAGTCCCAGCCTCATTCTCATTCTCAGTCCCAGCCTCAGCCTCAGTCCCAGCCTCAGCCTCAGTCCCAGCCTCAGCCTCAGTCCCAGCCCCAGCCCCAGCCTCATTCTCAGTCCCAGCCTCATTCTCATTCTCAGTCCCAGCCCCAGCCTCATTCTCAGTCCCAGCCTCAGCCTCAGTCCCAGCCTCAGCCTCAGCCTCAGTCCCAGCCCCAGCCTCATTCTCATTCTCAGTCCCAGCCCCAGCCCCAGTCTCATTCTCATTCTCAGTCCCAGCCTCAGCCTCAGTCCCAGCCTCAGCCTCAGCCTCAGTCCCAGCCCCAGCCTCATTCTCATTCTCAGTCCCAGCCTCAGCCTCAGTCCCAGCCTCAGCCCCAGCCTCAGTCCCAGCCTCAGTACCTTCCCCAGCCTCAGTCCCAGCCTCAGCCTCAGCCTCAGTCCCAGCCTCAGCCCTAGGCTCAGTCCCAGCCTCAGCCCTAGGCTCAGTTCCAGCCACCAGCCCCTCAGCACCACGCTCTCTCCCGCAGCTCCCCAATCCTCAATTGGTTTCTGTCGATGCCAATCTATTGAGTTCAAAGAGGGTACTGTGTAGGGTGTCTACCCACTCTGCTCAGAGTGGGTGAAAACGTTATTTTTTGATGACATTTAATTTCCTTATGTTATAAAATACATTTTACCAAAACAAATATGATTATTAATGTTCTGAATGAAAAAAGTAGGATTTCGTAACCTAATACATCCGATAATAAGCACCGAGCTCTGTTGACATAGCGGTGCAGGATTCTCGTAACAACTTTCGAGGATTTTACATTTCGTGGTGGTCGTCTTTAAAGTTGTTTCCGTGGGTCGCAAAAAGCAAAATTAGCATGACGAGCAGAATTACATGTAAAAGGCTTTGAAAATTAAAAAAACTTGGTATACGCTCAGTGCTCCGTTGACATTTCACAGAGATACTCTTGTTTTTTGTGAGATATCTTCTAAAAATAACAGGAATTTTGAATTAATATGGAAAACATATACTAAAATATGGAAGTAATACATGTGATGTCTCAAAATCAATATCCATCTTCCCTCTATTGTTTTATGTCCTGAGGATTGGAGAAGAAAGATGACAAGCTCAATGAGAAAGTGAGCCTGCCAGGTAGCCAGTAGCCTTAATTCTTGCCCAAAATCCAACCTAGCTGACGCCATTACATTTTCCAGATTTTTGGCCACTTTTTTCTCTGGCCTTAGTCAGCTTAATTCTGGCCACCCTACAAGGCTAAGAACCCCAATAACTTTTGAACGTATTATGATAGAGACATGAGGTTTGGACCATTGGTTTTCTTAGAGGATTATCTACACAATTAACATATTACTTTACCCATTGGTCAGAGGATGCTTTTTGATTGGCCACCCTACACGGTTCTCCTGCCCCCGCTCTCTCTTCCTCCCTTTATTTTGTTCCATTTACCTCCCCTTTCTTTCTTTCCCCCTGGTCTCCTCCTCCCTCTCTCCCAGGGGTGGTGATGAGCTCTTTGTGTTTGAGCCAGTGCTTAGCTCTCTGTCTGGGGGCTAATATTGACATCCCAGCCTTTGATATTGCAGATCAAAAGGGAGACTATCTAGTACACTTAATGGCACTCCAGTCTCCACATCCTGTTAGATATGACCAGGTTACCTCCTTTCATCTTTCACACAGCAATGATGTTCTGAGAATACATATCAATGGCTCAAAGGTTGCAGAGTCCCTCCACATTCATCTGTTCATCAATCCATTCCTTTTCCCTTCTTCTCTTTCTCCATGGCTCTCCAACCAATCTCCTCTTCTCTTTCTCCATGGCTCTACAACCAATCTCCTCTTCTCTTTCTCCATGGCTCTCCAATCAATCTCCTCTTCTCTTTCTCCATGGCTCTCCAACTAATCTCCTCTTCTCTTTCTCCATGGCTCTCCAACCAATCTCCTCTTCTCTTTCTCCATGGCTCTCCAACCAATCTCCTCTTCTCTTTCTCCATGGCTCTCCAACCAATCTCCTCTTCTCTTTCTCCATGGCTCTCCAACCAATCTCCTCTTATCTTTTGACATGCAGTTTCGCAGGTCCCCCCACTCCCAACACCCAGTTTTATACAGAATCTCATGATATTCTACACATTTTGCCATGAGGCTGAGATAAAATGTTGCAGTTTTACAGCTAATTTCCTGTTTCAAAAAAAGAAAAATAGCCATGTCTTATAATGTGTTCATATGCTATTTGGGGAGGCGGGGAGGAGGGGGCAGTGGTATTTGCAGGGGCCGCGGGGTTGGCTGGTACGCCAGTGGTAATGACGCAACACCTATCCCCAATCCATTCATCCATCCATCTCTCTTTCTCTCTCTACGTCTTCTTTCCCGACTCCCTCCATCTTTCCATCCTACTGTGACCTCACACTCCTGTCTCATTGTCATCCAATAGGAAGTCCCTCGGGCTGAGGCAGTAGGCCCCACCCTGGTCTGGCCTGCCGTGGCCGGGATGGACTTTCTGAAAGAAGAGGGCCAGCTGACCTTTGACCTGGGCCAAAGGAGCACAGGGCTGGACATCACCCTCACCCCAGACCAGGCCTCCTCCAACCCCCCGCCGAAGCGCTTCCACGTGGAGCTGTATGGGGCCAGTGGAGGGGCCAGGGTGCACCCTGAGTACGGCCTGGCCAACGTGACCCTGGTGTCGGGCACGGAGGCCCAGGCGGTGTGGGCCCTGTTGGACCAGCTCCAGCAGCCTCTGGACACCACCATACTGGACAGGGTGCTCCATGCTCTGCTCAGCAAGGCCACGGCACAGCTCACACCAGAACAACTGACCGCCGTGCTGGACGCACTGGGGAAGGTGAGAGGGAAGGAGAGCGAGGGAGGGAGCAAGGGGCGAGAAGGAGAAACAAGTATTTTTCCAACTTGTTTTGTTTGCTATTAAAAGTGATCTGTTTGTGTTTTTTTTTTTTGTATGTGTGTTTTGTCAGTGTAACTTAGTTTGCTCTTGCCAAAGGCAGCTGTTCCCAGTACAAAATGATGACGGATCTACAGATGAGTTTTTAAAAGGTCTCTGTTGTCACTTAGTGTCTGACTAAAGCAGCGCATCACGCTACCAACAATGACAAGAAACTGCCATGTGGGAAATAGTAGCTGACTTGTTTCATCTAGTTTCATCTTGTTCTTGGCACCATGTGTAGTTTTGAGGTGTTTGACTGATTTCATGTCAATGCTACAGTTGAAGTCGGAAGTTTACATACACTTAGGTTGGAGTCATTAAAACTCGTTTTTCAACCAATCCACAAATGTATTGTTAACAAACTATAGTTTTGGCAAGTCGGTTAGGACATCTACTTTGTGCATGACACAAGTAATTTTTCCAACAATTGTTTACAGACAGATTATCACTTATAATTCACTGTATCACAATTCCAGTGGGTCAGAAGTTTACATACACTAAGCTGACTGTGCCTTTAAACAGCTTGGAAATTTCCAGAAAATGATGTCATGGCTTTAGAAGGTTCTGATAGGCTAATTGACATCATTTGAGTCAATTGGAGGTGTACCTGTGGATGTATTTCAAGGCCTACCTTCAAACTCAGTGCCTCTTTGCTTGACATCATGGGAAAATCAAAAGAAATCAGCCAAGACCTCAGAAAAAAAATTGTAGACCTCCACAAGTATGGTTCATCCTTGAGAGCAATTTCAAAATGCCTGAAGGTACCACGTTCATCTGTACAAACAATAGTATGCAAGTATAAACACCATGGGACCACGCAGCCGTCATACCACTCAGGAAGGAGACGCGTTCTGTCTCCTAGAGATGAACGTACTTTGGTGCGAAAAGTGCAAATCAATCCCAGAACAACAGCAAAGGACCTTGTGAAGATGCTGGAGGAAACAGGTACAAAAGTATCTATAGCCACAGTAAAACAAGTCCTATATCGACATAACCTGAAAGGCCGCTCAGCAAGGAAGAAGCCACTGCTCCAAAACCGCCATAAAAAAGCCAGACTACGGTTTGCAACTGCATGGGGCAGTCATGACACTTAAGAGCTTCCACACACTCAATGAGAGGCAGATGCAGGCTAACCTAGCCTGTCTGTGTTTGCATTGTACTGTGTGTATGTTACATAACCCACAGAGTACTGTGTTTGTGTGTGTGTGTGTGTGAGAGAGTTTGATAGGGGGCTTTCAGATTATTGGCTACATTTGTGTTAGTCATAAACACCTCCAATTCTGCACATGCACAAACACAAACTGAGATTCTCAATCTGCTTGGCCAGGTGCTCACGGAGGCAGAGCGCACCCCTATTGCGGACAGCAGCCGGGGTTTGACCTATGACCTACTCTGTGCCATGGCCAACCCAAGCCGAGTCGACACAGGGGGCCTGAGCCAACTGGCAGAGGTGGCCGAGCGCTTTGCCTTCTCCCTGCTCACACACACCCAGTGTGGAGCACAGGCTCAAAGGTGAGTCCTGCACCATGAGGGATTGTGGGTTAAAAAAAAGTCAAGGAGTATTGCTGTCTATTATTTCTGCCACTGACTATGTTATTATAGTAGAATTCTTATTTTAGGGGAAAAATATAGAATGGATCACCCTTTCCCACTGTTAAAAAGAAGACTGAGTAAAATAAGTGTGATTTGCTGGTATTTTTAAAGGGGGAGGACCATCCTGGACACTTGTGTCTACATTTCCATCTCTTCCTACCACTGGTACCCTACCCAGATCAACGGGCACACATTCACGGGCAAGAACTCCGACACCTTTCAGTTGCCAGAGAACCTCCTGGAGGTGCCAGCCTTACCTGCTGGCACCGTCTCCCCCTCAGCCTGCCACCGGGTGCAGCTCACAGAGTACAGCACGGAACATTGGTTCCTCACCAATGACAAAACCACCGCGCTCAACGGCAAGGCAAGCAGACCCACATACACTCAAAGCCACACCATGACAGCTATTAGCACTTACCGACTGATGGGTAACTAGACTGGAGATGGGTGCGCTCTGCAATTCTTCCCGGAGTCATTGTTGTAAAACATTTAGTATTTTCTCATTCAGTCCATTTATCTGGTAAAATAAAGGTAAATAAATATCAAGTTACAGGAGAATACCTGTGGTATTACAGGTGAAAATGTTTGCCTAAATGGAACTTTGTGCTTGGTGTAAACAGCAGGGAGCAGTGTCGTCCCACTGAAGCTCTGTGCCTGGTCTCTGCCACTCGGTCTTTACAGCTATAAAGACCTATAGAGGTTGCCCATAGCAACTGTAGACACAGATCTAGGATCAGCTTACCCCTCCCCCAATCCTTAGTTGAACAGTAATAGGAAAAGCACCAAGCTGACTTTAGATATGTGTTTCGGGCCAGCTTCAACCGACTCTGTATTGTAATGGTATTTCTCTTGCTGTGTAGGTGTTCTCTGCCAGCCTGCAGGGCCAAGGATCACAACCCCTGACTGAGGGTAACGAGGTGGTGTACCGTATCCACACCCCCGGGTTGAGAGTCAAACCTGGCCAGTCTCTGTGCCTTCTGTGGAGCCAGGCTGCTGAGAGGTACGACACTGTTTCCATCTGATACCCTCAATTCCCTCTCCTATACCCAGTCACTTTCCTTCGCATAGTACTATGTAGCTATAGAACAACAAACAGAGCATTCATAATCACACATTCTACGTTTTTTATGAATTCCCCAAAACGTCTATTTCTCTTAATTTCTGTTGCTATCCTGAACTTGAACCCCATGTAATAATGTGGTGTGTGTGACTAAAATGACTCTGTAGGACACAACCACTTAGGTGAGTTAAAGGGTCCTCCCCCTTCTTCTCAGCTCTGCTCTGTAGGTGTGAACCTCACACTTCAGGGTCAGCCTCTAGTAGAGAGGTCAGAGGTCAGGGGTCAGGCTTTGTCCAGCCAGGACCTCTTTCTCCAGCCATGGATGAATTGGCCTCCCTCGATCCCTATCTGGGCTGTCCCAGACTCCTCTGTGATGTCTGTGAGGGTTCAGTTTGTTGTGCTCAGAGTTCCCGAACATTCCCGCCCCTCAGAAGTGTGTTTGAAAGGACATTATGGAGGAGGTCCGGAGTGGGACTCTTGGCTGAACAGTCTGTAACAGGACGCAGATTTCTCCGGTTTGGTTTGGCCCGTGGAGCAGCGGTCTCAACAATCTATCTCCCAGATAACCAAGCAGATGACAGCGTTGATAAAGTCATCCCAAGGGGGAAGAGAGAGAGAGGCCTGTTCAACTTCCTCCTAGTCTCACTGCACTGATGGCATGTCTATTAAAGTCTGTCATAGACTTAGCAGTCATGACTAGGACAATCAGTCTTGTCTGTCAGTCACAAAGTAAATGAACTCTTCATTTTCATAAGGAACAAATATGAATTCTGTGCTCTTATCTTATCATACATGTCACCCTTTGAAATGTTCTGAATTCCCTAACGTATCTGAGAGTTAACACATCGGAGCAACCAATCAAGCAGAGACACTACACAGCTGGATGTTCCAATCAGAACGTCATAACTTCATATGAACTTCCTGCCTAAGGCTGACTACTTCCTGTATTACCTCTCCTCTCCCTCTCCTCTAGCTGGCTGTCAGACGGGCAGTTCTGCAGGGTAGTGGATGACAGTGGGAACTATGTGGAGTGTGCGTGCTCCCACCTGTCTGTGTACACGGCCCATGCCCAGATGGCTTCCCTGGCCTCCTACAATGAGGCCTTCTACGCCTCAGGCTTCCTCTGCATCTCAGGTACAGTATGGATGAAGAGTCTCTTTAGGTATTCAGTACACCTAGTTTAGGTCTTTCAGTCCTCGTTTCTACTACATCCCTCTTTCTTTTTCTCTCTCTCTTTTTATCTATCTATCTATCTATATCTTCTGTATATGTATATCTCCCTCCATTTCCTCTGTCTTTCTCATTTCATCTCTCCATGTCTCCATTCTGTCTGACTCATTACTGTTGTTCCTTTTGGATATCGCTCTGCCTCTTCCTGTCCTACAATCCCCTCCCACTCGGTTTTAGATGGGTTATCTTATTGCAAGCATTTTTGATCAAGTATAAAACATGATATGGGTTTTTATGGTTAATATGGAATGACACAGCATTTATTTTGGTCTGATCCTCAGCTTTCGCCTTGGCCATCGTATCCCACCTGCTGTGTTCTCGCTTCCCCATGTTTGCTGCCAAATTGCTCACGCACATGATGGTGGGCTGCCTCGGGACACAGGTATGAGGACCCCGTCCCTCCCCCCGTCCCCCCCGTCCCCCCGTCCCCCCCGTCCCCCCATCCCCACCCCCCAGTCCCCCGTATTGTCCCATCTCTGAATCTCAACACAAAACACAGACAGGTCCAGATCGATGTTCCCATGCATCCATACTAAGCCATTTGGCTTTTGAGTGGTACAAACATAACTCATTTCCTTGGCATTTGTATCGACTCTGTCAGGGTCTTAGTGAGCTGATTAGCACGTTCTGACAGTGTGGGAAGATTTAGACTGATGAGAAACTTTTGAAACCAGTGATAGAAGCATCCATCTCTATGCAGATCAATTTGCCTTGCTCTATAGGTCAGCAACCCCTGTACTCAAACACGTGCACACACACACACACACACACACACACACACACACGTGGGCGCACACACACATGCACATGTACCCCCTCCCAACAGGTGCTACAGATGTCACCAGATATTTTCTAAGAATTGTGCATAGGGCTGGACAGACACCAGCAACCTTGCGGGCTAGACTGTCAGCCCTGACAACAAAACAATCCCCTTGGGCCCTTTCCCATAAAAACCACGGCTGCCGTTAACCGTTAGGGCGGTGAAAGAGAAATGTGGCCGGTGGGGGGCTACAGTGGAGGAGTGTCTCAGCTCCTTCAGACCTGTGAGTGGGAGTGGGAATTTTCCACTGGTCCCCAGTGGCTGATAGACAAACACAGAGCCTCTACTAAACCTGCTTCTCCATGGGGCTAAACACCCCGGTCACACCGCTTTTATTGCCAAGTGGAGCCCCTGAACCTAAAAGGTTTTGGATGGAAAATTCCATCCTGTCCCTGTTACATACTGTACTGTACCTTAAGACCCGGGTAGACCCAGGTAGATAGACTCTGGTAGACCCAGGTAGATAGACCCAGGTAGACCCAGGTAGATAGACCCTGTTGGACCCTGGTAGACCCAGGTAGATAGACCCTGGTAGACCCCGGTGGACCCGAGTAGACCCGGGTGGACCCTGGTAGACCCTAGTAGGTAGGTATGTGTAGGGGAGGATGTGTGTGTCCTGTTGGGCTGTTTGGCCTTCTGTTCAAGGCCTGGGTGAAGGCTTGCTCGGTTGTGTGCCCTTCATAGCTGAAGGTCTGCTTGACCGTCTCTGTTGTCGAGGATTCTTTGTCTATATATATTCTGTTCAATGCCGTTGTACTTGCAAACCCAAATGAACAAAGTCTAAATGGTAATGTCTCAAACAACCCCCCCCCCCCCCCCCCCCCCCCCATCTTCCTATAACTAGCAGTGTTTAGAGTTTGACCTAGAGTTCTTTGACTCTGTGTGGTTCAACTTTGACACAGCTGAAGGGTTCAATGAGGTTGTGACTTGGAATCCCTTGGAAAAGCACACTCACCACCACAGCAGTTCTGTATATCCAACTTTATGCACAAATGGGATTGAAACCCCAAAATCGGGTCAAGCGGTTGCTCCACTGTGTACAATCCCATCACCTATACACATTTACATACATACATACTTGTCCTACGCTGCTGGCAGATGGCCAGGGGTTAGGGGTCAGGGTTGAGGGTTCATCCTCTTTAGAGGGTCTCTAAGGTACCAGCTGTTGATCCACACTCTGTGGGATCAGGCCGACCAGAGGAGCATCTCCCTCTGTGTAATTACTCACTGACACAACCCTCTGGGCCCCGGAACATGATTTATTCTCCCGGGAACATGATTTATTCTCCCGGGAACATGATTTATTCTCCCGGGAACATGATTTATTCTCCCGGGAACATGATTTATTCTCCCTCCTCCAGAAGCAGTAAGCGCCTTCCTCCACCTTTTTTATTCTCCCTCCTCTCTCATTCTCACCCCCCCCTCTCTCATTCTCACCCCACTTCTCTCATTCTCAGCTCCTCTCTCATTCTCAGCTCCTCTCTCATTCTCCCTCCTCTCTCATTCTCACCCCTCTCTCTCATTCTCACCCCTCTCTCTCATTCTCACCCCTCTCTCTCATTCTCACCCCTCTCTCTCATTCTCACCCCTCTCTCTCATTCTCAGCTCCTCTCTCATTCTCAGCTCCTCTCTCATTCTCACCCCTCTCTCATTCTCAGCTCCTCTCTCATTCTCAGCTCCTCTCTCATTCTCAGCTCCTCTCTCATTCTCACCCCCTCTCTCTCATTCTCAGCTCCTCTCTCATTCTCAGCTCCTCTCTCATTCTCAGCTCCTCTCTCATTCTCACCCCTCTCTCATTCTCAGCTCCTCTCTCATTCTCAGCTCCTCTCTCATTCTCAGCTCCTCTCTCATTCTCAGCTCCTCTCTTATTCTCACCCCCCCTCTCTCATTCTCACCCCTCTCTCTCATTCTCAGCTCCTCTCTCATTCTCACCCCTCTCTCTCATTCTCAGCTCCTCTCTCATTCTCACCCCTCTCTCTCATCTCAGCTCCTCTCTCATTCTCAGCTCCTCTCTCATTTCAGCTCCTCTCTCATTCTCAGCTCCTCTCTCATTCTCACCCCCCCCTCTCTCATTCTCACCCCCCCCTCTCTCATTCTCACCCCACTTCTCTCATTCTCAGCTCCTCTCTCATTCTCAGCTCCTCTCTCATTCTCAGCTCCTCTCTCATTCTCAGCTCCTCTCTCATTCTCACCCCTCTCTCTCATTCTCAGCTCCTCTCTCATTCTCACCCCCCCTCTCTCATTCTCACCCCCCTCTCTCATTCTCACCCCCCCTCTCATTCTCACCCCCTCTAAGATGTGTGCATTCTTCTGATTTGCCTGACTTTCATTTGGAGGTGTGAGGAGGTCTAGATAAAGCCTCTGGCTGAGACGCGAGGACCTTTTGACATTTTACTAGAGACTCTCCAGTGAAAAACTCACCAGAAGCGGGTGGGTGGAGCAAGCAGAGCGAGGCGGGGGGGGGAGACGGGACGGGCAGAGCAGTGACTGTATGCTAGCAGGATAGTCCATATGTCTAATCATCTTTGCTGATAGCGATGTTTCCATAAGTGGATGAATTGGTCTAATTTAGCATGTATTGTAAAGCCTCAACCCTTAGCTACCTCTTTCAATTCAAATGAGCTTGAAAAACAGTTAATAATGACAACATTTTGATTGTTTTGTGTGACCACAGCGCCAGCGATAAAACACACAAATAGAGACACGTTCTAATTGAGCGAGGCGTCAAAGTGGACAACCCGCCCGCCCGGCTTCGGTTGGGTCATTATAATTCAAAACAATGCATTCTAAAAGAAATCACACGCCTCCCATGCTCGCCTTTGGTGAGTTTAGGCCATCTCTCTCTCTCTCTCTCTCTCTCTCTCTCTCTCTCCTCATCTCTCATCTATTCTCTCATCTACTCTCTCTACTCATCTCTCTCTATCCTCTCTCTCTCTCTCTCTCTCTCTCTCATTCTCTCTCTCTAATCTCTCTCTCTCTCTCTCGCTCTGTCTGTCTGCTTTGTGGCCATTATTTTGGGTGTTTAGCATTTGGGTCATGATATCCGGTTGACCAGGGGGGTGACAGACACGCGACGCCACACACTGACAAGCCCTCCCCTCAGCAAGACAACTGAAGATTGTGCGGAGTGGAAATTTACCCGGCGCTGCGTGTGTCAACCATGTTAGGGCTCTTCATACGAGCGGCAATAACGCACATTTACCCTGGGTAATCAGAGAGGGGCTGCCATAAAGGACAGCGCTGTAGCTTACAATGTGTGTGTGTGTGTCATCCTGTTTCTATGTGAGCTACGTGCATGCAAGCGCACACACACACTGATGCACATGCAATGACTTGTTTTTCCCAACAAAAACATACTTCATGAGCATACATTCAAATGTGCAGGTTAGCGTTCTTCCTCATGAATCTTGTTCTCGAGGCAGCTCTGCAGAGTGGTCACTAGCTGGCATAGCCGCAAAGTCATACAATCGGATTTTAAACCTAACCCTAACCTTAACCACACTGCTAACCCTTATGCCTAACCTTAAATTAAGACCAAAAAAGCACATTTTTGTTTTCATACGTTTTTTACAATATAGCCAATTTTGACTTTGCAACTGGCCCATCTAAGGGGAAATCGCTCAGTTCTGCCACCTGGACAAGAGTCATACAAACATAAACTCAGCAAAAAAAGAAACGTCCCTTTTTCAGGACCCTGTCTTTCAAAGATAATTTGTAAAAATCCAAATAACTTCACAGATCTTCACTGTAAAGGGTATCAACACTGTTTCCCATGCTTGTTCAATTAACCATAAACAATTAATGAACATGCACCTGTGGAATGGTCGTTAAGACACTAACAGCTTACAGACGGTAGGCAATTAAGGTCACAGTTATGAAGACTTAGGACACTAAAGAGGCCTTTCTACAGACTCTGAAAAACACCAAAAGAAAGATGAAGATCTGCGTGAACGTGCCTTAGGCATGCTGCAAGGAGGCATGAGGACTGCAGATGTGGCCAGGGCAATAAATTGCAATGTCCGTACTGTGAGACGCCTAAGACAGCGCTACAGGGAGACAGGACGGACAGCTGATCATTCTCGCAGTGGCAGACCACGTGTAACAACACCTGCACAGGATCGGTACACCCGAACATCACACCTGCGGGACAGGTACAGGATGGCAACAACAACTGCCAGAGTTACACCAGGAACGCACAATCCCTCCATCAGTGCTCAGACTGTCCGCAATAGGCTGAGAGAGGCTGGACTGAGGGCTTGTAGGCCTGTTGTAAGGTAGGTCCTCACCAGACATCACCGGCAACAACGTCGCCTATGGGCACAAACCCACCGTCGCTGGACCAGACAGGACTGGCAAAAAGTGCGCTTCACTGACGAGTCGCGGTTTTGTCTCACCAGGGGTGATGGTCAGATTCGCGATTGTCGTCAAAGGAATGAGCGTTACACCGAGGCCTGTACTCTGGAGCGGGATCGATTTGGAGGTGGAGGGTCCGTCATGGTCTGGGGCGGTGTGTCACAGCATCATCGGACTGAGCTTGTTGTCATTGCAGGCAATCTCAACAC